ACCCATTTCCAATGGTGGAAAAACGCAAGAGGGACAGCCGAACCTGCTGAATATTATGAGCTACACTCTCAGGCTAAATAGAGGACAGTTTATTGTAATTTTGTCGGTCGGATGACCATCACATTTGCCATTCGAGCAAATAGCATTGTAATTGAGTAAAAATTAGGAGTTAAGATATATTATACATTGCAGGAAATCTGGTTGAATAATTCAGCAACAAATATCTGGGTCTCGGTTTGCTATCAATAATGCAATAGTCACAAAAACAAAGGAAATTTATTCGTTCACCTTCTGATATCTCAAGCTTATATAAAGATAGAAAATTGATACATTCTATTTATTCAGTTTAATTTTATATTTAAATGCTGTCAGTATATTGACACTTAGTTTAATGAAATCATAATTCGTATATATTCCAATATACGGGGTGTCCTAAAAACGCGGTGGCAAAACGAGCTAAACATAAGATTTCTTTAAATGCAAAATCATGTATGCGTGATCCGTTTCTATTTGGGAGATTCTGTATAGTGGCTTGATAATAAATTATTATAATATTATAATTCATAATTCATATTAAACATGTTTAAATAAAGTGTATGCATAGTGCAAGTTAATTAAAAAAAGATTGTGCGTCATATATCATAGCCACAAAATACGAACAAAGTGCTATAAATAACTAGACTATATACGTATATACAAAAGAGAAAATGTTGTAAGAGCTTTAAACGAGAAAGTTTGACATAATTGCCAGGCTGTCCACACTGCATAAATATACAACTAATACAAGTAACATTGATCGTAATATTGTTCATATTGTTAGTGTAAGTTATATCGGGAGGGTTCTAAATATGACTGTAAGTTATATCGAGAGGGTTCTAAATATATCGGGAGGGCTCTAAGTATGACTGCAACATGCTTTAACGTTTAAGCTCTGACGATGAAAAGAATGGTCTTAAAATATAAAAAAGTGGGAATGAAATTTTCTTTGCTGTTTATGTCATTTTATTTATACACCAAACCGCACTGTTTGCATTAAAGTGCGTGGTCAAATGAAGCGATCACGTTCTTCAAGAAAAACATGTTTACAATTAGCATAGTACCACGCAGGTGTCTTGCCTTGTCTATATCTATTTATGTTCGTTTGCAAGAGGAAACACAACTTGCACGCATCGACATACAAACATCCATAAAATACGAAGTCTGAAAAACATTCGGTCACTGGAAGATGGCAAAGATGTCTGGAGGATTCTTAAGGTAAAGTACGAGGGAATAGAGCCAGTATACTTAATCCAAGCAGTTAGTCTTGAGGTTAGAATTTCACTTTTAGAATTGCATCGAACAGCGTTAAAAGGGAATATATTAGGCGATCATATAAAGCACGTATATATTCCACTGAAGCAGTTTTTAAAATACTATTTTTAATCGTAGACGTTCATGGCTACATTTGAATACGTTTGATTGCTGCTAATAAATTTCCTGCTCAAATTTTCAACGGAACGGTTTCGCACTTATATACTGTTAAACGTCGGACAATCTGTGCATGTAGATTGGTAAAGGTGAAAACTTTATCCGCGGTCTTTTGTTAAACTAGGATATAATGTTATATATCCATTTTCTATATGGTTCAACCGGCCTTAAAACGATAGGTATCCATATGAAAACGCTGTTTTTAAATATTCATTACTCAATTGCGTCGATTCTTGACATATACACACTTTGTTTGTACAAAACGCCGAACTGAGATCCCCCGATCAATGCGTTTGAGAGCGAGCTTTTAGAATACAGGCGTTATAATATTCAAATTTTTCATCAGAGGCGCAGTGACACGACACTAAAGCACTCACATGCTTTAATGTCCGTTACGTTATGGCCTTGGTTTAATAAAATGATGTTACAAAATGTACTGTTAAGACAAGTTGTATAAACGCGACATAATTGGGAAGAAGTTGGGTTAACTTGATGACACGTCGTATACACCTTTAAAGCAAAAGCCAAAAGTCGTATACACCCTTAATGGGGTCGTATATGCACCCCGATGCAATAGCCAAAAGTCTATTAATATGGAATTGTATACACCTGTAATGCACTATACAGCCAAAAGTTTATTAATTTAGCTTACAGGATATCATATTTTAATTCAATCACCTTTTTTATATTCAGTTTAATAGCCGTCGTGTTGGCAACACTTGCTAACAACGTTGACACATCTGTCTTCAACGGTCAACCACAATTCACCATAAAAGCCGAAAGAAACAAGGCACTAAGCAAATCTTGTCCAATTAATACAACGTTCCCGATAAAAAATGGAAACATAGCAGATTGTCTGGAACACTGCCTAGAGGACTGTCGATGTCAATCGTTTCAAATTTGCCAAAATACAGAATGTCAACTGTGTTCAAGTCACAAGAAAGAAAACAGTTCATTGCTTCATGACGAAAATGGCTGCAACTACTTTACATACGAGATGCGAAATCCTGCGGGTACAATGCAGGTATTATGTTTTTTAAACTGAAACTTCAGGTATCATAATGTATAAAACCAATTTTAAATATCAAAATTGCTTTCCGCTAAAGAGCTTATATCCGGACATAGGGTTTTCTCCTCCCTTCAAAGGGAAGAATTTATGTGTAGTTATGGCAATCCCCAGCGCTTAGGCACGATATAGAGGGCAATAAATTAGTTTCACAGGCTTCTTTGTCCTTTTGACTTGTTGCAGTAGGTATTTCTCATTATATCTCTGATTAGAATTTGGAGGATCAATGTTCAAATATGAGCTGTTTCATGAAGAATTACAACTGTTGTCGAATGTCAAATATCTGCGGCAAAAACAAAATCTGTAAACTAAGGTACTCTGCTGAACAGTCGTGGAAACGTTTCACCTGCGAAAACGATCCGGCACGAAGTATAAAATCCAATGGCGAGACGAAGTCACCTGCAGTGCATAAACAGGCCAGCAAGACCAATATCAAGGGAAAAATCAGCCAATTGCAAGAACCACCACGACCAGGCGAAAATTTAAAAAAATTAGTAAAAAACAAATTCCGAATAAGCAAGACATCTTGAGAGTCAAAATATAAATCAAGCAACAAACATAAACGTAATCAAGGTTGAAACTGTTAATTTTCGACTTTATTTCAAAGTCATCTAGCTTACAGTTTCAACCTGTGTCTTGCTTGATTCATATTTTGATATTCGGAATTTGTTTTCCACTAAAGCAGCCAAGGTAGACTGGCTAGTTGTGACAAAAAGAAGTGAATTCTTGACTGTTGTGATATAATAAGTTGTAAGCTTAAAGAAGATCAGAAAGAAGAAACTTTATTTAAAGATGGTAAAATTGATTACCAGCGCACCAGTAGTTTACATCCATAATGAACCTCTACATAATTAGTAAACTAGTATTCAATGAGAGAATTCAAATGAGAGAATGTTTCATTCATATTTTGGGTAAATTTGTGCAAAATGATAACAATTAGTTAAATAAGTTTCAAGAAATTCTTACTAATTCTTTACCCAATAAGGTAAAACGCGGATATGCCTTTTAAACGCCCGAAAATCAAATTTTATACCATATTCGCATTTTACCCGATTTGGTAAAACGCAGATATGACGTTTAAAATTTGTTTTATTGAAAAGTATAAGTTATCCGCTCGTCCGTCTGTCCGTCCGTCCGTCGCTATCCGTCCGTGCGTATCCGCGTTTTACCCTAACCCGCAAGCAAAAATTATAAAATCAAAGACTGTTGCAATATCACATCTTTAATTACATTGATTCTCCAATCATAGCTGTATGCCCTTAAAACATGCATTATTAATTTATTGCAAACCATGCAATCGCTGGAATTTTCGTTTACCAAACGTCTTGCTAAAAAGTAGAATTTATATACCTGAAATAAGTAACCTTAAGCATTTCTTCCGTAAAAATTTACATTTATTTTCATATGAATTGCCGTAGCTTCATATTATATTTCTGCGGGTAGTGATTTTTCATCGCTTTAAAATCGCCCGTTGTTTGCTCTAACTTTGATTTAAGTCTTAGGAATTGTTGGTTCCAAAAATGAAAATTTGTCGCTTTTCGAGCATTTTTAGAAATTCACTACCCGTGGTGGATAGCGCTATCCGGCTTTCATACGTAACCGACCCTTGACAATTATCAGAAGCTGATATGCCCAAGCATAGCTGGCGGTATTGTGATACAGCTGCTTGATTTAATTGAATTAGCTGCACGACTCTTTCTCGCGCACTAACAAGGTTTAGTGTTGCTACACAACGATGCCTCACAACACTTGGAAGATGTGCAAGGAAAATGTTTGGAAAAATTCGATATGTATTTTACTACAACATACTGAACATCGATGCTGACAAACAGCATAAAAAGCTTTAAGAAGGGTATGTAAAAAATACATCACTCAACTCATTCTCAAACTGCTTTTGCATTCGGCAGAGGATAATGGTTTCTGGAACGAATTCGAGACATTTCAGCAACTATTTTATGGCGTTCTTAGACATTTAGACCCCTAGAAGAAATCTGTTAGGAAATCTTCTTATTTTGAACCTAAAATTGTTGATGAAGAATTATCCGACTCATTTCACGATGAGCGCACTTTGTAAACGGTTATATGATCTATATGAATCATTTATGCGAACCGCTGGGGTCGTTTTAATAAGTTGCTACACTGTTTAGCACATAAGAATGAATTACCTTCAGCAATTAATCGGAAACAAACATAGCTACTCGACAACACAAATGAAACCCCAGATAACAAAGATCTCGTCGTGAAATCATTCGTGGCCTTAATACTAATAGTGATTAATTGAAAATAATTATTCTTATAAATGCTATTAAAAGATTTCAATTGTAATATAATGTTATTCATGCCTCCCTTTGGTCAGATATAAATAAAAGTGATATAAACAAAAGAATTTCTTTATACAATTGACGATCAAAAGTATTATTTTGTTTTTATTTGCCGCAGAAAGATTTGAAAATCGTCGATATTATGGGGTCTGAGAAAAGTGAGAAGCAAAAATACGAATCAGTTCGTGATATTTTGGTTGAATTTATGCGTCATACAACCGGACATGGATTTGCAAGGCTCGTTGCTGCAACGTCAATTGCTTGGAGAATGTTCTGGATCGTTGCTGTTTTGGGCGCAACTGGAATGTTTGTCTTCCAAGTATCTGACCTGTTCAGACATTATCTATCACGACCTGTACAGACGTCTGTAACTGTCACCTTTGAGAAGGTATGCGTGGTTGTTCACCACTGGGGCCGGTTGTTCAAAAGCAGGGTAAATTCAACTCTGGGTTTGGGCTAAATCTGGGTCCTTAAACCTGGGTTAAAAACGTGTTGTTCAAAGCCCGGTTAGCGTTAACCCTGGGTTAAAATTGATAAAAAAATTAACCCTGCTAGCTAGGTGGGTCAACTTTTTAATCCTGGGTTAACTTCGATTCAAATGGATGAGTAAGGAGCGGAAACACGTGAACACGTATAATTCTTCATGAATTAAACACTATTGAAAGGTTTTACTATAACAGTTTCGGGTTAGGGTTAACCGGCTTTTGAACAACCGGCCCGTGGGCGTGAAACAGATGCCAAGTCCTATAATACAACAGATTTTTCGGAAATAAGATCTGTCTATATAAACACACCAGTGGAAAAGTTTTGAACATTCATGACTGCACAGCTTAAAACATTAATTGTTTCTATGATATGTAAACAAGAATACACGAATATGCACCTCTCCTCCAAATTAAGCGGTCGAGTAACGGCCTGGCTATCTAAATGAACACCGGCACATTTATCCAAGCCTCGGCACCTTATATTCTTCTTAATTAAATTACAGCAACTCAAATTTCCTGCCGTCACAATTTGTAATTTGAACGTGATAAGGAAAAGCAAAATGACGATGTTGCCAATGCATTTGATAGACAAATTTTTTACGGTCAACATCACCAAGAGCCGTACTCCCTTCGACATCTTCATGGAAAACCTTTTTGGGGATTTGAACGGAACTTTGGGCAGCGGATTTAATACAAGTGGTTATTTCGACGGGGCTGTTAACAATGTTACCGAAGAAACGGATGATGGCATCAATTCTACTTCAGAACGTAAGAAATATATATAACTTTATCATATTTTCAAATTTTATTCTCGTTCCTGATTGGTCGAATTTGCTCGGATAACTTTCGGTATTTTGAAGTTGGCCCGTTGTTTCAGGTGCTGACGTCAAAATCGATACAATAACACTTTTTTGGAGCGAAGTTCGGTCGGTCAAAAAAAGTATCATCCCACGCTGTAGTTCCTGAGTGTCGACAATTTGCAGAAAGCCCGCCAAAAATAAATATTCTTAAAGCGTAAACAAAATGGCTTTGAGCAGATTCGCATTTTTAGATAAAGAAAATATTTTCAACTTGCTTTTCGAAAAACCTTAAGAGTGAAAAAGTCAACAAAAGCTTGAAAATTTGTCTTTGAGGATTAAATATTGAATAGCAATTAATTTTGATTAATTTCATTTTAATAGCTGCACGAAGAAAAAACCCACCTTCTGATAACGAGGAAGATGGAGGCTCTGGTGGAGATAACAGGACCCCCGAAGATCGTGGGTAAGTAGTTTATTTCGATTAATCCAGTAAAAGTAACGTAAAAACAAATTATTAAAAAATAAATTCCGAAAAGAAAAGACATCTTTAAAGTGAATATATCATTCATGCAAGCCAAACACAGGTTGATAATGCAAATTTTCGACTTCATCTAACGTAGTCTTCAGACAGAATGAAATGCAATACTTTAAAAAAAACACAAACATGTACTAGAGAGAGAGGGGTTGTGGACAGAAGGTTCATTAATCGAAGCGAATCCGCAATATCAAACTTCGATCAAGAGTCCCCCTTAGTGTCTTCCTTCGTCACAGGCCTCCGTGAGGTGTTTGCCTAATTGTTAAGACCTCAGTCTGATATGCTCTTCAGTACAGCTGTCACATTCAGTTAAGAAGTTGAATCTACTAACTTTATCTCACAGCTCTAGCGATGAAGATGAATTGGGACTCGAGGAAATTTTTCCAGATGTGTTCAAAGACTTCCTAGGTGTAGAAAATTCAAGCCCGGATATGATCCTAAAAATGAACGTCGAATCATATATCGGAGGAGAGGATCCAGACCGTTTAATATCGTATGGCCATCAACAAGAAAACTTGATAAAAAGTTGTACGTGGAAAGGCGTTGACTGTGCAAAAGGGTAATAATGTCGATTTCAGATGAAATGGATGCTGAACACATATTTGCATGTTTGAACTATTCTGAATATAAATTTCGTCTTATATTCATTACGTGAAGAGCAAATTGAAAACTATTCAGGTTCAATATTTTTGCAGTACATGACAGCAATTCAAATTGCAAAGCTAGCGTCTGTTTACATCACGAACTGTTCATCACCATTTGGATCTCTAATGTTATCAGTCAACCTCGGTGACACTCGGAACCAGTTCTCCCAACATTTCATTAATTGTTCCGTTTGTAGAAATCTCAGCAAGCTTTGGACTTCGAGTTGGAATTATAAATACGGCAACTGTTATACCTTCAACAATGGCGTGGATTATGAAGACAGCCCAATTGAGGTTTTACAATCATCTAAACCAGGACCGTCCCAAGGTATTGTTTTTATTCCGTTCAAATAATATATAAATATACCAATTTTGCTACATCAGCAAACGACCACACGACATATTGATGTAAAAGGTTACTTTCCAAACTTCGATGTATACAACCGGAGTTTTTCAGATTAAAACCAGTGTAACTTTTTTCATTAACCACAAAAATGACACGGCATCACTACATATGACACGGCATCACTACATGCGCCTGCGGTCACTCCACTCTAGACAATCTATATCCTTCTGCCAAATTGCAAATGAGTCTGCCAACGTTGTGTTCAACTATTTACGTGCAGGTTTAGTTCTTCAACTCGACATTGAAGAGAATGAGTACATTGGTGAACTCTCAAACGAGGCAGGTGTGCGGGTTGTGTTGCATGAACAAGGAGTTATGCATTTTCCTTATGAAGAAGGATTTAGTGTCGCCCCAGGTATGGCGACCTCGGTTGGAATAACGAAAGTAAGTATGGAAATAAACGTCTTGAAAAACCGTAAATCTTTTTTCCACTTCTTTCACTGCACCTCAGCTTATATTTCGTGCTCTTTCATTCTGTTTGAAGTTAGTTCGAGACTTTTGGTGACTAAAATGTGTTATAGCCATAGAGCGATCCGTTTATTCCTAAGTACTAGTTGGTTGACGTTCTAACGTTGAACTGATTTGAAGTTGTATAGAAAGAGTATTCCGTGACCCCGTAACCAGTGAACTCTAGATTAGAAAGACTGGAAGGATAACTGTTTTATCTTATATCTTTGAAGCCAGTTTGAAGGTTCCGATAAATCAGTGCGATCGTCAACTGCGAGTTGAGAAACAATAGAAATGGTCCTTCAATTTGGTTCCAAAGGTAGCGACGAGGATAACATATTTACAAAAAACCAAGATGACGGACATTTTTTCTACGAACAAAGTATTGTTTCTATGGAGTAAAGTACGCACATACTAAAATAGCTTGCTTTTTATTATTGCAGACAATGATGAAGAGATTGGACAGGTTCGACAATGGAAGTTGTTTCGATAAAAGTGTTAAACTAGCTAAAGACAACTTGTACCGGGGAAAACAAAATATTACACGCTATTCTATGCAGGTTTGAAAGTACACTCGAACATTTATTTGACGATTGAATCTCTTTATTAAATGGTCACCTGTGATGTAAAAAATTACCCTAATTTAAATTGATTTATAGAATTTAGTAACTTGTTTTAATTGTTTTCGAAATACTCAATCTTGATCCAAATGCAAATATCATTGAATATTTTAAAAATTTGAAACTTTTTGACATTATGCAATCAATTGCAATGCTAATTTTATTGTCTAATTACTACAGAAACTTGGGCCATCGTTACCCAGTGTTTCTGTCGTAATCACTCAAGCGTTTCTTTTTTCATAATTTTCTCTATATGTATTTCCATAAACAGGCATGTCTGAACTCTTGTTTGGGAGTAAGTCAATTAGCCATGTGTAAATGCGCAGACGTCTCCTATCCAACAGGCAAACCATGCGACCTTTTCAATCCAAGAGAAAGTAAGATTGTATTCAATGCTTTTAATTTTTAGGATTTTAAATCTTGTAAATAATATACGTAATTTGTTTGTTTCAGGAAACTGTTTGCTTAAAGTGAAATATCTTTTTAGTAAAGATCAATTATCGTGCATCAAGAAATGCAAGCGACCATGCAGGCAAGTTTTGCTTTATTCCAAAGTATGGAAAAACTTCTACAATTTCGTTCACAAGCTAATTCGGAAAATTTATCCATGATCTTAGACTAATCAGACTATTAAAAAGTGTCAAATTGATTCATGTTTTAAATGATATATTTAGGGAAGACGTTTATGAAAAGACAATAAGTATATCACAGTGGCCATCAACCGCACACATGGTATGTGTATTTGCTGTGAAAGGTTGATCTTCCAACAAGTTGACCTTGCAGACATGCGGCGACGTCAACGTCGTTGTAATTGCTGCATTTTTTGTTATCAAGTAAAAAAGTGCATATACCCATTGGACAGTGAGACTGTGGCTGGCAATGTATTCGCAACTAAATACATTTAATTTTTCACTGTTTTAGACATTTTTGGAAAAAAGCGGGTCGCCCATGGCTAATAGAAGGTACATCGTCGGGTCACGATAACAACACGCATTTTGGATGAGCTGATGGCTTCAACGCATCTGTTAAGTTTTACATGAAGTATAGTATTCAAATCACGCAAGTGATCAAGTGTTTTAAATTGCTTTAAATACGCCGTATTGTTGTCGACCAAAAACCAATTAGGTTGAAACATTATGACTTGTAAAGAATAATAAGGAACGTACGTGACAAGTATTTCATTGGCTAAAATGCTTATGCAATATTAACGAGTTCTTTAAGTTTGATCTATTCATTGACAATGTTGATTATAATTACTGTAATTTGAATTTCTATTTTTGTAGTAGTGTACTCCAGTTGAATGTATTCTACAGTCAGTTGAATTATCATGTTATTGAAGAATCATATTCGTACGGGGTGAGGAATTGACAAGTTAGTCGAATACAAAACGCGATCAAGATTTTGATATTGGCCTTGGCCTAAAAGCCGCCCTATCTAAAATTTTACTAGGATTAGATTTTAAGGTCACCAAGCCACCATTCCACTTAGACCCATGGGTTTTTTACTGAATTTTATAATAGTTTTAAAATAATATTCTCAATTAAAAAAGCTGCATAAAAAATTTCCCGTTAACTCTTTTTAGCTCGCCTGCACTTTAGTGCAAGAGAGCTATTGCTATAGTCTTGGCGTCCGCGTCCGCGTCCCCGTCCCCGTCCCCGTCCCCGTCCTCGTCCCCGTCCCTGTCCGCGTCCACACTACATGATAAGTAGAATGTTAAGATGCCACTTTTATTTTCCCATTATTTTCAACTTATCTACTTAAGGAGTCTATTTGTTGCAAAAGAACCATTTACCAGGGGGGAGTGAACATTATACAACAAAATATAATGATAAGGTCAATGTTAAAATGCTATATTTTTTCTATACTTTGGCTTTACATCAGAGGAATCATTATCAATATAAGTCATCAATATGCATTGTGACTATTTATTGCCATTTGGTACACATTTATACAATAATAAAGAGAGTTTTGCTCAAAATTATCAAATGATAAGGTGAATGTTAAGCTAATTAGCATAATGATAAGGTCAATGTTAAGATGTTATATTTTTTAAATATTATGGCTTTGTATCAGAAGATTCATCATAAATATAGCTCATCGATATGTCTTGTGACTATATGGTGACATTTAGTACACATTTACACAAAAATAATGGGAATTTTGTTCAAAATTATCAAATGATAAGGTGAATGTTAAGCTAATTAGCATAATGATAAGGTCAATGTTAACATGCTATATTTTTTAAATATTATGGCTTTACATCAGAGGAATCATCATAAATATAAGTCATCGATATGCATTGTGACTATTCAGTGCCATTTGGTACACATTTATACAATAATAAAGAGAGCTTTGCTCAAAATTATCAAACGATAAGGCAAATGTTAAGCTTATTAGCATCATGATAAGGTCAATGTTAGAGTTATCCAGAGTTATCACGCTCATTACGATTTTCATGGCTATTGTGTAGCCCTGTTTTTTTTTAGTTCAAAGTTGTAGCTGAATCATATTTAACGAAACTATTCAAATATTTTCACCCGTATGCTACCATTTGTTTGTATTGTACATGTACAATTATAAATTATGAGATTGTGTTGTGACATGCCGTATCAAAATTCAATCGCTTAATATAGAAATCATTCAGGGAGTGAAAATATATAAAACATAGTCCAACGTTAAAGTTTAAAGAATATTGTCAGATTAATTCGCAATTACAAGCTTTAGCACATAAGTATTTATAAGTAGAAAGCCGATAGGCTCGGAATGCAAAGGCAAACGGCAACGCATGTGACATATATTTGCATATTATTTATGTAGATACACATGCAAATATATTATTTAAGCACCTATAAGATTTATGTACATACCTTTTCGTTGTTTGATGCATAATCCTTTTTTGTGTAGATATAAAAATCCAATCTTGTTTATTTCATAAAGCTAGGCGCACACACGACGATTTTAGTCGGCCGATTCCTGTCTAGATTGTCTAGATGGATGTTTTCATCAAAATGTGGCGACTGGCGATCCATACTTGGTCATAATATTAGACCATATGATTAGACCAAGTAGACTCGCGTACACGCGCGAGGCGCGAGCGCCGCGAGAAGGAAAACATGTCTGGGCAAGGGCTGCCTATATGTCTAAACCAGAATGGACCAACTACCGTAAAATCGTTGTGTGTGCGCCCGGCTTAAAGCAGGGACTTTTGCCTGGTCCGTTAACTTACCTGTTGATATCACGTGCGCGGATTGCGAGAAACGGAAGAAATATTGGTCACAAATAAAACTAATGTAATTCCGAGGCCAGTTTTGGCCAGTAATTCTGAGGTCACAACTAATATCTGAAGTTTGTGCTTAATATTACCTTCCAACGCGGATTTTAGCCTTGTAATTTGTAATAAAAAGATCGGTAATTTGTGCTTCATACAGATACCTTTCATACAGAGTTTAGCCTTATTCTAGACAAACAGTGCAGGCGAGCGTAAGGTGATTTCAGCACCTCTCTGGTTTGGTTGTATATTACTGCCAAAAATGAAGAAATTCTAGCGACCCAAAACGCGAAGTTGATAAAACTGCGTAGAATAATAATTGCACTATTTTTTACAATAGTATTACAGATAATAGTAGAATATTTAGGCGGTTTTTGAAAGCATCTTGGGCAGTATATAATTTTTGAACATTTTTACAGACTACAAATCTTCTGGCTGATATCGGAGGGCAACTTGGTTTGTGGATTGGCATCTCAGCTCTGACTTGTGGCGAAGTATTAGAATTGATATTTCAGATTCTTACATTTTTTTACATGAAGTTTATAAAACGAAGGGAAACTCGGGTGATTAAAATCGGAGGCTACCCGGAATGAAGAATGAACACCGACAACGTTTCAGCATAAGCAAGAACGGAAGAGAGAACTGAATATTTTACTTTATGATAGGATATAAGCCAAATTAACGATAGCATATTAATATCATAGCCGTTCTTACATTGAAATGAGAATTATGAATAGTTGTTTTTTAGCATCAGTACATCCACTACGATAAAATACCCTCAATTATTCTGCTATAAATATACTACCAAATAACTTCACATCAAATGTGTTATAAAAAATGTTTAAAATAAACAAAAACATTTCAAGCTTACGATTTCATAGCCCTCATCAATGAGGATCAGTAAGCTTACTCACTGAGCTTATTTACCGATAGAAGACGCTGCTTTTTGGTTATGCTATCAAATAATGCTAATAAATATATGTGCATGATCAGTCATGTATAGAAATAGCTCAGTCAAGAGCGTAAATTTTTAATTGTCTTTTGGGGATTATTCTAGCCACGAATACATTAAACAAGTTAGGGGCTCGAGAAATGCAATTTCACCGCTATATTCATAACGAAATACTCTATTTCAATTCAATGTATGACCAGTTTGACTATTTTGGCCGCCTAAAGGAATATTATTGTATACAATAATCCTTCAAAAAATAGCTTGAAAAGTGTGATACTGAGCTATGATATAACATCACAACTTGAAACTTAGCAACACAAGATTGTAGCAAATACATTTAGATCATGTTTGTACCAAACTTATTGTCAACAGCTTGGGACAATTAAACACAACTTGTCGACAGTTTGTTTGCAGAAAACTGTGCACGCGACAATCTTGGGGCAAGATATGTTGTCAGCTGTAATTTCAGCTATATTTAAAAAGTCCGAATTTTTCAGTTGACAATTTCAAATTAGCGATAACCTATCATATTTTTAAAACAGGTTTTATTTTTTCAAAGTTAGAATTTAAAACAGAGTTTGTATTTTCAAAGGAAAACCTCAGTTACGTTTGCCGACCGATAATAATTAACGATACATTGAGGAACCACAAAATACGGGTACCAGAAAAATGTTTCTTTCTAACTTGCCAAACATCAATGCTTATTATACACACAGAAGCTGAAAGCCGGCACACGGGGTAGTCGGTAGGAATGCTGCAAAATCCCACGAAAGGAAGAACGTAAAACTTAAGGAAAGGTATGAAACTGTTTACAAAAACTTAGGCAGGCGTTTTCCATTTAGTAATTTATCTGATTTTGCGAGCAAAAATCTGATAGAACACCAGGAGCGTAACCACAATACAAAACTCAGTTTATACATTGTTTCGCGATGTAATATTTGAATCCGCGAAGCGAGTTGTTAAATCCGAGTTAACTCAGAAACACACTACGACCCTGATGGCCAATTCCTTAACTACAGTTATTGTCGATTTCATAATACTTTCAAAGCGCGCTTGCGAAGTTCGTTGTGAAGTTTGCAATTATGTTTCGAATGTTCGGAGTTTAAAACAAACTTCGAAGGTCAAGCTCATAAACAATTTGAAAATACCTTTTCAAACAGAATTTAGTCAACTTACTGCAACCAAAACAGTTTCGATTTGAGTTGAAATGGTCTCATAATCTCATTGTATGCAGTTACGTTGGTAAGTCATAGTTTACATGCAGTGTATTTTAATATTTTACAGTATATTTTAGTGAAGGGGCTAATCGGAATGCTTAATCAGACACCGTTATCTTCGACAATTCATATCACCCGACTTACAAATATTTTATTGTGATATCATGCATTTGTACCTCTCATATTTATAGTGTTTACCGCAAAAATTATTCTTAACAATGGTATAAATATATACCCAAATTACGGTTGTTAAACCCCCTTCGCTTTCTGGCGCACGCTGATTGACTGCGGCTTGCCTAGCCAATTCTACCACCCAAACAAAACAAAAACGGAAAAAATAAAAATAGTCCTTTTTTTAGTGGGTTGTAAATGAAGCGAACTTACGATCTGAAAACAAAATGTTATAAAATAATTTTTTTTAACTTACTGGTTCCGTTGCTCTAATTGTTCAAAGAAATGTAAGATCGCTATTTAGAATAAATGATGCTCGGGAGATTTTGGAAGAATAAAAGTATATTATTCAAAATAACAACTAGTATTTATACAACTGGCCCCAGGAGGCAAACTGAGTGAAAACGCAAACTTTTAATTGGCAATGCCTCAATGACAAACGATCTAGATTTATATTTTTATCATTGTCGTCAGGTACTGTATGCATGGATAGCACAAGCAACATTATGAGCACAGAGAAAGAGATGGCAAAGCAAAGATCACTTCGTGATATTTTGGTCGATTTTATGGGTTATACAACCGGACATGGGTTTGCAAGGCTCGTTGCTGCAACTTCAATTGCTTGGAGAATATTCTGGGTCGTTGCTGTTTTGGGCGCATTTGGAATGTTCGTCTTCGAAGTATCGGAACTGTTTAAATTGTTTCTGTCACGACCTGTACAGACATCTGTAACAGTTACATTTGAGAAGGTAGGGTTTTTACGAAGAAAAAAGCAAGGACCTTTTCCAACTGACCTGGTTGTTACTATGCAGTAACCGAAAAAAAAATCAGCATGTGATAGCGTTCAGACCAAGTTTCAAATCATGACATCACCATGCAAATACTCAAAAACGACACGTAATTTAACAACAGTCAATATACCATATGCAATAAGTAAAGTTAAATGTCCAAATGGGCCAATAATGCAAAAAAAATCTATCCACCTATGTACAGTAGGCAATACCAAAGCCTGTAATTTGGACCTACTAAGCTATAGCAATTGTTGCAACAATTAAGCCTGGTTCTTTTATGAAACGAAAATTCGGCGAATAGCTTAGCCATTTTGAATATTTTTTTGTTACTTTCCACCTACAATGTGATGTATTCCAGAAATAGGCTTAACCAGAGCCTATAACGAGATTCTCTTTTACATAATTCCAGCAACTGAAATTTCCTGCCGTCACGATTTGTAATTTGAACCTGATAAAGGCGAGCCAGATGAATAAGCTGCCCGATGAGTTGGTAGAAAAGTTCGCTTACGACTATTTTTACAGTGGGGCCGCTGTCAACGGAACCTCGAGTGGAAATTTCTCAAGCAATTCAACCCAGCTGCCTGGAGGCTTCGCTGGTCATGGAAATGTTAACGCTGCTAAAAGTGGGACTCTTAATAGCAGCATACAACCGACTGTAGTGGTTAATTTTACCTCACCAATGCAACCAATTGTAAATGTTACCAACGTTAGCGCTACTCGGAGTCCAAGTGAAACTCTTCATGTTACCTCACAACCGATTGTAAATGTTACCAGCCAACCGACAGAAGTTAATAGTGCTAGTGCTACCCAACAATCGAGTGCTGCTATGAGTTCTACTGTTAGTCGTAAGTGTAAAATTATCTTTCAATTTCATCTTTGCATTGAAATTTTTGCAAGTCTCATTCTGAATGGCATTAAGGAAAGCAAATATTATAAGTAATAACTCGCTTCAAGCTCTGCCTGGAATTCGACTCGGCTGAAAATCTGTGAATTGTGTTTTGAAACTTAGTGATCTTACTACTAAAGGGGCCGTTTACACTTGCGATTTTATGTGCAATTTTCTTCTTTTGATAGATGTGAACGAGTAATTAGTTACGAATGCTCTGATGTGTACGAGCTCTTATTTCAACATTCGTAACTAATTCACTCGTTCACATCTACCAAAGGAAGAAAATCGCACATAAAATGGCAGCAAAAATCGCAAGTGTAAACGGTCCTTAAAGTCAACGCTATCTTAAATGTTTCACCGATGATGGAAATCGCATTTTAATTAATAATGAATAGGAGTAATTAATTAGTAATGAATAGATAATTTATTAATTAATAGATAATAATTAATAATAATTTAATTAATAATAAATAGAACGAATAGGAGTGCTGTTGATGACAAAATCATACGAGTGATTACAAAATTAACCGATCGCGTAGCGGGAGGTTGATTTGTTGATCACGAGTATGATTTTGCTATTAATTGCACGACTTAATTCGTTCTATTACTTATTAATTATATGCCTTCCGTAATCAACTTCTTTTAAGGAAAAGTACTAAAACACAGTTTGTCGAAGTTCAATATATTAATATTAGATTTTTCCCTTCTTAACTAATGAAATTGCAGCATTTGCCCCTGATTAAAGAAAGTATATAATCAATAATGGTAATTGCACTGAGTGGAGTGCAATTTGGTGTGAAATCAAACACGTGATTACAAAATCTTGATTAAAAAAGTTTGATTTCACACCAAAATTCCACGACACAAAATTCATAACGATATATTGGCTGAAAGAACCGTAAACGGTGTAAAATGTGAGTAATTTTCATTTATTTTTGTCAAGAAATTTTGCGAAGCATTTAAAAATGCAAAATAATAAAATTTTGTTCCATTATCCCCTGTAATTTGATTGGATAGTTACGCTGAAATACTAAATCTGATTGGCTATTGTGGTGCAAAGCTTCAATCTTATTGGCTTTTAAATGATGTGATTAATGCTCAACAATAGTGCGATTTGGGAATTAATCACACCATTTTTAACCAATCAGATTGCAAGAAACACCATTGATTTCAAAATGAATATAATAAAACCAGTTATTGTCTCATCCAGTATATCATTGCAAGTATTTACCAAAACGTTTAACATTAAACCTGTTATTGTCTCATCCAGTATAAAACCATTGCAAGTATTTACTTAAAACGTTTAACTAAAAGGTAAACGAAGGAAAAAGCAAGAAGTACATACACCATCTTCTAGCGGGGAAAATAAAGATCCGAAAAATGAATATTCTGATAGCACAACAGCCTATGGAGATGCTTGGTAAATATTTATATCTCAATTTGACCAGTAAATTCTTCCATCTGTCGTCTATTTAGCGGACAAGAGAGGGCGATTGATGATGCACGCATATATAGTTAATGGAACAAGGTCCTCATTTAGCAAGTTAATGAACTAATAAATGCAAGCAAAACAATACTTGTAATGTTGTTATTGTTATGCAAAATAAAAAAATCTTCTGATAAAGATAAATCTTCTGATTAACATGTTGTCAAAACCAAGAACAGGCAACTAATCCAAACCGCAGAGAAATGGAAGGAAGAGCGCATTTCAATCCGTCTTCGAACCATGTATAATTATTATCATATTAACAAAATGTGAGCTTTAGCACTACGAAAACAAAAACTATTGCACGATAGATGCTCACCTACAAAATATGCGGCCAGTAATAGGCTTTGGTTTTCTTTTTACGCTACCCTCAAGACATCAGGTTTGCGCTTAATAAATACTGACTTATTCGTTTATTTAAAGGAATTACGATTATACGGACACCTCCTATAGCGACATTGCAGATGAATACCCAGACGATAGTGATTTAAGCCCCGAAGCTAAGCTGAGATTGAAGATCGAGTCATATATCGGAGCAGAGGATCCAAAGACTCTATTTTCGCTTGGACATTATGACGCTGATTTAATAAAAGGCTGTACGTGGAAGGGTGTCGACTGTGCAACAACAGGGTAACTAAGTTTCTATTATCTGTCTTCAAAGAATCAAATAGTGCTCTTTGGTATATAAAAATGCGATTCCTTGCAGATTTTAGCTACCATTCTTGCAGATTTTAGTTACAAGTCGTTTAACACTCCTTCCTTTTTACTGTTTAGTATATGTAAGTTACTGTATAGTTTGCTCGTTAGTAAAGCCAGGGATCAGAATATTACAATTACAAAGATTTAACAATGCATTGTGATGGACGTTTGTATCGTTTAAATCCTGAAAATTCGGAAATGTATTAATAAAAGCATTTAATTTACTGATCTCTTTGTAAAAATCTAAGCAAGTTTTGGTCATCAAGTTGGAATTATAGATACGGAAACTGCTACACCTTTAACAATGGCGTAGATCAAAACGATAACCCAACCCGGGTTTTAAAATCGTCTAAACCGGGACCATCTCAAGGTACAGACGTTATTCAGAAAGCGTTATTCAGATTGCAATACATGTATGCAGTTGTGTAGCAAGCTTGTCGATTTTGTCCAGCGTTACTAATATTTTAGTGATTTTGGACTGTAAAAACTGAAGAATTTTTTGAAATGAACTTAAGTGTAATTTTCAACATTGGTTTCAATTCTAAAGCAGATATAACTTCTTTTCATGAAACTATTCTAGCAACCTTTTCTTTAATAGGGCGTGTAAATATCGCAGGATTGAGAGCAGATTACACAATACGGATACAATTTTTTTAATTAGTAACGACAATATCTTGTAGTTCAATCTTACCTCCTGTCGAAATTCGGCAAATTTTTATTGAAATGCTGCACGAAGTTGTTCCAAGTTGACTTTCTTGATAAAACTCAATGTCCAAGATTTCTGACGATGAGTTTTTTATATTCACTAAACATTCAATAAAACAACACATTAGTGATTAAATATTTCCTTGGTAACCTTTAAAAATGATAGGCGATTTAAATAACATCTACACGTAAGTATGTAAGTAAATAAACTCTTTATTTATGCATAATTTATAAAATTCTATTTCAGAAACGTCAGAGCACCTTGTTACAATATCCAATATGGCGACCAAACATAATGAGTGTTAATTTATACATGTGTTTCTTCGCGTTTAGTTAAAAATATTTCTTACACTTTCAAAGACAAACTGCATAAGATTACACTCCTTTCGTCTGGTCGCCATATTGGATATTGTGGCCGCGTACGAGTTGGAGGCCTAGTAACGAGGTAATCTGTTATATCTGAAAAAGGCTTGACCGCAATATCATGAGCTCCTATGTTAATGTCCCAAACTGCAATACGAGTCTGCAGATTTCGTATGAAATACTGAGTTGTACTACTCTTTTATTCACACACAGGGCTAGTGCTTGAACTTGACATCGAAGAGAATGAATACATTGGTGAACTATCGCATGAGGCAGGTGTGCGGGTTGCGTTGCATGAACAAGGAGTTATGCATTTTCCTTTTGAAGAAGGATTTAGTGTCGCCCCAGGTATGGTGACCTCAGTTGGCCTATCAAGAGTGAGTATTGAAATTATACGTAGATACTAAAATCGTTTAAAATCTAACGATTCCTTTTCCGAAACACTTTGGAATTGTGTATTTGTTGAAACTATTAACCGGGCAATGTATAAAATTTTCTGTGTTATAATTGTCATATATCTTCGAGGAAATGACGTCAATTTACACTTTTTTGGATCGGTTGAAAAACTAATATATCAGAAAAATGAGAAATATACATTGTTTTTAATACAATAACGACAATATAGTTTATACCGTAATCATAAAGATATTCTCAGGCACATTAAATACCATTTTATCCAAACATAAGTACAGACCTATGACCCATTTATTTTAAGCATTTTCTGATGTTTAAGCATTTTCTGAGTTAACTGGAATTACCATACATATTGTTTTACAAAAATCCAAGATGGCATTTTTTTTTCGTTAGATCAAAGTATTTGTAAGGAGAAACGGAAAATAAGATTACATTTACTAGAAAAATGTCTCAAATTATAATCTAAAATAAATATTTTCTTATTTTTTTGTGCTGCGTCTGATTGCAGACAATGATGAAGAGATTGGACAGGTTTAGCGATGGAAGCTGTTTGGATGAAAGTGTTCCACTATCTCAAGAAAACTTGTACAGAAAAAACAAAAACGTTACACGCTACTCTTTGCAGGTCTGTTAAGTACGGTCGATCCCCTATTAAGGGAAGGCAACCTAATGTGAAAATCCCAAAATATTTCTAACGGTACGCCATGCATGTATTAAATGTATGCGGCACGGATCTCATCCGGATCTCACGACCGGTAAATAACGTATAAATTATTATTTAATAACGTTGAAGACGTCTTGCGACAAAAGCTAGCTACTAACAATAGACATTTCCCCTTTTAGCTTTCATGCGCGCAATGCGTGACAGCAGTTGGTTATCAAGCAACTTTGAGTTGCAATATCGCTCTGCTTAGAAGCGATTTTGTTTGTAAAAAAACCTTGCCGAGAAAGAGTTGCAAAAAAGCTGCGGGGGTACGCGGGTGCCACCCGGAGGAAGGTTTGCTTTGAATTAGGTTTGTGAGGAAGGTTCAAAGTTGAACACTCCTAATTGATCACATGCATGTACCAAAAAACCAAACATTTCTTTATGCTGGTTGCCACTTGACTCGGTCACGTAACCTCATTTTGAGGAAGGTTTTCAAAACTTGAAATCCTACCGGAGGAAGGCTGAACTCTTTTTGCAACTCTGTGCCGAGATTCTTTTTTGCTCCTTTGTTAAACTAAATCTCCCCTGAACATGGCGAAATCACAACTCAAATTGACCTTGATAATCAACTACCGTCACGCATTGGGCGCTTGAAAGCTTAAAGAGGAAAAGACTATTCATAAGATAAGCTATCATTTAAATGATATATATCTTGACAATAATGCTAACTTCACTGCAGCAAATGCTTAGAGAATGCATGTTGCCCGCTGTTTTCGATGCTGCTTCCGTATAACCCCTTGAAATTTTTTCTTTATCATAATTTCTTCTGCCTCTCTATAACAGGCATGTCTGAATTCTTGTTTGGGAGAAAGTCAACTGGCCATATGTAAATGCGCAGAAGCCGCCTATCCAACAAACAAACCATGCGACCTTTTCATGAAGTCAAATAGTAAGATTTGATGTATAATCTTTAAAATTTGATCAGATTCGAAATCTGGATTTGGAATTTTGATTGGATTTGATTTGGGTTAATTTTGACGCCATGCAACAGGCAACTGTTGGACAGCAGTAAGAGATTATATAGCAAATGCCAAGTTTATTGTATGTGCCTTCTTCCCATAACTTGCATGAATGTGCGCCATGAGGACACCGTGTTGGTTTCAAGAATTTTAAACGATGTTTCTAAGTTCTATTCAGCTACACGACCAACACAAAATATTGCTTGACACGTCTTTTCCTTCGAATAGCGTTATTTTCATTCGTTTTGTGTGAGAAAAATAAATGGAAGCGGCGCTACTCAGTGAAATATAAAATACCCTAAGTTAACTAATACCGTATATCGGGGTATGACCAAGGGGAAACAATTTTGATATCCACGAGACGCTACTATTTGTTTTTTGTTTTTAGGGCAGTGTTTGCAGAGAGTGAAGTATCTTTTCAGCAAAGATCAATTACCATGCATCCAGAGATGCAAGCGACCATGCAGGTATGTTTAGAACTACCATCGCGTAAATTTTAGCCTTCAGAGAAATTTACTTCATTAAAAATATTTTGCTAAATAAAAAAGACAGATACTTGTTTACTTTCTTTTCTGAAGAATTGAATAAAATTCTCTCTTCTGAATAAATTTATAGTTTCGTTAAATGAATGGGAAATGTTTTTATGACTGGGAATGTCATTTGTGAACTTGATTGTTGATTGTTTTAAATCTTTAGGGAAGACATTTATGAAAAGACAATAAGTACATCTCTGTGGCCATCTAGTGCGTATATGGTATGTAAATGATTTCTGAAAATCTTACTTCCCAACAAAGTTCTCGTTGCAATAGTCCAAATTTGTCGTGTTAGGCTTACTTGCGATAATGATTTAAACTTGTTTAGATTTGGACCGCTACATTTCCTAAATATGATATACTGTTGATTTTAACACGCTGGCTCGCTCTCACGCTCTGCGTGCTTTCGAATTAACTGCAGTTAATGTCAGGGAAAATTTTTTCAACATCACATCAGCGATACCCCATTATTACGACTGTAACTGATTCACACCACCGAAATTACTTTGCCTATAAAAATAATGACCTACCATTCACGTGTTCAAACTTACTTCTCTTGAAGCGTCTGTCCACTTCTTCTAAACAAAAGATTTAACAACAGATGTAGATTGGACAGAAAATAACAAATATCGTTGTTGACGATGTCGATTGTTTATAGTATTTAATATAATTACAAAGGTGATTAATAAAAATTCTCGCCCTTATTGCAATAATCATGCTAAGGAAATTTTTCAAAATGGCGGCGAGTTGTTTCTGTCAGATGAATAAATAAGTTAAATGAATTTCTGTCTGATGAATAAATACGTTATATTGAGGAAAATACCGTAACTGAAAGCACAGAAGAAGTGAAAACATTAGACAAAAAATTATTTTCAACTTTATTTTGCGAAAAGATTGTTTAATTTGAATCGCCATAAAACTGTCGAGATATTTGTTTACGTTTGTAAAACATATATTTTCTACAAGAGTTTCCTCTTTTCAAAAAACCACCTTGATAATTATACTAAAAATTACTATACCTATGAATAGTTGTTAAATATATATAGTTGCATGTGGCAACCGGAAAATAAATAAATTTTAACTCTCAAATGAAGAAAATGGGGGATAGTGTGCGAAAAAAACATACAATAATCTCAGTTTGGATGGTGAGATCAATAAGTAATATAGCTTGTAGTTACACCACATAAGTATTTGATACTCGGACCCAGCCTCGTACCCAGGGTAAAGACCCTGGTACGAGGTTGACTCGGGCCCGGCCCGGGTTAACGGACCGAAAGCTTTGCAGTATCAAATATTTACGTGGTGTACCTACAAGCTAAATCACTTTATGTTTCCTTCATTAAATACATTCAATATCTTGCTATTGTAGAATTTTTTGAGATCGAACGATGCGACTGCGCCCAATAGGAGGTACAACATTAGTCTCTAATAATACGTCAAATTTGTTACTTGATTCAGTCATTAAAATGTTGATGACATTTAAACTTTCATTACTGTAGCAGCGTGCTGTTGCTGAACATATTCTACAGTCAGTTGAATTACCAAGTCATTGAAGAAACGTTTTCGTACGGGGTAAGGGTTTAAATATGTGCATGTTGGTCTACGAACCATCGTACTATAAGGCTAATTCAATAAGATAATATATACGTACAATAAAGCTAATCCAATAAGCTAATCTGTACGTACTATATGAGGCTAATCCAGTAATCTAATCTATACATTCTACATATGAGGTTAATCCAATAAGCTAATCTATACGTATTGTGATGCTAATCAAATATGCTAATCTGTACGTACTATATGAGGCTATTCCAACAAGCTAATTTAAACGTATTATAATGCTAATCCAGTAATCTAATGTATACGTACTATTAGTATAATGCTAATCCAATTATTAAGCTAATATATTTGTATTATAATGCTAATCCAATTGATAAGCTAATATATATGTACTATAATGCTAATCCAATTAATAAACAAATATATACGTACTATAATTCTAATCCAATTAATAAGATAATCTATATGTACTAAATTGCTAATCCAACAAGCATTGGATTTCGTAGGAATAATGTAATATACGTTCTACACGGTAAATGAAGGACATTCATTTTGTCGCATTTTTAGACAACAAATCTTCTAGCTGACATAGGAGGGCAACTTGGTTTGTGGATTGGCATCTCAGCTCTGACTTGTGGTGAAATATTGGAGTTGATGTTTCAGATTATTACTTTCGCTTACATGAAGTGCAAAAATCGCAGAGAAAATCGTGTGATTAAAATAGGAGATACCACGGAATGATGAACACCAGCACCTCCAATGCAAACGAAAACAGAAAAAGAAAGCCCACATGTCAACGGCAATATAAAATTTAATAAGAAAAACCAACGAATTTAAAACAAAACGCAAATTAAACAAATCGAACAAAAAACAAATTAAGATTTTACTACACTTTAAGATAAGCCTAGTTTTAAAACGATATTTAATGTAATGCATTGCAACGAAGATAATGTAACAATCATATAAATATTGCTCATTTTACGGCACATTTGCTTGAACTACGTGTTTGACTTAGAAACTTAAATAGAAGAAAATTGAATAGCACCCCAATAACCTAGTTCGGTGATGTGTTACTACGCAACAAGGTGGCACGTTCTTTGCCTGAATAAATGCATTTGAAACAAAACATTCAGCGTTAACTGAAAAATTGTATGTATGTATAACAGAATCCTTTAAAATTATTTCGAAACCGAACCGGATTAGGTAACTCAACTACCTTTGCCCTCAAGCAAATGTCTTGCTAGAAAAATAAAGACCCCCCATGCATTCCCCTTCACATCTGTTCGAGTAAGTTTAAAAGGTTTTGTTACAAAGTAGACAATGAGACTCCAGGCAACAATATTGATGTCACATGCATGCATGCATTATTAAGCCGGTTTTCCACTGGCGATATTTTTTGCGCGAAGCGACATTTTTCTTTTGCTTCAAAACTGTGCACTGCAACCATCTGGAACAAATTACTCCATTACGAAATTATATTAAATTGAATTATATTAATACTAAAAGTATCGCGGGTGGAAAACTAATTTTATGCATGGCTTCCATTTAGTAGTGAGCGTCAGGCAACATGTCAGGGTGGAAGATGTAATATAATATTTCTGTTCGTGCATATGCAGTAATAAAGACAAATTTACATCCGAACAATTTCTCATCGGTAAAAATGAGTTGTTCACGACAAAGTTAGCAAAGGAGACGTTAATATACATGATATATATAGATGCGTAATGCATTAGTTTTCAAATGAATGACACATGCTGAGGCCATAATTGCATAGCAACTCCGAACTGAAATATTATATTGGAATAAACTGTACATGTATAAACATTGCACAAATGATTCAATAAAATTTCACTCGAACAGTGTATTGGTGGTGTAAACCTGCCATCTTGCTTTAAATTACAGTCTTGTGTCAAGAGATACTAAGCCGATTGAAAATAGAAAAAGGACAGGATTAACAAATTTGATTTCTTCTTAAATAATTGCACTGTCGCGTTTTTTACACACGTACGTACACGAACGTGAAAGTTTAAAGGCGATTTCCATTACCGTCCGCTTCACCCGCGCGGGCGAAGCGGCTTTTGAAAATGTGCCATGCGACCGTGACGCATTTTAAATTTTCCGTGCGTGTATCTGCTTAAAAAAACGCGTAAGTGGAAAGCAGCCTTAACCAAAACAATGCTTAACTTGGCATGTAAATTAGTAGATATTGATATTGTATACGTCTGAAAATATTTGGTTACAATAACGCTCCTAAACAGCTGCGAAAATATGCGGTTAAAAAAAGTTCCTAAACAGCTGCTGTCATTGTTGACTGCACACACACAGAAATCAGCCGCCTTGACATGTTCACGACACTCACGACTATAGCTAAAAGTGGAGGCGAGGGACAAGTAAAACTCGAAGGCCATTGTATAACAATGAAATGCAAATTGTTGCACAAGCGAAAGCCAATTTGTCGCTAATCTCTGGTAATGCAGACGGCCTTAGGGGCTGTTTACATGAGCCCGGTTACCTGAGATTCAACGAAGCGTGAGAGACTTTGAGGTATTGAAATAAGTCTTTATGACACCAAACAAGCACATGCTATTGTTGTGGTGATTATACGACTGCCAGGATCATGTTATTTGCTCATTTCCATACCTCAAAATCATCTCACGCTTCGCTGAATCTCGGGTAACCGGGCTCATGTAAACAGCCCCTTAATTGTATTAGCCACATTTTCCTCGCAAACAGATAAAGCGCTGCTACGTAACGATACTACTCGAAAATACAAGGTAAGCCAGGCAAATTTCAGGAGTATCGTAGGATTTTGATTCAAATTATTGGACATCAAGGCTTATATAAATGACAAATAAAGCGTCTGCTAGCAGGATAGTCGAACGAATGGCGTAAAATCTCACATCGAAGGACAACAGCATAAGGCTCAAAGATAGATGAAAGAATATTTGAAACTACTTTTGCACATGAATGTACCTTATATATCTACACCTTTCACAGGCGACTGGTGAGATTTTAATGTAATTCAAGCTGTCATTTCTAAAATATGACCACGCGAGAGCTTGCGATGTCACGTTTTAGGCTCTCTTAAACAACGAGAGGCAAGTTTATCTGTTTTGAGATTGTTTTAGAAGATCTTACAAAAGCAAACTTTCAAGTCGACGAGTTTTATTGAGCAATCACCTATCATCACTTGCGCGCAAGGTTTAATGCGCGTATAAGACCATAAAAAATCCATATTTCTCATCTTACTATTATTTCTGTAAAAAAGTACTTAATTATATTTTAAAATATAAAAGTCTAAATCCTTACATATGTTATCTTTCAAAAAACTAAGTAAAAAAATCGAAAGAACTTAGTTCTCTGCATTTATCATGCATCCCAGTGTGCATTTATTGACCTAGATTTTTAATAATAAAAATTTAGAAGCATTTTAAATCTTGCGTGCGTGTACGTGTGGTGCGCAAAAAAACGCGTAAGTGGAAAGCAGCCTTAACCAAAACAATGCTTGACTTGGCATGTAAATTAGTAGATATTAATATTATATACGTCTGAAATGCTTCTTCTACAGTAACAACTTAATACATGTTTGTCGAAATACCTAAGGTAAATATTTGGTAACAATAACGTTCCTAAACAGCTGCTAAAATATTCGGTTAACAAAACGTTCCTAAACAGCTGCTGTACCTAGAGGTCGGCAAGAAGTGCACAACCGATGTAGTTCCGACGATTTTACGTCCGGTTGTAAGTTTGTCTTTACTTGATCTGTATTCAAATCGGTCATGGTTGACTGCACACAAATAGAAATATTCTATCATGCCTTGACATGTTCACGACACTTACGACCATAGCCAGAAGTGGAGGCGAGGCAAAAGTAAAACTCGAAGGCCATTTTATATTAATGAAATGCAAATTGGTGCACAAGGGACAGCCAATTTGTCGCTAATTTCTGGTAATGCAGACGGCCTTAATTGAATTGGCCACATTTCCCTCGCAAACAAATAAAGCGCTGCTACGCAACGATACTATTCGAAAATACAAGGTAAGCACGGCAAATTTCACGAGTATCGTAGGATTTTGATTTTGCTACAAATTATTGGACATCAATGCTTATAAATAAATGACAAATAAAGCGTTTGCTAGTAGGATAGTCGAACGAATAGCGTAAAATCTCACATCGAAGGACAACAGCATAAGACTTAAAGATAGATGAAAAAATATTTGAAACTATTTTTGCACATGCGAGGCTTCTGTTTTCCTTAAAGAATTTGAACCATTTTAGGATGAATTGCGCTTCTAGGCGACCCCAAAAAGTCTTAATCTTCCCACAGTACTCCTCCCATTCCACAAAATTGAAGTTGATACACATTGCTTCAAAGTATATACAATTTAGTCGGTCAAGATGTGATTTTAATACCTGACAGTGCTTTATAAGATAAACTTTAGTATTATAAACTATTAGTATTAGATAAAGATTGTACTTTTTACGCTATTTTCTAAGCTTTACGCTTAAAAGCGAGATAGAAGCGATTATAAAAAAAGATGTTCTTCGATATAAACTTTAATGGACCATAATAACCGCCTAAATTAGAAAAAACACTTCTCCACGTTTCGACCTTTCGAGCCTTTCACTGGGACACCCTGTATATGCTGTTCGTAGAAATTGATGATCCATGCAAAGGTTTATGTTAAATGGCGCAGCAACAGCGATATTTGAAGCAGAGCAATATTTATATATCCATGTTCAAAGCCAGTAAAAGCAATCGATTTTAGATTTTGGTCTTTATAGGCGATTTCTCTGTGATGAACAATCAAACAGGTTCTTTTTTATCGTTGTTCGTCATAGAACAAAGGCAAGACACAGTATGAACAACAAGAGGAATGGGGTTGAAAGGAAAAGAACACTTCGTGATATTTTGGTCGATTTCATGGGTTATACAACGGGACATGGATTTGCAAGGCTCGTTGCTGCAACGTCAATTGCTTGGAGAATATTCTGGGTCGTTGCTGTTTTGGGCGCAACTGGAATGTTCGCCTTCCAAGTAGCAGACCTGTTTAAATTGTTTCTAGCACGACCTGTACAGACATCTGTAACTGTTGCTCTTGAGAAGGTATATGATATAAAACGTATAGTATGATCATGTATTTAAGGGTTAGAGACTGTTGTGAATGTTTTGTTGACAAGTAAACGCACTTGCTGACCATACAACGAACGAAAAATTTCAATATTGCACTCGGCCGAATCTGTTCATTGATTGCTACATTGAAGATCCAAGCTTCGTTGCAGGCTGTCATTTTTGAATAAACCACGATTTTCATGCATGGGTTATTGCGAATAAACCACGATTTTAATGGCTTATTGCGAATAAACCAAGATTTTAATTATCTGTCGCCAGGCAACAAGAAACTACATGATTGATTTTCAACAAACGCGTGAGTAGATTGAGGCCAATGCACGAAGATTGTATATTAAATATAATTAATGATATAATAAACAAAATAAACAAAATGGCGGAATAAGTTTTTCGTATGCCAACCAAACAACCCTAATGGAACTTAAAAAGGCCAGAAAGGTAAACGAAAATACTGCCAAAAGTAGAAAATAATCGATAAAAGTCTGGCAGGACTGTATTTTTACAAGAAACTATCGCGTTTGCGTTGAAAATTACGCCCGAAAAAATCGCGATGAAACGCTACAAAAGTTGTACGATTTTACTATAATAAACAAGTAACTTGTGATATTTGACGGCTCGTCCAATTTTCGTTAAATTTCAAACATCACTCGTATACTATTAATCCCGAATTGTACTCTCCATCGCAGGATTACCTCGCTACCGTAAACCTATTGGTATCCTTATATATTTTCAGAAACTAAAATTTCCTGCCGTTACGATTTGTAATTTGAACATGATAAAAAAGAGCAAAATGGGAAGTCTGCCATTAGAATTGTTTGACGATTTTAAGCTTAACACAACTGAAAAGCCGAGTGAGACTGTCAAGAGTTCCACGCAATTGATTAGTACCACGGAAGGTGTTATTGTTACCCAGGAACCGAGTGCACCTATCAGTTCTACTGCTGAAAGTAAGTGTAAGGTTAATTTCCTATATAATTTCATATTTAAGTTTTTTGCAGGTTCCGACCATAAACATTTTGATAACATGGTAATAGTATAGTTTCGAGTTAAATTACAGGCAAAATTGCATTAGTGATGAGCATTTTGAAGACTGCAAAATAGTAATTCATTATCACAATAATCACCGACCTTTAAGCGGATTTTTCAAGATGGCGGCGAGTTTTTGTCAAAATGGCAGATAAAACCACTTCATTTAAGAAATGCTGAACCCTGTATAAAACAACGGGGAAAAACGAAAGAAATGGCCTAAAAACGACGTTGCAGAATGGTGTTTAACTTTATTTCACACTGTCGAGACATTTGTGTTTACGTTTAAAAAAATGTATTCCCTTCAACCTATATTGCTTTCGAATACTCCATTGTAAAACATTTGTTAATATCTTCGTGCATAAAAATTAATTAACACCCTGTATAATAAATTTGTATAATCCATAAATCTAAATCCCTTTCATGGCCTTCATCTGAGAGAGATAATGCTATTGCATGCGTATTTGCAACCAGTTTCTCTAAAGGTCTGTTCACGCGATCCGATTTTGTCGGATCCAAGTTAACTTTCCAACAGACAATAAAACATCAATCAGAAGTGTATTGGATCCAACAAATTGGATTATGCGAATAGACCTTAACTCTCTTGCCAAAATCTCCATGCATTAACAGTTATCGGAAGGAAAAAACGGGAGATTAAGGAAGACGAATTTGTACCACCAGGAGAATACACTAATTGGTAAGTATATTTCAATTCACCTACCATTTCAAGGATTATAAAGTACGAGTGATTCACCGCTTAACTTTCAGTTAAGAGGCGAGAATCGCCTTAAAGATAATCAATCTGATACGACTCATTCGCGTGCAAAATCTTATATTTAAATGACCTTCGATACTAAGATCTTGAAAGTTTTCCTGTACTTCCTCGAAAGAATCACCCGTGCATTAACATTGCGACACCTCCCCCTTCCCCCAACCTGCTAAACGATCTTCCGATGCCACCGGATAGAGTATATATTGATTTTACTCTAAAGGTACGACACTAGTTCATTGGAGGAAGATGAATCTTACGAGGATATATCCGACGAATTCCCGCCTATAAATGAACTCCGCCCACAGGAAAAGCTAAGAATAAGGGTTGATTCGCATCTTGGGGTCCAGGATCCACCAAATCTATTTCCGCTTGGCCATCAATATCGCGACTTAATAAAAAACTGTACGTGGAAAGGCGCAGACTGTGCACACGGGTAACGACATTTTTTATAAATTCATATATTTAGGCAAAAATGTTCTCCGTGTTTACCATACTTACCCTTGACGGGCATATTCAAATCTAAGAATGTAAATTTGTCCCTTTCCCTCACCAGCTCACTCATTACGAGTGCCAAGGCCATGCCCGTCAAGGGTAAGTGTGGTAAACACGGAGAACATTTTTGCCTATATTATTGCCTGTATTGCAACTCCAAAATTATTTTGGAGCAAATCATATTCATATATTTATATATTTAAACCTGGCTTTAATCACTCGCAGACAGTCGGCAGTGCTCTGCGATCCATTGCCGCTGGCCAATGAAGTAGAATATATTTTCCACGGACAAACATTTTATGCGTCGGTAACAACCGACAACAGAGATCCATGACTCGCTGCGAGTGATGAAATTAACCAGGCTTTAATTTCGTAGTCTTCACAATTGTTATGTACAGTTTATACAACAAAGATATTCAGGATATTGATTTGATGCATGCCTTATAGTATAGAAATGGCGCGCATGCCTAATATTATAGAAATATCGGACAAATTGAATTAAAGAAATCTATTTAAGATGACATTTTTTCCTTAAAAATATTTTTAACACTATGCCAAAAGCCAAAGGCTCTGCATCAAATCAATATCCTGAATATCTTCGCCATCATTTGCTGCATAAATAAACGTATAATCATATGCTTTCAAACTCGAGGTTCCTGAGCCATTTCATTTTTGTAAACATTCTTCGCTATAAACTATAGCGCGCCTATATTCCCCACAAATGCTACTAACCTTCGTATTTGAAGTCGAAAAAACATGTCAAAATAGTTAATAGCCACGTCAGCCTCACATCAATACTGAGTCCAAATCAATGTTAATATTCGTCAATTCTGATCCATAAATAACACAAAATCCCTCCAAATAAGTTTCTAAAGCAAGGAAAGAATGCCATAATTAAGGTTCATGCAATTCGAGAGCCACTTTTTTTGCGGACAATGCTGCTTCATGGACACCTAGATCCCGGCTTTGACATTTTCCAGACGTTTCATCCCGTGGTTTTGGTGTATCGATGCTGTCTAGCATAAGAAATTTTTTTTTGGCAATAGGAGTTCCCGCTGAAATACAATCGCGGGGATAAAAAGGCTAATATTTCAAACAATTTATTACAAAAACGATTGAACATGAGCATTCTTCTGATCTGATTGGCTATCAACTTGCTTTGTCACTCAATTGGCGAAAAAGAAAATTGCGTTCGTTTATTTTGTTTAAAAGACATACGATTTGAACTGTTTATTTGAAGGACCTTGTTTCTAGCCTCTGTTGTCGCGGCCCATAGTACTTTATGGAGTTGCAGCGACGTTTGTTGAAAACAACTTAGGGCTCGATTTGAAATTCTATTCCGTTTCAAAATTTGAAATTCATATTTATTTAAATGTCTAGCGAACCAGTTTGGTATAAAATATTCTGAAAGTTGATGTTTTTTTAAAAAACACGTACATCAGCTAGCACGAAGCAAACAAAATGTTTGCCGCATAACGGACTGTGTACCATCTTAGATTACGAAATATAGAAAGAGTTCTTTCATATTTCACCTCATATACTTGATCTCTTTGTAGAAATCTAAGCAAGTTTTGGACTTTGAGTTGGAATTATAGATACGGCAACTGTTTCACTTTCAATTATGGGATGGATAAAGATGGGGTCCCACTTCGGGTTTTAAAATCATCTAAATCAGGGCCATCTCAAGGTATGACTTTCATTTCAAAAGAATGCATTAATATTACTTTTAAAAATTGGATAGTTTGTCTACCAAAAATCCATTAAAATAGGACATGGTCGTATCAAATGTAATTCAAGCAACAGGAAATGAGATGATAACAAGGCTTGTCATCTCATTATCTATTGACGCGTTTAAAAATTATTATTATTATTATAAACTCTTTACATTTAAGATCTAGCCACAACAGACAATTCAAACTAGCATATACAAGAATGGAATAAAATTAATAATATTCGTACAATATCTAATTTGACTAAAGTTATTAAAAGTCAACTATTTAAGTTTTACTATTTAAGAATATTAAAATTAGCTGAAATTGTTAAAAAGACATCTATTTAAAAAACATCTTTTAAACCTTTCTGTTTCGAATTAGACGTATAAATTTGACATCCTACAGGCTGCTAATTGAATGAATTAAGGTTTCTCTTCAAAAACATCCGGTGCTAACCCGGTTTCAACGGCGCTCGCTGATTCTCGAATGATATGACGTATTAATAGCACATGCGCAAAAACAATGGAGATGAGATTCCGTATGAGTAAAGTGCCGGTGTGTTGTGCTAACAAAAACATTTGTCAGTTGTATTCAATCATTCAAACGCAGGTTTAGTTCTTAAACTCGACATCGAAGAGAATGAATACGTTGGCGAATTGACAGAGGAGGCAGGTGTGCGGGTTGTGTTGCATGAACAAGGAGTTATGCGTTTCCCTTTTGAAGAAGGATTTAGCGTCGCCCCAGGAATGGCGACCTCGGTTGGATTAACGAGAGTAAGTATTGAGAAAGTATTCCTGAAACATTCTGAAAATCTTTGTCCAGTATTTCCACAACACCTTGGACAAAGTCCATATTTTGTGTTTATCTTAGGATACATAGACTGTTTCTGATTGCAGACTATGATGAAGAAATTGGACAGGTTCAGCAATGGAAGCTGTACCGATGAAAGTATTCAACTCACTCAACACAACTTGTACAAGAAAAACGAAAATGTCACACGCTACTCTTTGCAGGTTTGAAAAGCATAGTCGTGCATCTTAAGGTGGCTCGATACAGTTTTCAAGAATTCCATTGTTCATCACTTTGACACGTTCAAACAACGCATTTTTGTGATTTATTCCAGAGATATTCGGGTTTTTCTATATTTTGATGTCTCTACTTTTGAATCGTATTAGTTTTAGTAACTGATCGTCCGTTGCTATGGCGACACACGTGTACAAAATTCACTCCAAAATGACCAATTGCCTCGGATAGTTGTAAAAGAAAAACGGTGACCCCCAATTTTTTTCGTGCATTATTTTACTTGCAAGAAAAACTAAACAATTAGCAAAATATAAAAAAATTCTATAATGGCAAAAAAAATTATTTTACATTTTTCAAAAATGTGGCATTATAGAATTCTTTTATATTTTGCCAATTGTTACTTTTTCTTCCAAGTAAAATAATGAACGAAAAAAAATTGGGGGTCACCGTGCTTTTTTTCCAACTATCCGAGGCAATTGGTCATTTTGGAGTGAATTTTGTACACGTATGTCGCCATAGCAACGGACGATTTGTTACTAAAACTAATACGACTCAAAAGTAGAAACATCAAAATAAATAAAACCCCGAATATCACTGGAATAAATCATAAAAATGCGTTGTTTGAACGTGTCAAAGTGATGAACGATGGAATTTTTGAAATCTGTATCGAGCCACCTTAAAACAAGTAATAATTCAAATTTGGTTGCAAATGTTGTAAAATGTTATAACAGAGTTTCCCTTCAAATCCGTAAACTTTGTAGCTATATATAGCTATTAGTATTACGCACGATAATTGTCTAATTATCTCTCTTTAACAGGCATGTCTGAACTCTTGTTTGGGAGAAAGTCAATTAGCCATTTGTAAATGCACAGAAGTCGCCTATCCGACGGACAAACCATGCAATCTTTTGGACAGTAAAAAAAGTTCGATTTTACTCAAATTGTAATATATCCTTTAGGAGATGCTGAATCTCATAAGGAAATACAAAACATTTTCTGTTTACAGGAACATGTTTGCAGAGGGTGAAAATTCTTTTCAGTAAAGATCAGCTACCTTGCATCGAGGATTGTAAGCAACCATGCAGGCAGGTTTTGTTTCTTATCAATTTACCAGATAACATCGCGACACTTCGATTTAAAGGCTCATTACAAATTTCGTATAATTAGAAAGGTGATTATTGAAAATTCTGGCCTCTAGTCGAGCGACCTCAGATTATTACGTGATAATCACTTAAGCGGATCGGGTGGTAGTAGAGAGGGTTAGTCGAATTACTACCAAAGATTTTGACAAGTTTCATAAATATAATATTTGCCTGCGAATAGGAATTTTATGTCTGTCATCTTGTTTCATTATCATAATGGGCAACTCTGCCAAAGGGGTGGAGGAAATCTGCTCTGAAGAGATAAAACTTTAGCTGTAGGCAAATAATTTAACAGATGGAACAATTAGATTATTTTCAGGGTGCTATCATAAGACACACTCATAAACATTTCAAGTTAGTCGCTTAAAGTCAGCTGGCGAAGCAAGTCAAACTATTCTAAACAGTTTCATACATCCCACCTCCTCCCCATGCCTGCATCAACGAACCTGGTTATGATGGTATTCGGGGCTAGGGGGGGGCGTTATTGTAAATTTTACCCTCACCTTACTGGGCAAAACAATGTGATGAAAAATATGTAAAGTTATATAGTTAATCAGTTCTGTTAAAGTTAATAAATATTACGTCATTTTATTAATAAAATGGCTAGGGGTAATTGTAACCCCTAGTTCAAAATATCCCAAACTCGTGTTTGGCTCTTTCAATCGTAATTAAGACTGTGGGAAAATGCCCAGTAACGAGCTGCGGAAATGCAACATCCATGGGGCGACATGTGAGGAAATAATATACAAATATTATTCGCGCAAGATGACAGACATAAAGTATAACTAAAGATATAATTAACAGAAATATCGATGGTCGAGGGTCTACAAAACATTTCTGAGTTCTCGGTAAATAAGTTTTTTATTAGCTATATGCCACTTGTCAAAGAACAACATCTTTCGGAACTTTTTCGGAACTTTTCTCCTTCCTCAAAGAAGAACATCTTTCGGAACTTTTATCTTTCCTCGGATAAAATTTGACCGTGCATTTTATTTGAAATCTTTAGGAAAGACGTTTATGAAAAGACAATAAGTACATCTCTGTGGCCATCAAAAGCAAACATGGTATGTTAATGTGATAGTTAATAAAATAGATATATACGACAAGCCTTCGTCGGAATTTCACGAACGTGGACGTTTAGAACCCCAGGCTGAATTTTTACTTCCAATGAAATGGTTCGAAGTTTTTCTGTGTTTTTCTCACATGCATTTGTTCTGCATGAGAGCGCGTAGACAATGAAAAAATTCCGCTCCGCGCGTAAAACTCCGCCAAGTGGAAAAAGGCCTTAGTCTCAAAACAGCAAAAAAACCTCCAAAGCTTTGAAAACTTTGTTGTCATTATCTCAAATTGCAGCTATTCACCTTAAACTAATCACATTCATATAATTATTATTGTTTTAGAAGATTTTGAGATCCACCAACATAGAAACGCCTGATAGGAGGTATATGACTATAAAATCTACGAGTAAAATTTGATTCAGCTCTGAAATTGTGATTTAAATTCCTACTACTGTAGCAGTGTGCTGTTGTTGAACATATTCTACACTCAGTTGAATTATAACGTTATTGAAGAATCATTCTCTTATGGGGTAAGGATAACTTAACGGTCAGTATGTATGCTGTAAAATTATATAAAATTCGACCAAAATTTTATTCATAAAACTTTTAACGCAAGCCTTCTTTTATATATGACATTTCACGATTCCATGGCGCATGATTACAACTTAATCAAGTGACTGTTTGATCATTTTTAATATCATAGAAACAGACCTGTTAGTACACAAAAGTTGCGAACTATCCCAACTTAATACCTAGAGAGATTTTTTCTACACAGAGAATAAAAGATATACAGATGGAACTAGGTGGCAAATGGTAGTTATAGTAGATATGGTAGTGCGCGTGAGTGAAGAGTGACTGCGCATGCTCGGCAAGTGCCTGAAATGATTAAAATGGCTTGGATTTCTTGGTAAGAAGCCTGCTTAAACATTTTCGATTAATTAAAGCTTCAATATGTCGTCATCTATATAGCATTTAACGCAAATAAATTTATTTTACAGAACTGTTTATACTTTCAATCACAGGGACTTGCAGAGCATGTGCACTAAAAAGTGGGCACGTGCACTAGTCCCAATTTTGTATTTATTATTTACTCCGTAATTCCATCGTGTATACGGTTTTAGCAGGGACGTAACTAGATCGGTAATTGGGGTTGAGTTTATTCATATCTTCAGTTCTGCCCGACGGATTCCTATTGTAAGCTATTAAACTAACAAATGAAATCCGTCGGGCTGAACTGAATATATGAATAAACATACCCCAATTATCGTTGTATATTTACGCAGGGGCCACGGAAGATCGTTAATTCTATACAGTATATTTTAGGCTAATAGTAATATTTGTTCTCCATTTTTCAGACAACAAAGCTTCTAGCTGACATAGGAGGTCAAGTTGGTTTGTGGATTGGCATCTCAGCTCTGACTTGTGTTGAAGTATTAGAGTTGTTATTTCAGATTATTTCTTTCGCTTACATGAAGTGCAAAAGTGGAAGAGAAAATCGTGTGATTAAAATAGGAGACACCACGGAATGATGAACACCAGCAACTCCAATGCAAACGAAAACAGAAAAAGAAAGTCCAGATGTCAACTACAACACAACATTAAACAAGAAAAAACAACGATTTTGACATTTTACTGCTCTTTGAGATATACGCCTCATTTAAAACGATATTTATTGTAATTTAATGTAATTTAATGTAATTTAATGCAATGCAACGAAGATAATATAACAACCATATAAATATTGCACATTTTACGGCACATTTGCTTGCACTACGTGTTTGACGTTTTGACTTAGTTTGTCGTTATCATTAAGGTTGCCCATATCAATATATATACAATATATATATATATATATATATATATATATATATATATATATATATATATATATATATATATATATATATATGTATAGGTTATCACATGAGGGGCGAGGTGATATCAGTTTTATCGCTTGAGGGACGATATCATAAATGTCACGAGTGAGCGCAGCGAACGAGGGACATTTATGATATCGTCCTGAAAGCGATAAAACTGATATCACCTTGTCCCAATTGTGATAACCTGTTTATCACATACTTCTTTTTCTTCTATAAAGCAATCGACATCGACTGAAACAAACCTCGAACTGCTCGAGTCAGCCATCTTTGTTTTGACAGCGGCAAATGCAGCGGGACAAAAAGCAATATCAGTGACAAAAAGCGATATCAGTGACGATATCGTTTTTATATCACCCTGTTATCGCCCTGATAAAGGCACAAGTATGTGATAAATATATATATATATATATATATATATATATATATATATATATATATATATATATATATATATATATATATATATATATCCTTTAAAATTATTTGAAAACCGAGCTGGGTGAGTGACATGTTGAGGGCATAATTCAATAGCAACACCGAACTGGGATAATACGTACATGTATAAACATTGCACAAATGATTCAATAAAATTTCGCTCAAACAGTGTATTGGTGGTCTATAGTTCATTTAAGTTGCAACGGAGACAGGTGAATATCCTCTCGTTATAGCTTTAGTGACCTAATCTTACTATTACATTTTCTTACATTTCCTTGGCTATAAAGAAAAAAATTTAAAAAAAATTTGCATTTGAAAGTCATCGTCATTAATGATTTAATATCGGATCCTAATTTTATTTATTCTCCAATCACCTGCAGGGTATAAAATTAATTTTTTTAATTTAGTACAAATCAATTGTCGGAACGTATTATTTTATTAAAAAGGCGACACATATATCTTGCACTATATATCTGGAACATTTTCTCCGATTATTTTCCCGACGGCTGACACTACTTTTAATATAAAGCAGCTGACAATCCTGACAATTATCTCAAACCAATAGGTAAGACCAAGAACAGATATATACTGTGGTTGAATTATATAGTTTCTAGGTGGTCTACATCACACTTAAAAACGCGGTGCTCATGCATATTATGCACATGTACGTGCTTAATATCTTCAATAAATAACCTAAAGTACCTGAAGAAGCCGACTATTTATATTTTGATGTAATTCAAGTTGTCATTTCTAAAATATAGCCGCACAAGGACTTATGATATCACCTCACAGGCTCTCTTAAACTTCGAGGGGGAAACTTATTTCTGTTGTGAGATTTTTCTTAGATAATCTTACGAAGCCAAACCTTCAAGACAACGAGTCTCATTAAGCAATAAAGCAAAAGGTTTAATGTTTTAGTAGGACAGCTTTAATTGAATTGGCCAAAATCAGTTTCCTCGTAAACAGATAAAACGGTGCTACGCAACGATAGTAGCTACTCTGAATAAATACAAGGTAAGGTAAATTTTACAAGTATCCTAGGATTTTGATTTCGCTACAAATAACTGGACACAAATGCTTAAACAGTACTGCCCAAAAATAAACTAACACTGCGGCTGCAGTTCGGTTGCGGTCGCCCGATTGAAACCGCAGACGACCGCAAGAGGAAAAAAATAGGATCTCGATTCAACCGCGGTCAGACCGAAGTTTGACCTGATCAACCGCGGTTTTTGTTAGGTTATTTCTGAACAGTACTGTATAAATGACAAATAAAGCGTTTCCAAGCAGGATAGTCGAACGAATAGCGTAAAATCTTAAACCAAAGGACAACTAAAGTTCAAAGAGATATGCAGGTTGATAATTATTTGAAATTATACTTTTGAACAGGCGAAGACTTCTTTTTTCATTAAAAAATTTGAAACATTTTAGGATCAATTACCCTTCCCAAATCCTCCAAAATCTTCTTACATGCAAGTTTATAAGTTTACATATCAAAGCACTGTCATGAAACAGAAGTGCAATTGATGCACATTGTTTTACAGTGCTTAGAGCCTATAACTTAGTCGGTCAAGATGTGATTGTAATCTCATCTTTACATACACAAATAATGAAACATTTAATGAAACGAGTTTTGGGTTGTTATGCATATATTTCAGCCTTTTGAGGGGTATAAAAATAAGTAGTAAAAATAAAATTTGTTCATAACCAATTGAGGGTTGTACTTGTAGTCTATAATTTCAGAAATACGGTCCTTAAAGTTTATACCAAAGAACGTCTATTTTTATATTCGTGTATATAGTAGCTATAGATGAAATTGAAGTAGCTATATAATGTCTATAGGCAACTAGGTTGAATTCTGTAAGCAACCACAGGGGATTAAGCGTCGTTTTTCATAAGTACTTAATTTTTTTAAAACACAAAGATATATTACAGTAAGTTAAGTGATTAATCAGAAATAATTATCCTCGACGAAAATCGCTGCGTTATTAATTCGCGCGAGGGGCGAGGGTATACTAATTTCGCACTGATATATTTATTACAACCTAGCTGGAAACGTATTCATAAGTTCTTGTTCACTGCCCCCATTGATTTCAGAAGCCTTTAGACGATGTCTCTGTGATGCAGAATCAAACAAGTTCTATATTATTGTTGTTCGTCGAATAGAACAAAGGCAAGCAACACTATGGACAACGAAAAGAATGAGGCAGAAAGGAAAAGATCACTTCGTGATATTTTGGTGGATTTCATGGGTTATACAACGGGACATGGATTTGCAAGGCTCGTTGCTGCAACGTCAATTGCTTGGAGAATATTCTGGATCGTTGCTGTTTTGGGCGCAACTGGAATGTTCGTCTACCAAGTATCTGACCTGTTTAAATTGTATCTAGCACGACCTGTACAGACATCTGTGACTGTTACCTTTGAGAAGGTATATGATATAGAATGAATGTTGTTCGATCATCTATAATTAATTTTTCTATGATACTTGGAATAATGCAAACCTATGCAAATTTCTTAGTGTTAAACTATTTCACAATTATTCGCCGCAGGCGAAGTGAATATCGCTGAGTAAGTTATGTACATGTTTTACAAGCGTAAAAAAATACCTCGAGAGTATTTCGGCGATTCAAATAAAACAATGTTTTCGCAAAATGAAGTTAAAAAGCGCTGTAAGAAATAGTTATTGCCTTAAGAATAACTTTATGCCTATTTTTTACTTATTTTGAGGTTTCAGTTACAGTATTTTCGTTAAAATACGGTATTTCTTCATCTGTCACTGTGACAAAAACAACTCGCGCCATTTTGAATAATTCGCTTAGACCAATTAGAGGCCAGAATTTTCAATAGACCTATAGATAGAAGGGAATAGACCTTTTGCAGCATAGACTACCTTTTTATCCATGCAATCAAATCAGCACAGCTGAAAAGAGCGTACCAAAATTGGTAAAAATGCAAAGTTTGGTTGGGAAATGTCGTAAAATGCCCTTGCAAAGTTTACAAATATGTATAGCTACTTTTATTTAACGCACGGAAATTGTTACCATTTTTGGCCTGAATGTGGTAACAATTTCCGTGCGTTAAACAAAAGTATACAAATTTGAAAACTTTGCAAGGCTATATTTTTCGCATTTTACAACATTTCGCAACCAAACTTCGCATTTCCATTAATTTCAGTACGCTCGTTTCATTTCAATGATCATGTTTATTGCATTTCCTCGCATAGATCAAAAGTAGACTATAATGCAAAAGGGGTATTCGGTGAAATATTGCATTCCCAAGGGAATGTGTATACTCTCGAGGGGGTACTATTTTTCGATTCCATGATTGGCAGTAAAAATGTATTGATATTATTATTTATATAATTTCAGAAACTAAAATTTCCTGCCGTCACGATTTGCAACTTGAACCTGATAAAAAGGAGCAAAATGGTAATGCTGCCCGGGAAATTGGTGGAAAATTTCAAGCTTAACACTACCTATTATTACGTGGACAAAAAGAAAACCGTTAGCGACTCGACTAAAACTGAGACGAAAGGAAACGGAATGACCAATATGACTGAAAGTCCAAATCCAAATAAACTTGTTAACAGTACTGAAAAACCGATCCAGACTTTTTATAGTGCCACGCAACCGAGCAAAGGTATTATTACTGAAAAACCGAGTACACCTATCAGTTCTACCGCTGAAAGTAAAAGTAAAAGTGAGTGTAATTCCTATATAATTTCATAAATTATTTCAGTTTATATTTCTAGCAGGTTCCTTCCATATAGACATTTTGAAATATAATTAGTATGATATTATTACTATATTTAGAGGCAACCCGAAATAATGTACCGATTTTGAGAAGTAATATCTCAATGAATTTTCATCAAAAATACAACTATAACATAAAAACTATTTTGAATCAACCCAGAGTATTTTTTGGGGGGGACACCGGGTACTTTGCGAGCCAACGGACAATAAAACATCGATTAGAAGTGAATCGGACCCGACAAAATTTATGTTGTGAACAGGCCTTCGTGGTTGCCAAATTTACATCTCTTAAAAGTAGAATTTCATTGCAAGTTGCAAGAAAAATTGCACCGTGTAACATGGCCTTAACGCATCTTGCTAAACTCTTCGTTAACAGCTAAACTGAGGAAAAAACGGGAAATAAAGAAAGAGGAATATCTACCACCTCCTGGAACCGAACCTGGATACACGGCGTATGTAAATTCATTTCAATTTTCCATGGGCCGATTGTACTAGATTACACAATTGCAAAACATGGTCTGCATGTTTACTTAATTCGATTCATCGAATCCCTTTCTAAAATGATTCCAGTGTCTGTGAGTTTTTCGATCAACGATTGTGCTATCCCTGAAACCTGTTGGCTGCACGTCTGCTCAAAATATAGAATGAATTGTTTTAAAATGAAAAGGCATTTGTTAAAAACCACAATAATATACTGTATATTATTTACCACTTATTTACCGCGACCGAAGAAAATATTATGTTTTGTGCCTTGTGGAACCATAGTTAATTTAGTGGAACCGAAGTCGAAGGTCGAGAGTCCACAAGACATTTTTTCTGAGTAAATATTTCGGTAAATATTCCCTTTATTATATTCAACTAGTCAAAGAAAAACAAAACAACAAGGTAAACAACAAAATATCTATTCATAAATCATAAAAGACATAATTTCAAATGGATAAACAGTCTAAACGTCGCATGCCCAGGTGCGTCGCACGTGATTGAAGTTGTTATTTCCCATGGGAACTCCCTCTGCAGGGGGTTGCGCGGGCGACATCAAAATTTCGTCACTCGCGTGATTCGCTCTCGACCAATGAAACGCTACGAACACAAAACTTTAACAAGTGGTATATAATAAAAACAATTATCATATGGCATTTAGAAGTTCATTTGTTCCAGAATCTGATTGGCTAAAACTACGTCACGTGAGAGGCGGGAAATCCGAATGTTTACCTCAAAATATTGTTTGTCAGGTTTGGTTCAAACCAATTGGTTTGAACCAATTTGATCCAGAGTTAACACTTTTAACCCCCGGGGCATAATAAAACCGGAAGTAGTGATGCTACATCGCATCACGTGACGTATAACCTTTGAATTTCAGGCAAATTATTTTTGAAATGATAAGTTTCTCTGTTAGTTTTGCCTACGTTTTTGTCGCGTATTTTTATTGACTGATCTCCGCGGATCCGGAAACATATTTTGTGGAGTCTCGGGATCAGTCAATTAGCCTCCAGCTGATCTGAGATCATGACGTCATAAAGCGTCTCGACAAACTGAGTTATCTTACGCCTGGTGTTACTTGTCCTTATTCTTCTAACTAATAGTATAAAGGGCAAAAAATTTAAATTCTAATTTACTGTTGGGAAAGAATAAGCGTGTTTTCGCTTAAATATAATAAAATTACTTCATATTTTCGAGTGTCGAGAAGTAAATATGCAATGAAAAAAATGATAATTCAGTTTTGTCGAAGATCTGGCTTCTGATTAGTTGATTTTTATACCCAGATAAGCTGGCTTTCTCACGATGATGTTTTTCGGGGGTACTTTCAATTTTCTCAAATGGGTTTAAAAAATTATAACAACATGAAAAGCAATTTTTTTTTAATCAACAGACCATCTAAAAAATAATTCCAGTCTAAAATTAAAGACAATCGCCGTTACGAAGTCATGCGCTCACGGCTTTGCTAAAAAGTACCCCAAAAATGGCGGCATATTCGTCATCGTGAGAAAGGCTAATAAGTCTTAATTGTCCCTACTAAACGATCTCCTGCAGCCACTGGGTAGAATAAATTTATTGAATTTACTACATGCAGGTATGACGCTAGTACATGGGAAGACAAAACTGATAAGGATATTCTCGATGAATACCCGCCTGAAGGTAAACTGAGCCAAGAAGCTAAATTAAGAATAAGGGTTGAATCGTTTATTGGTGAACAGGATCCATTTTCTCTATACTCGCTTGGCCATGAACAGCAAGACTTTATAAAAAGTTGTACGTGGAAAGGTGTAGATTGTGCAAAAGGGTAAGCAAATTTTAAGCATTTTAAAATATTTTAATCTTGTAGTCTTTACACACGTTATCTACAATCCCGCCCTACGGGCTCGTTTTTTCACTGATTTTTTCTCGTTCTCCCAAACTCTCACGCGTGTTCCTATAACTGCATAGAAACACGGAAAATCCTATTTCTTAAATTTCTTAAGGTTTATTATATTTTAGGAAACACAGCAACTCGAAGTAAACAAAACATTTGTTGCATTACGAACAGCATGCATCATCTTTAAACTTACGGACTTTAAAATTGAATCGATAGGGTTTTTCATATTTCACCTCCTTGATTGATCTCTGTAGAAATCTAAGCAAGTTTTGGACTGAGAGTTGGAATTATAGATACGGCAACTGTTTCACATTCAATGATGGCGTAGATGAAAAAGAGGCCCCACTTCGGGTTTTACAATCATCTAAACCGGGACCATCTCAAGGTATGGCATAAATTTGGAAAGAATGCATTTATTCAGAAAGAATTGTCCATTCATATGGAGCATAAATAATTCATAACCTAATTCACAAAACTAACTCGGTGTTAACTCGGTGTAATGGTGCTCGCTGAAAGGCAAAAACTGAGGTATTGCATGTACAAAACCAATGAAGATGAAAAAATTGTCACTTTCACTGTCCGCGTTTTCAAACTGCGAATACGAGATTTTAGCTTGTCATTTTTGTCAGTTATATTCAATCATTCAAACGCAGGTTTAGTTCTTAAACTCGATATCGAAGAGAATGAATACATTGGCGAATTGACAGAGGAGGCAGGTGTGCGAGTTGTTCTGCATGAACCAGGAGTTATGCGTTTTCCTTTTGAAGAAGGATTTAGTGTCGCCCCAGGCATGGCGACCTCGGTTGGATTAACGATAGTAAGTATTGAAATAAAAATCAGAAAACACCTTCGAAGTCTTTGTCCGGTACCTCAACTGCGCCCCAATAGAGAGTAAGCCCATATTTACGACACCACAAGGTACTGCCCATATAAAGAGTTCGATATTTGCTGACCAAATTTGGTTGGTAAATGTCTTGGTAAAATGTAATATTTTTGAGTGATCTTTATGTTTAAAGTGGCTAAACCAGTATATTTTATGGGGTTTAAAATAATAAGTGACTGTTTAATGAAAAAATATTTTATGACGTAACCCACAAATCTATAAAAATCCAAGATGGCGGATAACTCATTACTTTCTATCACAATATTCGCAGACAAATATGAAGAGATTGGACAGGTTCAGTGATGGGAGCTGTTTCGACGAAAGTGTCCAACTAGCTCCAAACAATTTGTACAGAAGAAAAAGAAATATTACACGCTACTCTTTGCAGGTTAGCTAATCTAAAGCGAGCAATAGTTTAAATTTGCGTTGCCGATGTGAAATGTTGACATATATCTCTTCCAATCCGTAAACTTTGTAATATAGCTATTAACGCACCATAATTTTCTATCTCTTTTTAACAGGCATGTCTGAACTCTTGTTTGGGGGAAAGTCAATTAGCCATTTGTAAATGCGCAGAAGCCGCCTATCCAACAGACAAACCATGCAATCTTTTGAACCACAAAAATAGTACGATTGACTCCATTGTAATATATTTTTTTCGATGGGGGAGGGTCAGAATCTCGTGCGTGCAAGCGTTGATATATGACAGGGGAAACACAAAACATTTTCTCTTTACAGGGACGTGTTTGCAGATGGTGAAATATCTTTTCAGTAAAGATGAGCTACCTTGCATCGAGAATTGTAAGCGACCATGCAGGCAAGTTTGGTTATTTCACCAAATAACATCTCGTGACTATATAATAACATGTTGAATCTATAGCTAAAAACGTCTTCATTCATAGCTTAGCCATTTGCAGCAATTGATTTCACAATATCTTAAAAAAACCACCATGAAATTATTCATCTTGGAACAAATCTACAATTAAGAAACTCACTTCCCCCTTTCAAGGAGTGAATAAAAATCCTGCTTCTAAAATGTGAATAAACCTTTTGAATTTGGTTTACAAAATCTTTTGGAACTTTAAACCTTTCTCAAGTGTATCCTTTACTTTATGTAAAATCTTTAGGGAAGACGTTTATGAAAAGACGATAAGCACATCTATGTGGCCATCAAAAGCGAACCTGGTATGTTCACGCATGCCGACTTTAGAGCCCCAGGAAAATTCTAGGGAGAGTGTTTGATGGGGTTCTTGAGGCGCTATCCTTTAGGCGGCGAAAAATATCAGACCGGTCATATTTTGAAATGAAATTTAGTATTTCATTAAGAATAAGGCAATGAAGTTGCATTTCCCGTGCTAGGCGGATATGGGTAACGATATCCTTGATCAGAGTTCCTGAAACATTCTAAAATAACAGTAATCTCTCTGTACTAAAATACAACAAGACCGGTCCATATAAAGGAAAGCGCCCTTGGTCTCAAACTGTGTTAAAGGTGTCACTTTTTCAAATTGGCGGATATTCACCTCAAAGTGATTACATTCATATATTACTGTTTTAGGAGTTTTTATCAACGACCGACGCCGCCACGCCTAATAGGAGGTACAACACTACGAAAACAAAATGTAAAAGTAAATGGACGACTTGCACTTTAAACTTTTCTTACCCTGGCGATAAAAAGGACATTTTATGAAAGAGCCTATTAAACTTAGTAAAACTGCCAAGTTTGGCTGAGAATTGTGGTAAATTACGGAAAGTAAAGCCGTGCGAAGCTTAGCTAGTATGTAACAAATTTAGTTACACATTTCCGCACGTAATACAAAAGTATGCAAAACATGCCAACTTTGCATGGCTATATTTTCCGCATTTTAAAAAATTTTCCACTCAAACTTTGCATTTGCACTAATTTAAGTAAGATCTTTCTGACTGTGATGATTTATTTTCTTCCTGTTACTTCGATCAAAAATTAGTCTAAAGCGCAAGTCGTCCATTGAACTGCTAATGAGTTTATTACACACGTTATACTTTAAAAAATTTGATGATCAGCAAGGAGAATGTTGATAAAATTGCGATTTAAATTCCTACTACTGTAGCAGTGTGCTGTTGTTGAACATATTCTACAGTCAGTTGAACTATCATGTTATTGAAGAATCATTTTCTTACGGGGTAAGAATTTGAACAACTATTAAAGTTGTAAAATTAAATAAAAATTAAAAACAAATATTGATCGAAATTTATATTTATAGAAATTCATATTTCCCTTCTCTACAAGGAGTATAAAAAAGTACCCCTGTTGAAAACAAGCTTTGAATACCTTTTAATTACGCTAAATTAAATAAACTTCGAAAGCGAGACGCTTAATTTGAAAGCCTCAACCTAACCTTAGAATGCCTTTTACACACCTGTGTGTGAATCATGCATTCAAATTCCAACAAAAGTTTTATTTCAATATGGGGTACTTTTTTATACACCCTGTATACAGGTTTCTCAAAAAAAACGAAAACTATTGAAATCACCCATAACAATGTAATTGTTAGAGTTTGAGTGCCTAAGCACTCTGTTGGGATAATATCACAATAAACACTCGTTGTTCCGCGGTCAGCTGTACCAGCTGTATTAAATTTAATCATATTCACAATTTCAAATTTTTCGTATTTAGCGTTTTATAAGTTGCATTAAATCCCAAAAATTGTGAATATGATTAAATTTAAATTAGCATTGTTATTGCTTTTGAAAGAAAATGGTACAGCTGACCGCGGAACAACGAGTGTTTATTGTGATATTATCCCAACAGAGTGCTTAGGCATTCAAACTTTAACAATTACATTGTTATGGGTGATATCAATAGTTTTTGTTTTTTTTGAGACACCCTGTATAACATTTCGCGATTTCATAGCGCAAAACTACCACTTAATCAAGTGACTCTTTCGTAATGTTTGTTATCATAGAATATAGACATGTTTTTTACTACGTATATAGACAGCGAGTGCGATTATATTTGCATTTTATTTCCATACGACACAAGTTGACATGGCATGTCCAAGTAGGCATGGAAACAGAAATTTCCAAAATAATTACTAATCACCTTATCGTCGCTGATTCTAAAGTTCTTTCGTTTGCGAAAATAAGAAGAGGAATATGTTTCATATGCACTTCATTGACTTCAATATGAATTCTACCATGTATACGGTTTTACAGTAAGTTCTATACAATATATCTTAGGCTAATATTATTTTTCCTCCATTATTCAGACAACAAATCTTCTAGCTGACATAGGAGGTCAACTTGGTTTGTGGATTGGCATCTCAGCTCTGACTTGTGGTGAAATATTGGAGTTGATATTTCAGATTATTACATTTGCTTACATGAAGTTCAAATACCGTAAGAAAATTCAAGTAATTAGAATAGGAGATACCGTGAAACGATGAGCACCAGCAGCTTCAAAGAAACGAAACGACGGAAGAAAGCGAGGAACTCGAACACATATTTCGACAACAACGAAATAAATATTTACCAACATTTATAGGATAAGCCTTGCAAATATGCAAAGATTTTTTCAATTTACTGTAAATACGACGATGATAATTAGTATATTGCATACTGATATTTATATTTAGCATTTATAGACCAAGAGTGACCAGGATTGAGCGAAATATTTCTGCAGGGCGAAGCACGAGGGTCAAAACTCGAAATATAATATATAATACCGAAAATTTGAACAATTGATTTTAGTTTAGATGTTCAGTCAGTACATAAAAACAAATTTGGATTTTAACTATATTTTCAATATAATTGTATTCAAACGATAAATTACCAACCTTAAAATAAAGCTTTCTGCTTTTTAGTCTTTATTTTCAGCGATTTCTTCGTCACCGGCTTCCGCCATTTTTAATGTTTTGGGCATTTGCGTGTAGCCCACGCGAGACGTGGGGTGCGGATACATTTAATTGTCCTTAAACATAAACACAATGTTCTTAACGCCTTATACTCACTAAATCGGTGCAATTAATAATATACAACAACAACTTTGCTATTGCATTTATTTAAAGGAGAATTTCAGCCGCGTCGTCGTCGTGTTGCCGTCCTACATGCTTAAGGTCCCTACTAGGGAGATTTAGCATGAGGACGTGAACGTCAAAGACGACGTGAAAATGGCGAACAAATGGCGTGGCATGCGCATATTTGGGTGCATCACGCCATTTATTCGCCATTTTCACGTCGTCTTTGACGTTCACGTCCTCATGCTAAATCTCCCTATTGATACTCGGATGACGTCATTTGTGATAAGAACAAAACGAAGTGGCAACGAGCCGCCGAGAGAAGTGGTCACTTTTGTTCTTATCCCAAATTACGTTATAGCGTGTATCTATAACTGAACAGACTACGGTTCAATGTTATCTATATGTTTTATACAATAAAATCGAAGAAATTCCAAAATTAAACAGACAAATAGTTTCCCCAACACTTCGAAAATTGCAGATATCACGCGTGCATGATCCATAGGTTTGACGAAATGCTATTGGTTAGCTTAAGACACGTGCTAAAATTTTATTCGCTGACAAAATAAAACAAGAGATGACTGATTAAATTCGTTAAAATTATCAGTGACGTCATTCCGTGCGTCTGTCCTCTTATTGATCATGGATCTCGACCTATGAACTGGTTGAATTCTTAACGTTTTTATATAACAAAATATGTATTGTTTCTCCAAAAATAACAAAGAATTCGCAAAGAATATTGTAATGATATTACAAAATTCCGCTACATGTAACAGTAGCACATTTAGTAGTAGAACGAATTTTACGTCGAAATTTAATTCGCTAATAGCAATATAGATAACATTAATACACCTTGCACGGTCGCTCCACATTCGTAGGCAGGTGATATGCTCAAAAACACCTCGTGATGCATGTTTTCAGTTTTAAATACCACCTATTACAACAGAAAGGTACCTAGTCTAAGAAAAATAACAATTAAAGATCTTTTCTCGTCTAAAAGTTTGCAAAGATTTGAAAGTTTAAAAATTTGCAAGGAAGAGACTGATGTCTTTATAAAAAATATATATTGTGATAAAAGAGATCAAATCTATGCTGAATCATATCATTATTGTACAGCGAATGCTATTCTATGAAAAACGACCCTCGGGACCCTTCAGGACCCTCTACTGTTTATCAATATGAACTGCAGTTAACTAACTTTTTATAAGTTAAAGAAATTCTTAAAAACGTTTTTTAAATTCTTACTCTAAATTCTTATACAAAATAAAAAAGATAAAGACAGGAGCATTTTCAATGCTTTTATAACTCAGATTCCGCCCGTTTGCTTTCGTTTGTTCCACTGCAGGCATTTTTTGGCATCGGATATGCTTGAACAGCAAAATTTTCATAGACAGTTTTATTGACTGACGGAGTGATATTTCTCCACTTACGACATTTAATAAAGACAATTCCAACGACAAGAAGAAATACCAGTGCAAAACCTGCAGACATGCCTGCAATTGTTGTTGACCGTTTGTACCAACTTTGTGATGGTGATGCCGAGGGCGCGTCGTTTTTAGTGGTTGTAATCGTACTTGTTGTTATCGAGGGCGCAACGTTTTTAGTGGTTGTAATCGTTGCTCTTGTAATCGTACCTGTTTTTTTAGTTTCATGAGCTGTTGTTCCTGTTGTAACGGTTTCATGAGCTACTGTACCTGTTCCACCACTTTCGTGGGAAAATGTGCTGGTGGGCTTACCTAAAAGTAAGAGTAAGTGATGTTACAGCATGCTATATATACCGGTACACCAGGCAACGTTAAAAAATGAAATAGATAAATTTTATATCTTGTAATGTTTTCTTTCAACACCATTTGCTGGTCTTACGATTATTCGAGGGTGATGATTTAGAGAAAGATTTATTTTACCTGTAGCAGTTGTAGACACTTTTTCCACTTCGTCATATACATATACAGTAATCTCAATTTTCGTTGAACATTTAGGCAAACCCATATCACTTGCGATAATTATCAAGTTATATTCACGAACACTTAATTTTCTAGCGACGGTCACTGTGCCATTTACTTCGTCGATGTTGAAATCATCGCTACGATTACCTTTAGATGACATGGCGTATTTTACTTGACCATTGGGACCACTATCAGCATCAACTGCAGATACCTCAGCCAAAAAGGTTCCTGGGCCTGATTTGTTTGTTAAATGAAACCACCTTTTTAAAGGTGACTTGAAAATGGGGCAGTTGTCGTTCGTGTCCTCGATTGCTACATGCAGATAAGCCAAAGCAGATTTAGGTGGATAACCTTTATCGGAAACTAGGATGATTATCTCGAGGAGACGAGGTGCAGAACTCTCATAGTCAAAAACCGAAGACGTGAAAATTTCACCAGACATGCTGTTGATTGTAAACAATGGTTTCTGGATTTTAAAAAATGGTTTTTGGTTCAGATAACCACCTAGCATGTACACTATTTCTCCGTTCAGGCCGGTATCCGCATCGCTCGCGTGAACTTTAACGACTTTCGTTCCAACCGGACTATTTTCCAACACAGATACATTGTATAATGTTTCATTGAAAGTTGGAGTGTGTAGGTTTTCTTGTGCGGTGAAGTTACATGCAATTCCATCCCAACCGCGGTAACACAGGCAGGTATTCAGTGAAACACAAATACCTTGGTTATTGCAGTGGTTTAGTTGGGAACAGTCACCAAGGTTGCACGCTGGCCCTTGCCACAAAGGATCGCATTCGCACGTATCATAACCTGTACAATTCCCGTGTCCTGTGAATAATAATTATCAGTTATTTGGATGAGGTTGATGTCCAGTTTTATACATATGCTCGCAGCTTTGGTGTATACAATGAAGTATGATAAGGTGGCAACTAAGTTTATAATATTTACACTTGACACATTATCATTATCGACGAAAAATATATAATATATAGTATAAAACAGAAAAAAACTTCATAACTATATGAACATGATATTTTGCTTGCTGCATCGGAAATGCGTAAATTTTGTTAAATCTTGATAATTCAATCTGATATTTCACACTCTCAAACAATAATAGAGTTGTTTATAAAAAAACAGAGAAAACTATGTCGGCAGGAGGCTGCAAGTAATTTCAACGTACCCAACACGCAGAAATGTATAGCCTTAAAGCAGAATATAAAGTCAATTTAAAATGGAATTGCCCTCTTTTGAGAGATGTAAATTTGGCAAGTAGCGAACTTTTGTCTTTATTACAATCCATGGCATTTCTTACACTTACATTTCACACTAATTTACATCCCTTAAAAGTAAATTGCATTGCAAGTTGCAAGAAAAATTGCACCGTGTAACATGGCCTTAAAGGACCGAACGTTTTTGTTCATTTTGGTCCTCTGCCTGCCATGCTAGTAATTCTAGAGAAATTTGTGAAACAAGAAAAGAAGCTTTATATTATTTCGAAAGAAAAGTCAACGTTGTATAGAATTCTGTTTAACCTAAAATACCCAGCAAAATATTATCACGGAATAGAACCCTAAACTTCGATCAGGTGATATTGTGTAATTTGTTAGACATTGCGCAAAAACTGAATCCAGTATATAAAATGATGACTGTTGGTGACTTTTAAGCATTGGACGCCAATTCATAATTACTGTTACCATTGCCCTATCATCCCAAGGACAGATTTTTTTCACTTATTTTACCTGAACAGTAATTGACGGCTTCGCAGGAAGGAAGAGAACAGTCAGTTCCACCATATCCTATGTCACACTCGCATAGGTTAGCCTCGACACATTCGCCATGATCAGAACAGTTATTGAGGAAGGAACACAACGGAATACTACAGTCTAGTCCACTGTACCCGTTATAACATCTGAAACGCGGAAAAATAATACGAAACTATAGCTAATAATGAGACAGTTTCAGAAGAATAAGAAACGTGAGCGAAAAAATTAACGGCTATAATGTAGTGAAAACTGTCTACTATAACATATTAAACCTACAGCAATGCCCATTATAATCTTTCACCCAAATACAACGGGTCATTCAACCAATACCTTCGGCTTTCTTGAAAATCATAGCCTGGGCTAACATTGATATGTATCATCAATGTTTGATATCATTGGAAGTTGTTCTCAAAATCCATACTATAGAAATTTGCTATACCTTATATTTCATATAATATGAGTATGGAAATAGCAATTAGTATTGACATTATAAATTCCATACTATTTCCAACGAGAATCCATACTATCTCCATGATAGGAATTTTGAAGAATAAATTCCAGTCCATTTCATATCAATTACCTGCATGTCATATTTTCGCCAGGCTTCTCTTGCATGCACGCGCCGTTTCCACTGCAATTTCCTAGATGCTCGCAGTATGCTATGTCTGCACAATCGGGACCGGAAAACCCCGGATAACAACGGCAGACATTCGACACCACGCATTCACCTTGACCAGAACAATGGTTCCTTTCCTCGCAGTCAGCAAGTGCACAACTCTCTCCAGTCCAACCGGTATCACACACGCACAAGTCAATATCAACACATTGGCCACCCCCTTGAAAATTATTTCATGATTATTAAAATAAATGGATAAGCCAGAGGGTGAAATTAACACAAGAAAACACAAATAAAACTGAAAAATGATAACACAAGCTAAATTGGAGACAAATAACACAAGTAAAAGTGGGGGAAATTACCTGAGCAATAATCCAAAGTTGCACAAGAGGGTAAAGTGCAGTTCTCACCGGTCCAGTCACGGTCACATTTGCAAACGTCATAATCGACACAAATACCTTTGCCAGAACAATCAGATACGTTGGAACAGGTAGGAACAATGCTGCAATCCCGCCCTGTGGTAAAATTTATTTGAATATTTTCTAAGTGGGAAAAACGTACAAAGCGATAAAAGTGCATTTTAAATATTCATCGCCAAAATGACCTTAAAATTTCATTTTGGGAGGGGTGTGCCCACGATAGGCGGCAATTTCCAGCAGGGAGTAGTGTAACCCAGCACCATACGAAAATAGAAACGTTCACCCAATTAACATTTATCGCCTCTATTTTAACGTTTTTCGCTTTATATCTGCCTGGGAACGTACTGCAGGCACAGTAGTTGCCTGTACGTAGAAGAATTTTTAAGCAGGTCCCCAATTATGAATTATGATGAATGAACCGGGCTCGTGTAGATTAGGTAACCCACCTTGGTGATGTAAATATGCATGACTGTGTTTATCTTACCAATGAATCCGTCATTACAGCGACATAGATCAGTTCTCCGGCAAACTCCGTGTTTAATACTTGTACAATTCCCAACGTTAAAACATGTTGCTAAAATACATTATTCAGAAGGGAATTAACATATGGTATCAGGGAACTAATTATTGTACTGAGCTAGACCATTTGGTCGCTGTTCCAGTTTGAGGTGAAAAACTAAGTGCGCTCAACTTGATTTCGCATCAGATTTTGTTTATTTAAATCGCCGTGAAATTGTCGAGATATTTGTTTACGTTTGCCGATGCACCCTGTAAACATACTCGGGTTTATGAGACCGTTAAATGCACCCACCTTTCATATCACAGCTATGTCCTTCCCAACCATCCATACAATGGCAAAATCCCTTAACACATTCTCCATTCGTTATATTGCAATTGGAACAGTTACCTAGAATTTAGAAGCCCTGGAATTAGTTACCAAATTAGTTGGATCCAGTAAATAGCTGGTAAATGAGTTTTGTAATTGTTTTAAAACAGTTATTGTCGTTTGCATGGATTACCTATCTCGCAACTTTTCCCAGACCATCCTGCCATACAAAGACAGGTAGAGTTAAGGCATCTTCCCTTGCCAGAACACTGATTGGGGCAGTCTAAAGGTAAATAAAAATGCCCACTTTCTTGCTTTTGTTTTTGTCTTCCTGTTTTCAAGATAAGCCATTGTCGAATTGTGTATAATCATGCAGTCGATGAACAATGATTGCTAAATGTTCAGGTTCTTATTTTTACAAGTCTGAGTATTAACAGAATTCTTTCTTGTCTATTTGTTTATACATAACCATCAAAGGTGAAGAAAATCTTTCTAAAAAATTCTAATTCTATCTAATTGGTAAATTATAAGAGGCGAATAATGAATTGTAATATAAATTCTAAGAGGCTTAGTACTAATAAATTGATGATGGTATACTGGAATGTCTTAGATAGTACCTGGCTTCATTTCCTCTTGGTCTGCAAGGGATGTGTCATTAGTCACAGCCACGTCGTAGATGCAGCTCTTCAACAAACCGTTTGCAAGGCCACGATTGGAGCAAGTCTCAACCGCTTTCTAAAAGAAAAAGAAAAGCAAGCATGGCACTATTCATATTCAAAGTACACTCGGTTTGGGGGACATTCAAACGCCTATCTTCCAGTAATGACCTTCGAATCGGTAAATAAAACAGTTAAACTAGCTTCAACGCGTTGTTGCGCGTAAGCTACATCAATAGCGAGCACAATTCTATGATATCGAGATAAAACAGGCCTTCCATGCAGCTAGGTAAACCATTTTTCGTACCATCAGACATTGAGACTTCCAGAGAAGTAAAAACTACTAATTACTCATGGTCAAAGTGGTCAAACCAAAACAGTGTATGGGTATATGTAGCAATTATGCCTGATGTGCTATTGAAAGTTCATATGTCTACACCTTAAGCAAATAAAATGTCTTACCGCGACGATGAACTGATTTATACCATCCAGTGTGTAAAGTGGACTATAGTGTGGGTCGTTGTAGGAAGAATCCATGACATCGTCAACGTGGAAATTTGTTGAATTCCAAGACCACGACCCACGGAGACCAGAATTATGACGGAGACTTGTTATTGCCCCTAAAATTTGCACCAAAAGAATCAACACTTGAACTGCAATGTACCTAATTTTTATCTATCATTGATTTAAAATTATTTTCATTAAACCATATAGCTATTTTAATATTCATATTGATTATATCTCCAGTAATCAATGGCCAATTCTCCAATGTCATTGGCTAAGAGGAGTGCGATTTGAGCAACAATTTTACCCTTGCTCACAGCTAAGTTGTATCTGTAGATTACAGAAGACACACAATTAATAAGGAATCATAAGAACTAAGTCGTGCAATTTATTCTCAAATTATACTCGTGGTTAACAAATCAACCTCCGGATATGCAGTCGTTTGTTTTGTAATCACCCGTATAATTTTGACATTACTATGCACTCCTATTCGTTCTATTGCCCCTATTAATTTTGGCAAAGTAAAAAATCACATGTCCGCAAACAGCGGTTGTTATCGTCGTTGTTTACATCATTTTACACTGCAACAGCAGTTGGAAAAAAAGCGAAAACCGATGTCGATGTCAAACTGGTAAAGCCTGGCAGACAAGGCTACTTTAATGCATTGTTGATGATTTGCGATTATTGTGAAGTTGGCCTTACATGAGTTGCTGAACTGGACTGCGTCAGAGAAGAGCTCTCCATTTGGTCCAGTGAAGTCATTTGAAGTGTTTTTATCCATAAATCCACAAAGACCTTCTGTTTTCCCTTTGAAATCCACCCCGAGTGCGTATAGAACATTCAAATATTGTCTTTTCATCACATCACTGTAACGCACGTCAATTGTCACCGTGACTCCTTGAAACAAAATATATCATTCAATATTTGTACAGTTACAATGCTGCATACGCTCAAAACCTTATATTTCATCATGCAGATATACTAAAACTTTATACATAAAAGAACGTTGAATAAGCGTGGACAGTACAAAAAAATGAAACCTACTTTTCATTTCTCAGTGATAACTGCATTGACATTTAAAACAAGAATGAAAGCCCGAATATATAACAAAAAACTCTAGTCGGAAACACGACTTAGCTCACTACTTAGTTTAATAGCAAATAACAGGAATAAAAGTTTTTCTCAATCTATTATGTAGTAAGAGAAAGACAAATGTGTCAGTCAGCATAATTACTAGCATACCTGATTCAAACTGAAGCGAAATGAGTATAACTGCCGCTTCTTGCGAATCAAAACTAAACGTTTCTTGAGCACTTAGACTGACAGTTCCATTGTTGAGCGTCACTGTCTGTCCCGAGTAACTTGAAATATTAACTAAAGACCCATCAATCCTGAAAGAAAATGATTGAAATTTTGTTGTTCCTAGTCGGTACATTGTGCATTTGTTTTCCAATGGTCTTTTATTGTAGTCTGGTTGATTGGTCGTCATGCATTTGTTTTTTGTTTGACTGCTTCTGGTTTATTTTGTATTAGTTCGTTTGTATGTTTGTTTGTTTGTTTGTTTGCTTGTTTGTTTTTTTGTTTGTTTGTTTTTTGTGTAACTAGTTCTATTTGGGTTTTTGGCGTTTCCTGTTGATCTGGTTGTTGTATTTTTTGTTAAATCATTTATGCGTTCTACTTGATAAACCTTTGTCAATTTTAATTGAACATTTGTAGGATTATTTTATATGAATCATTTCCTCGTTTCATTTGTTCCATTTTTATGGTTTACTATGCTTCAGTGTTAGTTTGATGATTATTTTTTTAATGTAATCTTGATTGGGAGATAACGAATATGAAAAAATGATAAAAATAATCGTACCGTATATTAGGCAACTCCCGAGGTCGGCTATAATTCAAAGTCATCACAGTCAACACACTCATCCCAGCTTTCACTGAGACACCACCAATCAACGATGCACGTTGATAGGCAAAGAAACGAAACTGTATACCAAAGTCACTTTCCACACTTTTGCATGCCCAGTACTCGCCAATGCCGAAGTAATCGAATTCAATTCCTTTTTAATAGAAGTTTGTAAATAATTTAATTGCATATCAATTATGGCATTCAATATGGAATTTAGGGGCTGTTGTTCCATGAGCCCCGTTGCCCGAGATTTAGCTAACAAAGCGTGAGATAATTTTGAGGTATTAGACCTATGAAACCAAACAACAATGTGCTATTATTGTACTAGTCATTTTACGCTTCGTTAAATCTCAGATAACTGGGCTCATATGAACAGCCCCTTGACTCCATTTTCTGGGACAGTGCCCTTTCTAATGTTTTTCTTAAAAGCCCACAAATTTTATACTAAAATCTACGCTTTACCGTCAAGAGTTTGAAGGTGCGGATCTCCTCCGTTGTTTGAACGATCTCTTTCTTCACAACACTTTCCTACCCAACCTGGGAAGCAAGAACAACGAGATCCCAAGGGCGTACACTCAGGGATACCATTCTTGCATTCTACCAAAGATAAAATATCTTTCAATATAATGATCCAGTGCCATAACAGATCTTTTTTGTTAAAACAATAAAAAATAAAAGATTTAACAATTATTGAATGAGGTTGAACGTAATATGAAGGACTATCAATCGGCTTATCTCACTTGTTTGAATGCTTCTATATTTCTCTTACAATGTCCTTAGATGAACAAACAAACAAAAGTTCACGCGCGAACAGCGATCAATGAAAAGCCTCTTATATATTTTAGAATGGAAAATTGAAAGGCCATAGATGGACTGAGCGTAACTGTTTTTAATATAAAGTGTAATCTATGTTTATTTAAGGGGTTAGAGACTGTTGTAAGTGTTTTGTTAACAAATAAACGCACGCCATACAATGAAAGAGAAATTTCAATATTGCACGAGGCCGTATCGAAATTTCGAGCAATATTGAAATTTCGAGTTCATTGTATGGTCAGCAAGTGGGTTCATTTGTGAACAAAATACGAACATAAAGCTTCTAAGGCCCTGTTCATATGAGCCGGGTTGGCCCGCTTTGCCGGGCTGACTCGCTAGAGGCGAGATCCCGCTTCCTGAGGTTATTTCTATATGTTTTTGAAATTTGATTCACATGGAGAGCGGGCCAGCCCGCTTTGGCGAGATCTCGCTTGAGCGAGGCGAGATCTCGGCAAAACGGGCTCATATGAACGCACTATATGCGGGCTAGCCCGTAAACCGGGCTGAAAATCGTTGATCGCTTTCTCTACAAATATACCTTCATAGCATCATTTCGCCATTTTATACGTATTTGCAAACCAAAAGAACACAATACATTTCAAAAATTAACGAAATATATCTGCCCAAAACCGCTGTAATCGATGCAAGCAACATTTTTCGATTTGTGTAGCATCAACAAATTATGTAACGCTACCCGGCTAGCCCGCCTCATGTGAGTAAGAAAATAAACCAGCCCGGCAAAGCGGGCCAGCCCGGCTCATATGAACAGGGCCTAACACTTTTAATGTACAATCCGAGTTCATTGATTGCTGCATTGAAGATTTAAGCTTCGCTGCAGGCTTTCATTTTTGAATAAACCACGATTTTCATTGGTTATTACGAATAAATTATGATTCCATGATCTGTCGCCAGGCGACAAGAAACCACGTGAGCGATTTTGACCAATCGCATGGGTAGATTTAGGCCAATGCACGAAGATAGTATATTAAATATGCATATACATAAATGGATCTATGCATATCTGATATGGCGGAGATATCTTGAAATGTTCGGAAATGTCCTGAAAACTTATAAAGTTAAAAACAATCTGTAAAATGCTTTGTAAATATAGCCACGCGGTCCTCACAAGCATTGAAGAAAAGACTTTCTTAATACCTGAACAGCCTGGGATATCTGGTTGGGAGCAATTATTTCCTTTCCTCCCCAAAACACATATTGGAGGATTTCCGTGTGTGTCCGGCTTTGGTGGATCTCTTGAAATGCTATGACAAGTAAAAGTTGAGACTTTTTATCTTCACATGCTCTAGAAATGGGAATAGAACTGGCGCGAGCGTGCTTTTAGCGAGATATATTTAAGAAGTAGAAAACATTTTCCGTGTTTCTATACAGTTATAGAAACACGCGTGGGAGTTTGGGAGAACGAGAAATAATTCCAAACTCCCACAAGTGTTTCTATAAATGTATAGAAACACAGCAAAAAATGTTTTCTATTTCTTTTATAATATAACTCAATAAAAACATTTTGTGCAAATATTGTAATTCGATTCAATTACAAATTCTCATTACATCGCTTCGCTTGCCAAGTTCGGCGGGAAAATCCCCGTGTTTCTATACAGTTTTAGTATACACCCGACTATCGTCTATTACAAATCCTACATTCTGATTGGCTACTCAACCATTGTCTATTCGTGATGGTGCATGCTTGGGAAAAATTTCGCTCGCGCGACCGTATAAAATTGAATTATTTTTCGGTGTAATTGCGGTGTATCGATTATTTTCTCGAAATTAATATACCTAGGTACAGGGTGTATACTAAAACAATTAGACAACTCGCCTTCGTTGTCTATGAGCGAATAGTCAACTCAGGCTTCGCCTTCGTTGACTATTCGCTCATAGACAACTCGGACTCGTTGTCTAATTGTTAAATAGAAACATGGTTCTCAACGAATCAACATACTATAAATGTTATATTATAAATATTATATTGAATATAGCAAAAACTGGTGGGCTGTTTAATTTTAAGTCCCTGTACACGGGGCAAATTCTCTTGTAACTTGAAATGTAATTCAACTTTTTAAGAGACGTGAAGTGTAAAAAACGGCCTTGAGCATGTCATTTAACATGTCATGTGGAAAACAACGTTTTATTCTTCTAGCTTTTTCAAATATCACATGTATAAGGATTTAGACTTTTACGTGCGTATGAAAAACGCGACATTGGAAAGCAGCCCTTATAATTGTTATATGACAGTTGTAGAAAACGTTTTACGTGCGACAATTGAAATTTTTAAGACAGAAATCTACGACGGTCTGAAAGTCTAAAAATCTGTGTTTTAAATTTAGAACCATGCACCTTAAATGAGATGGACTTCAAATTTTACTCTTACAAGCTATGTGTAAAGATGCAAAACATCCTTCTTCATTGAACACATGAAAAAGGATTTTTCATTTTGACAAAAAAGTATGGATATAAGCCATAACGCAAGAACGAGCCTATTGGTTTTACCCCCTGAGCCTCGTTCTCGTGTTATGGCTTATTTCCGCATTTATTGGTCAAAATAAAAAGTTCTTTTTTATGCGTGTGTTGAAGAAGGATGTTTTGTAACTTCGTACGTGAGAGTAAACTTAAAAGCCATCTTATTTAAGGTGCATGGTTCTAAATTTAAATGATAACGTTGTGACGTAATTATCGAAAAGGTCTATTGTAATTCAGCAATTAATGATTCATTTGATGTCACGAACCTGCCGGTGGAGTTAGTACCCGAGCTTCCGCCTTCACCGGAATTTCCGCCTGTACCGGAATTTCCACCTGTACCGGAATTTCCACCTGTACCAGAATTTCCACCTGTACCACTACCGCTGTTACCTCCATCTGAGCCACCAGGGTTTGCTGTGGTATGAGTCGTGGACATACATTTACAATTACTCTATATAAAAACACGGCATTTTCGTATTTCATATATACTGCCTTCTTGAAGAAGAAAATTTTAACCAATTGTTGTTTAATCTGCTGTTCTTATTTGAGTACCGTAATGTAGCACTAGAACGTGCGTGTCTAGTAAGCGCAATCAAACATGCGATTCCCAAAAACAATCTAAAACCTCCGTATATAACTATTTAATACTGCATGCTGTAAGTTAAGGACTTAAGCGCTGAGTTGCTTGCAAAATAGCTCTGCACGTCATGCACGCATTATCCGGTTATCGGTTTAAAGATATCTCGCAATAAAGAAGGATTCTCCTGATCTGACCATGAGCAATAAAGACAAAGAAATTTTTGGTTGAAAATGAATATTTGTGTTAACCTGGTTACAGCATCTGACCAGCTCATACTATAGTGCGTATAAAATAACATCATTTAACAAAGAGATTGCATGTGAATAAGCTGAAGTTTACATTACCTGAATGAATCATGAATTTACATTACCTTATCGCACGGTAAACAAATGCTATAAAGTAAAAGAAGTATGTGTTAAATCTATTGTTTATTGAAATAAAGCTAACAGCTGAGAGTATGTCAGAGTTCTATGTGTAGAACAACTGGTCCGACTTATTAAAATAACATATTTATATAGTCTCCGAAAAATGTTTTCCTAAACATAAATTTAGTATGCCAAGCCAGAAAATATATATATTTACACATCACCCATACGTATCAGTATGCATGGTAATAAATGAATAAATAAAGTTAAGAACTATAGTTAGCTAATTTCAGAAGGGGAAATACTTTTTGATGTCGCCACTAGAAACAAAGAATTTTCACGAATAGTTTGAAAAAACGATCACTATAGAAAGTTCTACTGTTCTTATAACGACAGCTATTTTGAATGGAGATGCATTATGGGTTATTCAGAGTAAATTTCGCATCTTCAAAGCGGTTAAAAAGACACAAAGAACCATTGACGAAATTTCTTTCAAAATTCTTTGATAAACAGTTTCTCCAGGGCAATGAAGAAGTATTAACCTGTATATTTCATGAGTAAAGAGAATACTAGAAATCCTACTTCAGTCGAAACCTTTCATGCGAATTTTTCCGTGCATATCACATTACACATATCACATTCTCTCATTATTCTTTTAACAAAAATAAGAGCAAGTATTTCGCTAATATATCTGATGCACAGCCCCTCAATTATCCTGAATCACCCGCAATGCTTTGCGTTAAACTTAAAATTCAACATGGCGTCGCTATCGGTGAATAAGTTGATTGTGATAGCATTCAAATTGATTTACAAACCAATTTTTCCTTGGCCTCGAAAATGCGAAGGAAATCGGACCCAAAGAGTACGAAGAGGAAAAAACGTTTGCAGAAACGTCCGCTGCTATGTTAGAAAAGGTGAAGCTACTTGTGATGCTGGATTTTCCTTCGCGACAAATTGAACTCCCAGGTTCCTCGGTAATTGTTCTTTTAAATGGCCAGGACACACCGAGTGCAAGAGATAGTTTACTTTTGTTGGAATCGTAACTGGGACGCGTGTTGAAAAGCTTATCTGCGGCCACATAAAAATAAATTTAGAGTGTTTAATGATGTACTGTCGGCAAGTCTATCGATACGTATAGTTACAGAAAATCTTAACACGACAGACATAAATATTTTATGAATTCCACCTTATACTCACAAAAAAAACTCTTTACTTTCTCATACGTATTTCGTAGAAACTTTGGAATGGCGGAGACTCTTAGCTCGACCCTAGGAACCATTTGAGCGTACATTTCTATCGAGGAACCAGTAGAACGCTGTGTGTCGGATTTATCAGACAAAACAGTACTACCCTTAAAAATTCAAGCAGGTGTGCTATTAGAGTTTTTGTCTTATATATATATATATATATATATATATATATATATTATAATATATATATATATATATATATATATATATATATATATATATATATATGTATATATATATATATACCGGAAAATTTTTCCTGCAACTCGCAACATAGTTTTTCTACCGTTACATCTTAAAAAATCATTTGCGCATGCGCAGAAAAACATTGAATCATTGACGTTTTAAACGAAATAATCTAAGGGCAGTTTTCCTGACGATTGAACTCTTCGATCGACCGTAAAAATTCGCTCAATTTTCTTCTCAATTGTGAGAAGACGATCGAAACGGATTTACTACACCGAAGACGATTCATGCAGGAAAAGAAAATCAGGCGTAAAATTTCGTTACAATCAAACGCTAATAATTCTCTTAAATATGTATATAGCAATATTCATTTAAAGATTTACTCACATCATAATCTAGTGAACAACCGTCGTAGGATATCGAACATTTGCCTTCTACAAAAAATCCTGGTTTTATGAAAAATGTCTGCGATAGCTTTTGCAAACCACCCTACAAAAAGAGAATTTTAAAATAGAATGAAGCAAGCATTTAAAACGATGCATGTACAAAAATTGTCTCGCGGGTTCATGCAGTTCAGCCTTGAGCCTCTTACAAACGAGCAAGTTTTCTATGACAACAAAAATTCTTTATGTAGAACAAAATTTCTGTGACCAAGTTTTTCTTTGACAAGTTTTATTTCCTCGTGTGAACGTGCCAACAAGTTTACTTTGACAATTTAGTTTGCAGCCAGCGATGTAATCGTACAGCAACAACTACCGCATACAAGTGCTCACATTATGTGACAAGTTTTCTTTGTTGACTCATACAGACGAGCAAAATATGTAATTTGACAAAACTAGTCATAGAAAACTTGCTCGTCTGTAAGGCTTTAGGTATACTTTGCTTACAACCCTGAGGTGAGCCACGACTTCAAAGACAGTTCGCCCACCTCGTTAAGTAAAATCCTCGTGAGGTAAAATCTTCAAAGTAAACCTAGCTCACTTGCAAAAGGTTTCCGAGTGAAATGAAAAGGTATTTTAAAAAATCTATTAGCTTTTGATAATTTGAATAGTACATGCGCCGTTCACAAAAGAGAACATCAACACCGCTTAACTAGAGACGCGTAAAATCTTGTATTTTAATGATTTATTCCACCTGGAATGGATAGCACTACCCATCAAACAGTGGTTTTCGATCGGTCTATTACTTTATTTAAACATCAGTAATCTTGAATTAGCGTTCCTCTTTAATAATTGGTAGCTTAAAACTTGAACATCTTTTTAAACATTTGTCATGCATAAGCACAAAATTTCGACTACATTCATAAAGAATAACAAAATTCATAATCGATTAAATATACCACCGAATAGATTTCTATGTCGAGAATCCTTCTAAGTGCTATTTGGCTGAAATATAAGCGGAAGATCATCTGGGAGCAAGTTTATTAACAAGCGTTTATTATTATACTCCGGCATTATTTTCTAACCTGAGTACCCAGCGCTCCTTTTATCTTGACCCCAACTCCTCCGTCAAGCCTGAAGACTATTTCGCAGGGCAGCAAAGCAATAGAAAACGGAATCGTCTTTGGCTTCACTATGCTTAGCTTATCGACAGACCAACTATTGAAAAAGATATTCGTATAATTACCACATAGCTTGTCAGGTTTCTTACGATAAGGGTCAGGGTTTGTCTAAAATTATTCTTTTTTGGAGGTGCAGGCAAGTCTAGCCTTTGGTCGTATATCAAACTCGTCTACCTGCTTTAAACAAGCCGCACAAATATATCAGTAAAATATGTGATCCTGTGTGTGTAAAAGAAGATGGGCTAAGGTACAATCAATGATCTCAATTTTCTTTGAAAAAGTACTTGGCGTTTCGGTTCCCTGTGCCATATGTGCATTGCTTCAACAAGCGGAAAAACTCCTACGACCACAGCTCGCGTTAAAAAGACATTCAGCCTCATATGCTGAATCGGTCTATTTTTCGTGTCTTTTCGTTATAAAATTTACTTCTAACAGATTTATCACAATTCCTAAACATGGATTTCGTTCAATGCCTCAAGCCCAACCTCATACACATGACTTGAAATACACTATTCTTCTCAAATCCCACCTCATGCATTAACAGGGCTTTGAGGAATAAATTCCTTGAGGGAAGGAACTATGGTAATCTGGAGATTTTAATTAATATCACCGGCTCGGGGATTATTTTCACCTACCTATGTATAAAGGAATATATCAATTTAATATTGATTGCTATAAAACCAGACAGCTTTCCACTAATATAAATGTCATCGTCTTCCTCGTTTACGGTAAGTGACACGGCAACAGCGGCGTTCAAAGTGATTAATGGCTCTATTTCAATTTCCCCCATGGCTCCATTCTGAATTTAAAACAATTTATAATTACTAACTTTGATAAACTTCAATTAACAGCTAGCAGAGGTTAAATTTCACCATATTTTTATAATCTCTGAATGGTCAACATGCGGGCTAAATTTTTGCCAAAAGTTTAGTGTTTGCGTAAAAGGCTTTGTCTTTTAAAATTGGCTGTCCTGTCTATGGATTGTTTTCAACAGGGATTTGATTAAATAGATAACAACCAGCTGATAATTTGCAGTATAATTTGAGATTGTTCTGCCTGGTACTCAATAGATGTGTAGAAAAGTTGTGTCAGGATACTCACATACAGAGAAAATCTGCTCCCACCAAAAGAATTATGAAAATCATATTCTGCAGTCGCTCGCCTATCTCTCCGATGTTTCTTATGTATCTGATCAACATCAATATGACCTACAGCAGCTATCCCGTCCGATATCCATTTTACGGTAATAACTTCTACTAACATATAGTCCCCGCTGGTTCTCGAGCCGATAACCTAATTAAAATATCAAAACCATTTAGAATTGCCGTCTAACGACGAACGTTTCATAAAAAATATATAAAAATATCTCTCCAATATTGCGTATAGAACAATAGACGTTCAACCTTTAAATAAACTTTAATATCATACCTCCAGCTCGGACGGAGATACGGGACTGGAATGCGCTCCGGTCATGTGGTACAAATACTTTTTCCGATTGGATAATTTAAAATTAATTTATGCTTTCTAAATATTATTTCACAAACCTTTGCCAACACTGGATAACCTTCCCTTCCGACAATGAGATGGCCGACTTCAATTTTTTCGTTGCCAGAACCGTCCAACTGACCAACAACCACGCCATTGTTATTATCGCCTCCAGAACAGTATACCTCTCCTTCAATTGACGTTCTTCCTTTGATAAATCTGGAGACAAAAATGTTTCTTCGTATGTCGGATTTAAGATTTCGCAAAAATTACAACGAATACAACATGCGAATTACGAGAAATTTTGACGAATTACGTCACATGACATTACGTTAGTGACATAAGTGGTCAGAATAAGAATAACGTATTTTTCAGTTAGGGATGATTTAACTGCGCAAAAGACTTGTAGGTTTATACAAACGGCTCCAGAACTAAGTTAGTTTTCCAGAAAAATTACGCACTCATGTACGGGTGCATTTTTTTCTGCAGATATAAATCAAGAGATCACTTCTTTGATCTCTTATTATACATCGCGTTAAAAACTTGTGTAGGTTAATGACACGTTGAACTCAAAAACAATCCGTATATACCTATTCGTGAGATTAAAGTCTTCTGTACACCTTTCAATTTCAGTTTCCAAGAATATCATGTTCTCGTTTATGTTTTTTTCCAGAACACGCTCGATAAATTCAGGTCTCTCCTTGGAAACAAACACATCTCCCTGACTTATGTTTTGCACTTTGGTCTTGTTCATCACGATATAATACGTTTTTTCAACATTTTCGCCAATTTTGTAAATGTATCCTAGGCATTTGTAGAATGGAGTTCCTTTAAAAAAAAAGTTAGGCTAAATTAAATTCTCACGTCTAAAACTCCATATACAAAATTCTATGAACTGTGAAATTATTCACAAAAAATCTGTTTACATTCAGTTAAGCTTCATATTCTCACCTTCTGATAGCACGTGAACTTTAGATTCATTCAATTTTATTGATCCATTTATCACGCCACTGACATAATCTGAGTTTGGTTCTGTATCTAAAGTTGTTTCGTCAATAATCTGAACTGCTTTTCCCACTTGACCAAAATCTGCGTAGCTAATCACTTCTTTTATTCCTGCCGGTCTGCCAAGTAGGAACGTGAAATTCCCTATTTGATATATTACGAATTTTAATATACAATTTATACGTATATTGGGTGCGACTTAGAGACTCGCTATTTGCGAACGTATACAAGGCTGTATATTTGGAAACTGTGAACTTTCAAAAGGTTCAATCCTAGCTTTATTGATGATTCCATTTTATAGATCGATTTTCCGATATTTCTCGGTAAAGACCGAGCAAGGGAGGTTAAAAAAAGTTTATTATATGGCAAATGGTATTTGACAAAAACAAAAAAAAATTATTTACTTTACCTAAACTGTCTGGAGACGTCTTATTCATTTCAATAGCAATATATTTCTCTTGAGCATTTATTTGTGCCTTTTTCATTCAGAATTTCTCTGTTTTTCATCTCGTAATAGATCGCCGATAACGCCGGTCCATTACGGCAAAGCGCTCATATAATGGACCGCTCAAAATTCTTCTCAGCCAATCACTGAGCTCCCTTTCACCGGAAGTGGCGCTTGCCATTAAATAATTATAGTTATCCACTTTAACAATTTAAAAACTAATTTAACGAACCTCCTTTAAACGTCGACTGAACGTTTCGTTCCAACTATAATAATATTATTATAATGAACTATATATAGGCAACACGACTTCCTCTATCAAAGGACGAAGTGGTAGCTATATCACTGAATCGTCCCTTGTTGCTCTAAAGGCCGATCTACACGATGCGATTAGTCGTATATGATTCTTATCCTGACGTACGTCATACGTATGAAAAAGATTGGTAACGTCACTCTGTCTGTTCATCAGTTTATAACGAAATTTAAAATGTGACATTTTTACACGCATTTTTTTGAATACATACGCCAGCATACGAATCGTATGCGGCTAATCGCATCGCGTAGACCGGCCTTTACCGTTGCACTTTAGTAAAAAAATTGCAAATCCCACGATGGTTCAAAATAACTACAGATTTTGAATGCTTACCTTTTTCTGATGTATCGCTAATTTTGTGCATCAGACCTCCTGCCTGCGCACTTAAAAGCACGTCTCCAACTTTGAGACCAAGCTTTGTGGGTGCAACCAAAACGGTGGAGGAATCATCTTCTCCGGGAAGTTGAATGGGGCAATTGTATATCTTTGTTATTTCTGGATCAACAATCTTCACATTTTTCTTGTAAATAATGTTTTCAACCCGTTTCGGATCCGCATAATCTGGATACACTCTTCCGTCAGGACAACGAGTGTCATTCCATGATCGACACTCCCCTTCCTTCTACAGATAATATTAACAACAATTTCATGAAAACAACAGTAACATACTTATAAAATAACATGTACACGTGTTTTGATTGGCCAAAGCCCGAGTTTGAATCAGGCTTATTTCTTGAACAGAATTTATGGAACTCCTTATGGAAATCAAACTTCGAGCACTATACCTTGTTGTTGTTATTTTATAAAACAATTAATGATTTCTTGTGTTTGGATGGCTGATCCAAACACTTGGAAGTGTTGCTTGAGTTAAGAAAAGCTTGCCAAATACACTGGCCTTTGGCTCGTGTTTCGCGCGCTTTAATATAAATAAGAAAAAAAAAGAGATGTTATATACCACGTTCTTGAAGCACTTCTCAAAATCGTGACATTTTTGACAGGATTCCAGTGTTGTTGTCTCTTCAGATCGGTTACACTGCCTCATTACACAGTCCACGCGCTGTAATTTAAACGTGTTATGATTCGCTCAAAACTGATATAACTAATATAATGATAAACGTTTAACAGGGCCAGGGAAAAAGATTTATGTACAACGCACTAACAAGGGGAATTTCATTTTAGACGAATCAGCAAGTTTGTTTATATTTTCAGTAATCCCACCAGAATTTATCAATTTTGCCTACTTCTGGCAAAAAGGTACATTATTTACCACGTTACATGAAGTAGTAAAAATTCAGACATTCTGACTGTCTTTGTCTAAAAATGTAAAAAGGAAACTCCCTTTGTTGTACGCAGTGAATTCAATAAATTTGTAGCAACAATTTTTTTCTAAATTCAATTGTGCAACATGGAATACCAGATACTCGCAGTCGTTTTGCACAATTTCATAATTATTTGAATTATTTGAATTATTCAAAAATTATTTGAATTACCATAATTTCTTGCGAACATGTGCTAACATTCCCAACCGTGATGCAGTTGTGGTAAAACCAGTCTGGACATTTTGATGAATGTGGGCCTAAAGATGTACCCGCTATGCATTGCTGCGAGCTGTCGCACCAACCACAGTTACCGTCATGGTAACAATCAATACATTTTCGATACTTTCCACAGTCAGAGTAGGTACAGCCTCGACCCTACAAAGATAAAAAAATCTCTGTCACGATAATTATCATTCCCCATATTCATGGGATATACGCTGAGCGTTTGATACAGAAAAAACATATAATGTGCATTTACCAGGTATCCCGCTAAACATTTGCAAACGTTTGGACCAATACAGCGACCATTTCCCGAACAGTTATTCACGTTATTGCACTGAAATTCAGAACAGTCTCTCCCTGTCCATCCGCGGTAGCAAAAGCAAGTTGCTCCAACACAATCTCCGTTGTAGGAGCACCCATTAGGACAGCGAGTAGCTGGATAAATGAAAAAAATATACTAAAGCTTCGAAAGTCATTTGCAAAACACTAAAAGTCTCTTCAAAATAAGATAAAGGAAATTTCTATTTTCACTGTCATGTGTGCATTTCGTGACAAGGTTTGGGTGAAAAAAAGAAGTAAAACAGTGAATAGTATTATCATTTTTTCCCCTTCCCTTCCGCTTACAAGAAGGTCGTCACAAAATCCAATGATATATAAAAGTGCATGCAATTGTATATTGAGAAAACTGGCTATAATACTTATTAAAACGAAACACGCCAGTGTTTCACGAGGTAAATATACCATAAATGATTGGCGCATGTAAAAGCTTGATGATACTAGCTCACCTGCAGTTTGGGTGCAAATGTATGGGTAGTGACTTTTGCATGAAACAACTTGATCTTTCAACTCGTGAGTTCGTACTGTACACTGCTGTTTTGAAGTCTGTTCATTCTCCTTAAAGATACATACATGCAGTAATATTGACACACACTTAAGCATTTTTGTAGCCTATTTTCTTCCAAAATTTGCATGGGTAATCAAATCAACGTTGTCGTCCATGATGTGTTCTAAAGCCTGTTATAAAGCCTTCTATCCCTAATATTTACAAAATACTACATCCAGAGAAATTTACGTATGTTTTATTTACATTTGTAAGAGACGGCTTGGATAAGAACGTAATTAGCGCAATTAAAACTACAACTATAGTTAAAAAGTAGTTAAATAGTGCATGATTAAGTTTTAAATACGCGCATATTGGGTGACGTTTTCACCTAACTATAGTTAACTGATATTGAACTACACCTAACTGATATTTGTCAATATTCAGCTAGGGAGAGCGACCGGCGATATATTTTTAGTATATCCCAAAGATATACATACCAAGTATGCTTCTGTTGTCACCCATATTGGTAGTGGTTTTTCTTTTTCGGATCGTGATTCGTTCAGCGCCATGCTGATAAATCTATTGTCTATTGGTGACAGTGATGAAACCACACGAGCTCCGTGATCCTTAAAAAAATTCCATGTTTTCATGAGAAGGAAATGATAAAATGTTGTTGTCTTAGAGTTACGCCGATCTGAATTGTGTATTTAAACTCCCTGGAAAACCAGAATCAGACTTCACAGTCAACAGTTATTATGTAGATACGAGCCGACACCTGTATAAACTTTTAACATTCTAAATACGCTCGTGTTAAAATTTCAAGCATAAAAGAAGAATAATCGGAAACAAAATTTAAAAACTATTAACTGCTGAATACACTTGGCAGGATAAATTTTGATAGAATTTAAAAACACCACGTGCATTCATGCAAAATTATTTGAATGTTGATGAATCACACTTCTGGGGCCGGTTGTTCGAAAGGCGTTTAGCTTAAACGGTGGATAAGTTCAAAATGGAAAGCAAAACTATTTATTTATTGAACAACTGAGCCGAAATATTTCGATTTAAATAGCTTAATTGTCAATGGAAGTACATATTTAATGCACGAGATGCAGATTTAGTCGTTCACAAGATGCATGAGAGTAATTTTAAACTTTGGCTTATCCACCGTTTAAGCTAAACGCCTTTCGAACAACCGGCCCCTGGGGCCGATTGCAGGAAAGTAGGATAGCGCTATCCGCCGGATAGTAATTTTTTCAATCGCTCTGTAATTTCCCGTGGTTTGGTATATAGCTTTGATTAAATTTTAGTATTCCTAAATTGTTGATCCTCTTTGTTACTGTCAGCTCCAAGTTTTTAATTTATTTGTTATTATGGTATGTTTACAGAGGTTGCACAACCTTTGACAAAAGAAAATTTTAGAAAGTATACAAGAGGAAATGAGGGATTCGCTGGTATATCGGATCGCGCTCTGTTATTAATCACCTTCATTGCTAGATGCTGATTGGCTGAGAAGAGAATTTTAATAATTTTTTTTTTTTTTTAGGTCGGTAAAATCCTATTGGATATCACACCAACCGTTAAAATAGAAATATAGATTAAAAATAAAAGTATATAGTTAAAAATATATAGTTAAAAGTTAAAAGTATATAGTTAAAAGTATATAGTTAAAAATATTTAGTTAAAAATATATAGATTAAAGATAAAGATAAAAGGTCTAAAAAATTCAACATATGTTTATGCATTAAAAAAAGTTGGTTAATTTGTTTAAATTGCGAAAGGCTCTCTGAGCTCACAATCTCCTCTGGGAGGGAATTCCACTCCTTGATCGTGCGGGGGAAAAAAGAGAATTTAAAAACATCTTTAGTAGTTCTAGGAATTCTATATTTAAAACTGTGGCTACCACGTGTTCTGGTCTCATTGTTTAACTGCAAGTAGTTTTCAGTCGAAACATTGGTGAGGTTGTGGGAAAATTTATACAAGAAAGTCAATAATGTTCTGCATTATTTCCCTTGTATTGTACTTACTGCCGGACTCTATTCTACGATTTTTCTCAGTTTTACGTACCTGGCAATATTTCACGGCTTCGTTTAAGGTTTGACTACCTCTTCTGAAGACAAAGCATGTTAAATCGTTTCTCTGCCAGTTTGGAGGACAACTAACTATAGAATTTAAATTGAAGTATATTGAACTAAAGCTTGTTTCCCACTAGGCCAAATTTTTCGATCAAATTTTACGTAGAATTCCCACAGTTGGAAAGAAAATTCCGCCTAGTGCAAAAAACCGTCCTAACAACAGAGTAAGTCACGCTTACTAGATAAGATGTGCCTTGGTGGTAGTTTTTCGAATGGTTTATAGTTCACCAACGCGAAATCATAATGGTTCTTCTTGCTATAAATAAGCGCGCGGACATAATCTTCCCTTCCGACTCCCCACCAATTGTTCGCTGCTTTAATTGGGTCCGTAAAAGGCTTCGTTGTTGAGCTAAATTCGTACAAATTGAAAGGATTCTTTAAATTGTTTCCATGAAATTCCAGCGGTCCGTTTGTGAGAATCGTTGCACCTTTGGCGAACTCAAGACCACGATTGAGGTAGAACGTGTTCATCTCACAAGTCTGACCTTTAAAGCCATCACTCTCAAAATGATACTCAAGCGAATGCTGCCCGGAATTATTGTAGAAGAAATTGTCAACAATTTTCACTTGGATATTGTTCACTTTGACTGTACTGAAAGGACCAAAGTTGCTCTCGAAAGCATTTTTCATAATTTTTACCAGCATTCGTTGTATCCCAGAACTCCGTCCTGACAATAAAATTGCTCCGTTTGTGTTACCGGCAAACGTGTTACCATATATTGAACTTTCTGTAGGTTCCTGCACCGTTCCGTGGAAACTCCCACCTAATTTAGCTTCAATTCCACCAAATACGTTGTTGGCGACAAAGTTATTGGCGATAGTGAAACGGTTGTCTTGGATTTCGAGGAAAATGGCGGCGCTTTTGGGCACCGAGTTTGCGGAAGATAAGGTGTTCAAAACTTGAGACCGTTCAATAATAAACTTCGGACGTGTATCGGCTCTTTCCGCCGAAGATATGTATTGTACAGAATGTTGGTTGTTGTCAATGAACTCGTTGTTTGATAGACGATGATCTAAAGAATTTAGAACAGATAAATATAAGTATGGAAACACTAATTATAAATAAAATTTTAGTGACAAAGGAGGTTTAGGAGGTTTTGGACGATGGAAGTGCTCTAAAGAGATGGATCATTAGAAATCACGACAAATCCGATACGAACCTTCAGCATTTTCGCAAATCTTGAATTCTAAGTCATCGATGGCAGTATAACTAGGGCTTTCACCCTCTAACGCGATCCGATATTCATCAACATCACGTGGAAGGGTGATGAGAACCTTTGTCCAGACTTTGCCGTACGTGTGCTTTCTAGTATTCCAAATTAATTTCCGTTGGAACTTTGTATAGGAACCTAAGACAACATAATTATACAATGATTTAAAATTATAACATTTATAGTGCGCGCGTGCTGTTGGTCTAGAAATTCTACAACTGTAAAGAAACACGGAAATTTTCCCATCGAAATAAACAAGCGAAGTAATATAATGAAAATTTCTAATTGAATCGAATTAAAAAAATTGTACACATTCGTTTTTTTAAGTTATATTATAGAATTACCTTTTTTCTGTGTTTCTAATTTTCCAACTAATTATTTTTCGTTCTCCCAAACTCCCACGCGTGATTTTATTTAACAATTATTCGTTTCAGTGAATTTTTATCATGGCTTCGCCCGAGGGATATATCTTCCCGAGGGGGTAATATTTCGTCGAATTCCCCGAGCGGAAGGTCTATAAATTATATATTATATCGAAAAAACGTGTAGGCAGCGCAAAAGCTGGGTAAAATGGCTTCTTTTGCCTCCATTTTGAAATTGTTGACAACCTCGAGTCGTGTGCGAGGCATCCACGCGTGGTACACGCAAACTCGAATAGTCAGTCGACTTTTATACCATATATCGACTTTTATAGCATAATATGAAAAAATTCGATGGAACTCCATGATTAATTTACTGATCACGTGGTACAAATCGAGCTTTCTGATTGGATGATTTACAGTTGAGATATAATATAGCTTGTTATCACCGAGCCTGAATTTATTATTACTCCAGCGTCAGCGACGCCTCGGTTTCGTTTTGTTTTTGTTTTTTTAATGGCGCGAAATATACTAGTATTTAAAATGTGTACGTGACCGTTTTTATCTACGTCCCAGTCTTGTCTCCCAAGAGTTGTGGTGCATGGCTTTGGCTAATTTTCCGATGCGCGATTCGATTTCGCTCGCATGATACGGCAATTCCTCCAAGAGGAACAAATAAACCGTTCTTTTCATGCTTTTCGATTAAGTTTAGATTGAATTGGGGTAAGAATATATTTAATACATGTAGATTCTGGTCCTATTTTAGTAATATCACTGCTATTTCGCCGTTTAACAAGATGATGTGGTCGTGTATGGGCGCTTTGTCTCGTCGTAGTTTGCACAGGATTTAATATAACTATATAAGCACGAATTCCAAAGGCAAAGTGTAAGACAAAGCGAATGTATCATGCCGTTTATTTACATTTTTGAACGATTAAACTATACTTTTTAAAGTACGATGTGCTTCTGAATTTCGCGATCGAACATTTAGGTTAGCGAGGCATCTAAATGCGAATATGAACTGTATTGTTCAGAAGCTCTATATTGAAGACTGGCACGTGCGCCGGAGTTAACGCCAGAACAGGCGTCTTGTTACTTAAAATTTCGTATTTGAAAAACAACAACAAAAGCTATAGTCACCGACCAATGGTTATAACTTCAGAAACAGTGAATTTTAACCAATCACAAAGCAGGAAAATCATGCAATAGTCACCTCGAAATTTATACTTAAGCTGTACAGAATAAAAATATTAAATAACATCCACAACCTATCTATTGTGTGTTGCACTTCCTTCCAGACATAAAAAGAATTCATGTATGTGAACAATAACCATGCAGGTTGTTAGTGATAACCTTTACAGTCGTCCCTACCCGAATATCCCAAAATTGGCAAAGATGAAGGATGGAGAGACATCTATCTCATGCAGGTGCAAGTTTTCCAAAGCAGCTATTGCTGGCGATTAAGCGTTGATTCCGTGATATTCGCCATTTGTTATTACGTCATGGCTATCATGCCCTCAGCCAAGTGACTCGGCTTCTCAAACGCTATCAATAAGAAATCCTCAGGCAGCCATCAGTCAAGAGTACGTGAACGTGTACGACACGAAGTTTCACTTCTGGTATATTATACGCATTTTTTACATCGGTGCACTTACCGGTTATAATGTAAATTGATATTCCAGGCTTCAACCTATGAAGACCTTCGTCTTTCAAAACATAAAAAAATTGGAGGAAGCAAAATTGCAGTGATTTAATGCTTGGACTGATCATTCCTGCGCGCCGAAGTTCCCTACTTGCCCACGAGCTCCTTGAGATTAGATATTTTCCTTCATAAAAACAAAAAATTATCTAATGGAAAATTGTCCTCTTTGTTTAGTTGTTAAATAATAGTAAAATACCGACTTACCACGCGCAGAAAAATAGGAATGATCTCTTAAATAATTTTGATAACGAGTAATAAACCAAGTTCCAGTCATCACACGACCAAGAACAGACGCGTTGCTGAATTGCTGCCAGCCACAAAAATCCCGTTCGTAGGTGCATGCGGGCATATCTGGAATAAAACTAAAAATGCTTACATGGTATAAAGCTAAATTCACAATTGCATTTACGATTTATCCTGTTTTCAAAATAATAAGGGATACAATCCTAAGGTTTCCTAATCGATCCGTGATATATTTTTCTGAGAAATATTCATAGAAAACGAGAATTGAACGAAACATTCTATGAATTAGAGTTTTACCCTGAGTCATACGATTTGCTCATTCTATATTTTAAAGTGGATAAATCGTACTTTTATTATAGTGAGCCTTCTTAATTTAAGAAATCTAGATATTGAGAAGGTATTGCAAGTGGAGATAAAAGTTTATAATAAACATACTTGCAAGTTGCGGGGAGTTCGGAATTTTGCAGGGAGGCTGGAAGTTCCCCTTATTTTTGAAAGAAAAAATGCGGAAACTTCGCCAATGTAATTGCTCGTGGATTTTGCGGAACAAATTTTGGCGGCCATCTTGAAAATCCCAAACTCACCGGGTGAGTTCCGACTAGCAAGTGAACAAGGCATGATATAAACGATCAACCTACCAGATATGTTAATGCTTTCAACTAAAATCGCAATCTTTGAATTCGAATCACCATTCCAGCGTAGCAGGATTTCAGTTGTGGGTATAAACAAATCTTTTTTAATAAGACTTTTCCCTTTGTGGTTGTAAATGACGTCATTATTCGCACTATGTGAATCGAAGAGCTGTATATCGCTCTGTGAACCACTCTGAAACAATACGACCACTTTGAATCCCTTGCCCAATGATGTAGTCAGCGCCTTCTCGCAATATTGTGACACTGCTCCGTTCTTTAACCGTGGGATGTCATAGTAGAGGAGTTTAGTGGTTTCGATGTGAATGGACTTTACGTAACCGCATAAGAAAGCCCGACCATAGTTGATTTGTGGGATATTCCCCTGGCCGGGTTCTTCGAAAGATACACCACGGGTATTGTCACGGAAGATCGAGTTTTCAACAAGCACCTTTCGATGCGTTTGTAGAACTGTCGCTGCTGGTCCTCCTGTGTTTAAAAACGAACTTTGGTTGATGTGTACATTTCGATTTGGAAACGCGATTTTCAAACCGCCAGCAGTACAATTTTGAACAGTAATAGCGTTCATTATGGGCACGTTCACAATCGTTTCCATCGCGGGAACATGCATTCCGTGACGATTTCCACAGTGAGTAAACTTAACAAAGTTTAAGGTTGAGCGCTGCTGTGTAAAATTCGTTTCATTTGAGGACACAAAACGCACGTTACCCCAAGCAGTGCCATGGCATTCAAGATATATAAAGTTCATATTAGTGCTGTTGTTTTCCTCGAGACGATGGCATTCGTCCAGTGTAGTTTCATTACCGAAACAATGGAATTGAAGATAATGAGAAACATTATAAAGTGGGCTCATTTGAATCTTCTTTGCAGCGGTCGGCGGTCCATAGCCGAGTTGTTTGCAGAACACATTTGTTAAATTGTGCAAAGGCAGACGGCCTGGTGTAACAAGCGGCGACCAAACGGAACCGTTAAACAGTTGCGCCATTCCTTGCCATGGGAAACTGCCATCTGCAAGTCGAACAATCATCTTGGAGCTGTTATTTCTCCCTGCTGGTTTATCAATGGTGAAATGGACTGGTTTGGATGGGGTTCCTTTCACCTGAAGTGCACCAATCACAAGAATACTAACACCTGGTAACAGCTTTACTGTCACCCCTGCCTCCACGACGAGGGTTGTATTCTTTAAAATGCTCAGATCCGATGTTATTCTGTAGGGACTTTCTGACGCCTTCAAAGAAACCGATTCCGATACTCGACCGAAAAGAACTCTTCCGCGCTGTTTAAAATCTGATCGCACACTTAATATTGACGATTTATTCGCGTTCAAGAGCGGCCAAATTTCGGCAATGGCATAATCATTGTTATCATCAAAATCAGATATTCTATCACGTATTTCACTGGGTTTTTCCGTTCCCCACCAATTGTTTGAGGTGTCGATTTTGTCGCGATAGGAAGTGGCAGGAAGTAAAACGCAAAACTCTTTTGTGTACTTTGAGTTGTCAAAGCTATTAAAATTAACATAGATTTCTTTAAAGAACAGAAAACCAGAAATTGACAGAGAGCACTGCTCTGTCTCCTTCGATGAGAGAGAAGGCAAGGATGGTAAGTTCTGAAATAAAACGTTTTGTGTAACGTTAAAATGTCCGCAACCTTTAAATGTTCCACCAGTTTTGCACACGACTTGCAGAGAGACCACGCCCTTTGCTTTGTTTCTCATAAAACTATTATTCGTAAACACTGCATTCTCGCCAACAGAGGTGCCGATATCAACTACGCTGTGATCTTTTACGTCGTTTTCAACAAACACGTTACTTGTGATAAAAACAGACTCCTTCACGCTTTCTGCTATAAAAAGACAGCGTCCTGAGTTGAGTTCGAAAGTATTGCTTTCCAACTTAACATTGCCGACATCGTTTTCAAGGTATATAACCGCCTTTTCCTGCCCCAGGTTTCCTGAAAAGATATTCTCCGACACTTCTAACACCGTTGGCTTACACGAGGACCACCGGCTGGTGTCGAGATTGATGGTTGAGGTGGCTTGATTCTGATGAAATTTGTTAGCGCGAATTATCCATGAGATGTCGCAACTGTCAAACATATCAAATACAGGTCCTTGGTTTCCAACAAAATTGTTTGACTCGAATATCATAGTTATTGGTTTGTTCGTGTGATATTTATGCCGAAAGTAGCGTATCGCTTTATTTTTATTCCAGGCAAACGTGCTTCCATTCACGAACAAGTTGAGTTTGTTATGATATCCGTAAATGTACATGCTTTCAAATTCACTGTGACTTAAAGTTGAGTTAACAATCCACAATTTTCCATATGCGTATTCTCCGATATAAATACTATGAGACCGCGAAACATTAACAACACAATTTTCTATCAAGAAATCTGTGGTTGAGTGCATACTTTGCGTATAAATACCGTAATTCTGGTTCTCGAGCCTCGTTGATACAATTCTTACTTTACTTATGCTGCCTTTTGTTTGAATACCTTGACCACCTGAGTTTATAATATCCACGCCAATGACAAAAAGGGAATATAAGTTGTTTTCTATCAATATACCATTCTTGGTACTGTCCTGAATATAGACTCCAGTCACCCTGATGTGTCCACTTGAGGATATCTTGATGCCACAGTCACGTGAGTTGGTGATCTGTGTGTCAGAAATATGTGCCGTTTTTAAAGCCTTGTTTTGTAGCAAAATACCATGGTTGGCGCTGTCCCGAATAAGAACCCTGGTGACCGTGATGTGTCCATAGGGGGATAGTATTATGCCACAGTCACGTGAAGCGGTGATTTGCGTGTCAGAAATATGGGCAGATTTCAAAACGTTTCCAACCATGAAGACCCCATTATTGCTGTTAGAAATTCTTGACCTAGATATCGATATTCTCCCACCATCTACATCGTTCGGAAATGTCTCGTTTTCTATAAGTATATAAATGTATACACGATAAGAGATAACTAGTAAAATTATGGAAAGCATCGCTAATGAATCAAATAAGAATAATGATAATGGTCATGACGCCTTTTCTACCGTGACATTTATTCGGTAGCTATTCACTGGATTTTTTTTAAAATCCATACTTTGGAAATACACCATACCCATGATACTGTTTCATATTATATTCATAGTATGGAAATGATCATATTTGTATGGATATTGGACCTCATTATTCTATAATCTACACCATTATAATAATACTATTATAATACTATTGTCTTCTATCAATTAACACCAAAATATTAGCATAGCAAGACTGAGTTTTAAGATAGCTTAGTCTCATGCGTTAGTTGTGATAATAATAAAAAAGCTGCAGTATGTAACAGAATAGAAAACATACTCCGAAGATAAATATCTTGTAAACTCAACATATATGAGTTGTCGAAAAACAAGACACAACATTCAGGTGATATTTTGACTCTATTTCAAAGTCATAGTCAAACCTGAAATAGAGTCGAAATATCACCTGAATATTGTGTCTTGTTTATTAACAACTCTTCTCAAACTCATTAATAATTCATGAGCAAATACACCAATCGCAAACACACATTTCATCACGTGCATGAGTTGTGAAACCCCGGTAATAAACCAAAAATTGAATTAACAATTAAGAACTTAGATAATAAACGCTTACACAGAAAAAAAGAGTGCATTACAACATTTCTTAATTATAAAAACAGCCAGAACAATGAAAGCTGTATTATTACCACAATTCTTAATTAACAATGCAAAAGTCAACACGGAGACCATTAAAGTATGCTTACAAATTTTAACAACGCAAAATTACACACACACATCACACTTTTTCCACAACAAACTTCACATCGCACATTCCACAATAATAGACTATTGTTTCGCCTGAGAAGTTATTTCATAAACTCGTGACTCGTGTTTTACCGGGGTTTCCAAATACTTGAGAATAATTGAATTCACTCGACTGTTCACCGCGCGATTTTTATTGTTCTCTCGAGTATGTAAAACACTCAAGACAATAAAAACCACTCGGCCGTACCGGCCTCGTGTTTTCATTGCCTTTCGTGTTTTACAAACTCTCGAGAACAATAAAAATCGCTTGGTGAACAGTCTTGTGAATTCAATTATTCTCACGTGTTTGGAAACCCCGGTAAAACACTCGCACTCGTTTATGAAATATTACATATCTTGAGTTCACAAGATGTTTATCTTCGGAGTATGTTTTCTATTATATTTCACGAAATTGTCTGCTGCAGTATTATTAGGATAAGAAGAAGTTGATGACAAGATAAATTGCACTTATAATAAAATATTGCGCATGATAATAACGTTGACATTATGCCTATAATAAAATCGCTGTAGTTTGCATCTTCCAAATATTAATGCTCACCTTTAACAGTATAAACAAAGAAATTGAAAGCGGCATTCTTTTGACGGCGTTTAAAGAAGTCAAATAATATTGACGATTTGGAAAACGTATAAACACGTCGATCATACGGGCCAACCGTTTTAAGATTTACAGAAGAATCTTGGAGTTTGTCCAAACCATCGAAAATAACCAAGCTGGAATAAAATGTGCCCCAACTTTCAGTAAATCCATGTCGTAGAATTTGAAGAAAAATTTTGTAGCCGGGTTCAGTCTGCATGACGTGTTCACAATTTAATTGTTTTTGGTATCGCAACCGCTCCAGAAAAAAATAAAAGACGCTATTGCCAGGCACAAACGTTTTGTTCAAGGAGCAAACGTGGAATTTCCGATACATTTTAGGACTCGATAGTTCGTCAGCAAGATTGTTCGCCGGGCCCCATAAACTTGAGAAGAAGAATCCTGAGCCTCTGGTTTGCGTAACGTTTAAATCAGTCAGGACGAGCCATGGGGCCTTCGAGCTAAAGCCATGCGACGCTGTATTTGATATAACGGACATGGGGATTATGCTAGCGTTATTGTATAGATTGTTGTACGTTACTCCAACGCCAATTCCATTGGAATCGTGGATGTAAATGTGACTTATATCGTGCTGATCAAAATCAATTCTCAGTGCAACACCCGAAACACTGATGTCATCGCGATAAGCGTATCCAGCGTCTCTAATCTCTACATGATGTAACTTGCTGGCGTGTTGAGAAAGCGCCAAATGAATTCCTCCCCAATTGTGGTTCTTGCAAGTAATACGCACGGTGTATCCCCGACATTTCTTGCCATATTCCCAAAAAGATCTGCTGCAGCTCATAATATCATTTGCATCCACATCACAGAAAACATTGTAAACAAAACCTGGTACGTCCCAAGGAATGCCACTACGTGTCAAAGTATGAAAGTCAAACCCCAGTTGTTGACAGGCAATCTTTCCTTCGTGATGGTCAAATCTGAAAAATTTAACACAGACTGGCCACCATGTCTCATTCACCAGAATTTCCAACAAACCATCCCAAGGTCCGGCACCTCCACCCAAACGGAATCTTTTTTCGCTTGGAGACCTTACAAGTTTGATCCTCTCGCTTGCTGTACCATTCGCTATCAAACGGCCTTGAACAACCATTGTTGCCTTAGCAGGAAATTGCAAAGTGACATTAGGGCCGACTGTTAGTGTTGCACTTGGCAATACAATGATGTCATCTGTTACGGTATAAGGCGAATGATCAGAAGACAATGTTAAATCTCTGTCCAGGCTTCCACCAATAAATGAGATGTTACGGAAACAAACTGGTCTCGAGGTATTGAGACTAGTGTACTCGGTCATATGGTCGGAGATAAAGAACGGAAAGTACTTTATAGGAGAAAGATGTACTCGTTGATGAAAAGCAAATAATCTGTTAGAAATTTCACATTCATTCGGCGTTCCCCACCAATTCAACTCTGCATGGATAATGTTAGCAATATCTTGACGTGTGGTGGAAATTTCAAAATCAAACCCAGGATTTTCAAAAACATTTTCATGAAAAGAAAAGTTTCCCTCTTTTAATATAACACAGGCGCTATTTTCAAAACGTCGAAAGTTGTTCGGAAAAGGGTCATACGAAGAGTCACGGGAGGGTTTATTTTGCTTGAAAGTGTTGTTCTTTACAAGAGCAGAACGTTTTTGTGAGAAGGAATAAAAATCAATATATACGACACTCTTAGCTGTGTTTTTCATAAAAGAATTCCTGCGAATATCGACATGAACAGGATTCGAGTCAAATTGTGAACCACATTTCTTGTTGTCCGTCAAAGTGATGGCATTCCATGTGTTGTTGAAAAATGTGTTGTCAGAGAATACCGCATTGAAGCCGAAACGACCAGTGCAATACACGTAGAACGACGTCTCGAAATTTTGTTCGAAATGGTTGTAGGTGACAGTGCCTTTAATTCGTCTCGGCCTTACGTTGTAATCTATAGGGCAACTTTGTGGTGATAAGTAAACACCACCCCTGAGGTTACGTGTTATAGAATTTCCGCTGACAAAAAACGTCATATTGACTGCTGAACTGGACCAGTACCTGCATTCCGGAGAAAGATTGACCCCATATTTTGCATTTTCGCTGACTGTGCTGTTTTGTAGAGTTAAATGCCCAAAATGACGAGGTTTGAATCGGTCAGTTCCATCTATCAAATTAATCCCGTTCCTATAATTTGAATTTGCCACACAATTGTAAAATTTATAACCACCAATTTGATTCCATATTGTGCATCCATCACGATCATTCTTGGAAAAATTTGAATGTTGAAATACACTGGATACCATCCCATCTTGCATGTTGATTCCACTATATTTATTAGATATGGAAGTAATATTGAAAAAATCGACGTAGCCAAAATTGTTAACCATGGAAATCCCATTAAGAGAGTTTTCTTTGACAAATGAGTTGGTTATGTTGCATTTTAAGCCACCTTCTGAGATAACAAGGCCACTCTGTAAATTCTTTTCAAACCAACTGTTAGATACGTAACATCTCATACAAACACGGTTGAAATACAATCCTTTGTTTTCATTTTGAATAGAGAACACCTCGATCAATTCACTCAGTAAAAGACTGCTTTGCACCACTCGAAGGCCGTTAGCGGTGTTGCTAACCCATTGGGTGCCTTCTTTGGCTGATAGAATTCCGGAAAGATGTTCGATGGTCAAACCATCCTGTTTATTTCCAAAGAAATTAGTTTTAGAAATTTCAACTCGGCCTGTGATTTTTCTTAGGATTGCACCATTGCCGTTGCTGTCCATGAAGGTGGAGTTCGTGATCGCTAGAAGAGGTACATCTAAAAAATAGTTCTCAAGATTAGATATAGCAAGAACATCTGATTGATCTAAGGGGCCGCCCTGCCTGTGAGCAATTTGGAAGGATTCCTGTTAATAAACATGCTCTTGAATTGAATCATTGAATTTTTATATTTTCTACATGCAGGGTTTCCTCTAAAAAGTGAGACTTGAAATTATCTCATTGTTCTCAAACCTCTCTTAAACGCGCGTGATTACGCACGAGGGAATTTAACGATTTTGTACTGTGTTTTGTCAGTTGAGCCATGATTTCATTGTAAGTGGACCTTTGTTGTTATTTCAAGAAGCTGTGGATTTAGCATAGCGCTTAAGCATACAAATTAGATAATGATAGGATAATTTCTAAAGTGTCTCTTTTTTTGGGACACCCTGCAAACCAGTATCAATCTTGATTGAGATATTTAATACGGCAATATTTGTCAATGTTTTGAAACGAAAACACCATGCATACATATTTTCTATCATTTGCAGAAGATGTTAAATTTTTCGTAAATAATAAAGTCAGATAGGTCCCAAGTCAATTATGGTGCAAAATTGTTTATAATCAGATTTTTCTCTGAACATGTTTGTTCTAATCACTTCCAGGAAAAAAATGGGAAATCGGCCTAAAGCGCCTCTCATTTTACACAAAACGAAAAAACATGTTCTACGTTTTGATGCGATATTGACAGTTGCAATTTAATTCAAGAAGGCGGTCAAGATTTTGATGAGGTCTGCTCGGTTATGCTAAGTTCGAGCGTTTACACCTTTAAGTCAAGGCTATCGGTTCGATCCAGACCAACACGTGCTGAACTGTGATTTGAGAATTGAAATCACATAAAATTATTTGAAATCACTGATTTCTCATATATATAGCCTTTGACCAGACCGAAGTGCATTTACACTATACGAAAATCATCGCGAGATCTCATTATAAATAAATTATCGGTCAACATTTCTTACCTCCCTCAACTGTCACAGTGAAACTTATTGTTCCTTCTTGGCAACTTAAACAACGAAAACGTATGTAAATTTGATTGCCAGAACTTGAATGAGGCAAAATATCTTTATAAACATCAGTACCCGACTTGACGTGAACAAGGAGAGTACCATTAGCTGCGATTCCGTCGTAAACAAACAATTCAAAAGTTTGACTAGAGTCAGGTGTCGAATGGACATAAATAACAAGCCGATTTCCTCCAACACTTTGAAAAACCTGCAGAGAGAAACGTAGCTGCCTATATAGTCGTACAAGAAATAATGCTACGTAATTGCTAATGTAAATAAACCAAAATTATAAGCCTCTGTGTTTCTCTCAATTTTGACTTACTTTTGAACATTCAACATTCCTTCTAGCTTGCCCGACCGCGCGAAACGTAATTGGAAAGCTAACATTTTCTTCAATGACTGAGCAAAAATCGACCGTTTCTTCAATTCCAGCGTAGGAGAATCCATCCCCTTTGCTTGTATTAGCAATGATCGTGTTTCTGATTTCGATAGTCTTCGATTTTCCAGTTATCTGAACTCCACCAAAGATGTTGTCTCTGACAGCGATGTCTGTCAAAACTAGGGGAGACTTTAGGTTGATGGATGTCACACCAAGCGCAGAATTCGTGACTCTCACATGATCAATCTCAGGTAGGTATTCATCGCCAAATATAGCTTTAAAAGCATGCGAAATATCCACGTATTGTAGTGTTGAAGGTATCTTCGAGTTTTTGAACTTAACGCCTTTCCAGAAAAACGTATTTTCTAGATAACTCCCCAAAAACTCACATACCACGCCAACATCTTCGCCATGGTCTGCAAGATAAACGGAAAAATATTCTAAAGACCATTCACGGCGATTTGAACTAATCGGCATATTTGTTTATATTTTTTTAAGCAAAGCAAATCAGAATGCCTAAATTTTCAATACTTCATGTAAAATGACAAATAATGTACCTTTTTACCAGAAGTAGTCAAAATTTATGTATTTTGATTGGTTACTAAAAATGTAAAGGGCATTTTAAACGTGGCATAACCTTGCTAGTCCATATATAATGAGGCACGATCGATTTTCGCTCATAATAATTAACACATATTGATTGACATATTAATAGAATGACCATTAGTGATGTCCGGTAGCTTATCAATGTTTGACGATAAACACTGAAAACGGTTGCTATCTACTTACTACAACCATTCACCCCTAGACCTCGATGTTTACAGCTAAGTAAATTATTCTCCGATCCGCCACATTGTAGACGATCAAGCCAAATCGGTCCACTCCCGCCACCATGCGTGTAGCTACGTTTTGCTTTCATGAAACCAAGTTGTCGACAGGCAACCTAACCGAGAAAACACGGTAGTTTGAAACAGAAAGAAATGAGTGCAAAATAAAATTCCCCAAGATTCAGTTGTTACTACCTCCCCACTCCCCATTTCACACATTACTCTCACTGATTCAGAGCTATGTATTTCAAAACGGTTGGAGTTTATGTTTGATCAGAACTTAAAATAGGATTTTAAGAGAAACACAGAACGACCTAGCATCAAATGTGGTATAACAACTGCCTGAAATTGACAAAACACTTCTCGACGCTTCGACCTGAGGGCCCTCGTCAGGAGAGTTAGTATTCTTCCTTTTTCATACGAACTCTCCTGACGAAGGCCCTCAGGTCGAAACGTCGAGAAGTGTTTTGTCCATTTCAGGCAGTTGTTATACCACATTTGATGCTAAGTTGTTTGAAGTCGCTGTCACGCTGCTCCCTGGTTACACTGAAACGTAACACAGAACGTGTTATCATCCAAGGAGAAAATGATTTCAGAACGACAAAATTTTTCACTCATCAATAATCACCGACAAATAGTACTTTGCCGACGTCATATGGAAACCAGGCTTTATAGTCATATCGCCAGAGACAAAGGTTACAATATATTTAGGTTAGCTAGACTTTAAATGAAAATGAACTAGTGTTTTAATGAGAAAAATTCAGAAACTTGGAGAACTATGAGCAGAACTGATGCGCATCAAGGACTTGACTTCCACTTTAAATATCAATGCTTTCAAATAAGTCCGAAATCGAAAGCACTGATTTATATGAATTTACATGAACGTGAAACAATTAAAAATTCCGATTCGCGCGGAATTCCACCTAGTGAAAAACAGCCTTTAATTCTGCATACGGTCCAACGACTATTCAATTTATTACAGGCCGGAGTTTGGATAAGAGCGCAAAATTATGGGCTGCGGACTCAAAACGTACGCCATTAAATTTGAATAAAGAGTATACTTTGGGGCTGTTTACATGAGCCCGGTTGCCCGAGATTCAACGAAGCATGAGAGGACTTAGAGTTATTGAAATAAGTCTTTATGACACCAAACAAACACATGCTATTGTTGTGGTGATTATACGACTACCAGGATCATGTTATCTGCTCATTTCAATACCTCAAAATCATCTCACGCTTCGTTGAATCTCGGGTAACCTGGCTCATGTAAACAGCCTTTTTGTGTCAAATTTATTTAAACTGGTAAGAGAAAACCGATCATGCAGTCAATCATAGATTGACTGGTAAAATCGGTGACTATAGTATAGTATAATTATAGCCATGCTGTGAACAGCTGAGTCTGGTAAGAAGCACTGCCACTGTTTCTCGTCACCGACAACCGGGGAGCTATATTGTTGGTGGCGGGTGACGAAGAAAATCAACAAAGCACTTTATTCGTTAATGATTGCCGACAATAGCCATCGCCGACTGTTGTTCGGCTTCGAAAGACACAGTGATTTGGTAAAGTTTAAATGGGACGCAAGGCAGCACGCCATAGTAGCATAAATGGTTAAGCAATCACTATCAGTGTACTCACTTGAGCATCGTTATAATCAAACCAGTCATCGCAAACAGTTCCCCATTTTCCATTGACAAAAATCTCCAAACGTCCGTAATCGTAGCTTTTTCCACCCGCAAGCCGAATTCCGGCATTACCAACTTTTTTTGCCACAGTGCGCACTGAACTGTTTGTTGATATTTTTGTCAAAAAAATCCTATGGGTCGTATTCCCCTTTGCTTGAAGAGAGCCGTTGATTTGCAAAGCGGTTCCGGGAAAGAAGTATAACTTTACGCCAGGTTCTATTTTCAGTGTTGCATTTTCAGAAACGTTTATGTCTTCCTTCACAACGTACGGCGAATTGTTTAGTGCAAGGGTCGTGTCCGCGTGAATTTGCCCTCCAAAATCCATACTCTCAATCGGCCATACTGCCAAGAGAAATACTAAAAGTATTTTGACTATTGAAGCTCTGTGTCGCAAACAATAGAAATCCATATCTTTGAAAACGACTAACAAAACAGGAGTTAGCATCAAGCGCAACGATATCTTGTAATATTTAGGCAATGCAAATAGCCCGTCAATATGTCGAATGATTTTAGATTTCCAAGTATAATTTCCTAGTCTAATACCAAGAAATAGCCAATACCGAACCAACGATCCCAAAATATCAAGTTTCAATTACGCGTGAAAAATGAACATATGGATTAAATTTTCAAAAGAATGTTAACAACTGTAAATAAAGCAATGCTAATAGTAACCAGACACAGTACTAAAATGCGGTGCCCGCAATGCTTGCCTAGAAATAAAACGTCCGCTCATTTCTAACGACATCACCAACTTACATTCTCCTGTCGGCCGCAGCCTGGTTGGTTGGTACATTAAGGTCAAAATTGCGCCGTTTTAAAATCTTCAGAAATAAAATATTTAGGCTAAAAATACTATCTAAAAATACTATCAAAATGAAGAGAAACGTGAGACGAATAAACTGGTGTAGAGCCGGAAACTAGAAAAGCAACGATACAGAAGTCAAGGATTAAGCGTACTGCATTTTTAATTTGTTTAATAATTTTGAGCGGTTTGTCATAAAGTTCGCTTATTGAAACTATACTTTAAAACCTTCGAAATAGAATATATTTGGCTCAAAGTACTATAAAATAAATCGTAATGTAAGACCGATCCACTTATTTAAGGACGAAAATTTAAGAGAAAACCAACGATATGAAAGGTATCAAAGACCAAACTTACTATTACTAGTAAAGTATAGCATAGTAATTTTGAGCGATTTGTCAACAATTCAATTTCGTTTGTCTTTCAAACGTCATAAATCGCTGCGAATACTCTTATTTAGTAATATATTTAAGATCTGTAAGTATAATATCTTACGCTGAATCGAATGATGGCATTTTTGTCCTATTTGGGTGCATAAAAGCAGAGATACACGCAATTATCAGAGTTTGAGATTGAAATTGAAAAAAGAACGTTCCCTTAAAAAAGGAATTTGGCAAACGTACAACAAGATTAATAGTAATAATTAGGAAAAAATTCCAAGCATTCTAAGCATGTGCAAGGAATTTTTACTAGGCGATTAAGGAAACGTATTGATGCGAACAAACAAACTCACAGGCAGAGTATAATGCGGTGCCAAACTTGGCGCGGGCACCGCAATACCAACTGTCAATAGCTAACTACTGCTACTAAGCTCGATGCATTGTAGTAATTTTCATGTTTTCCCCCCTAACCAACAGTTTAACCCTTTTTATGTGTCACATATGTTAAGCTAAGCTGCAGGGGATATTTTGCATCATTTGCAAGTGTCAAAATGAGAAAAACAAACGTAAAAAACATGTGTAAAAATGTTTCCAAGCAATATCCTCGATAATCGAAATACTAGAGTAAACGAACCACTCTTAGAGGAATGACATTTGAAAAAAGTAATCTAAAGCTAGACATTGAAACGCAAATACGCTATGCCTATAGCAACACAAACACAACGCTTCATTTCCTGGTAATGCGCGCATGTTCCAGGAAAAAAGATTTATAATAAGATAACAAGAATTCGGAAATCATATAAATGGATTTTCCAGCTTTTGTTGTAGTTATAATCACACTTATACCATTTGTTCTCGTCAGAAACGGCTTTGCCTCGTTGGCTATCTGCTCGTGTACTAGTAGAGCTCATGGTATGTTACCCAAATGTTCACACTATTGTCTCGGCTAGGTAGTGGTAAGTTTTACACAGCAGGGCATTCCTGTACATACCAAAAGTATTTGTATTTCTGACTGAAACATGAGTGGTTGCATTCTCTTCAGTGGTGCTGGTCATACGATGCAGTTCTAAAGCCCGTTGGCCGTTTGTTTTTGCTGATAATCCCTTCCTTCGCTTCCAAATTTAAATTTCTAAACGTGTTTCGGGTATTTTCCACCCGTGTGTAGGCGATGCAAAAGGGGTAGAAAACTGACTAAATCGTTGCATCCAAACTGCGCAAGTTATGGATATAGTGCAATACAGACCCGTTTACACTTTCGAAACAGCTTTCTTTCTTGACAAATGTGAACGAGTAATTGGTTACAAATTAACTCGTTCACATCTACCAAAGAACCAAAAAGCGTAAGTCAGTGTAAGTGGGTCATAAAGGATTTTCATACGTTTTGCTGTTGAACTTTATACTGTCTTTGCGCTCCTCGCAAAGCAATGATAAATACTTGGCAGGAGTCTATTACTTCTCTCCTGATAAAAGCATTGGGCAAAAGGGAGTTAAGCCCATTAGGTCGAAACGTCAAAAAATTTCGTTGTACGTTTTCCAGGCAGTTGCTGGACGATTTTGATGAGACTTTGTTGTTTTGATCAATTTAGTTTAATTCAAACTTTGTGTTTCTCAATTACACCATGTTGAAAAATTGCCGAAAAATTCCTCGCGTCAAATTATCACGCATATTTGGGCTGCTATGGTGAAACACAAAGTTTGGTTCAACAGGAAACAAAACACAGAATATATTTTCAATATTTATTATGCATTTCACAAACACACAAGAGATTTATTACTTTAGAGGAATAAATCTAGATGAATGTGTTGCACCAATACCAGGGCGACCATGTTTGACTGGTTTGTATGTGATGGAAAACTCGCCAAGATAGTGTCCGATCATTTCAGGCTAAAAACAGACATAAGGGTTTTAGTTTGGCCACATGTTCACACGAAGTTACAGATATTACAGATAAGGAATGCATGCAAGAAATGCAACATGCACAATTCAATAACAACTTTGGATACATTCAACCTAGAAATGACGAAACATGCTTTTCTTTGGAATCAGGGAATGTTGACAATATTCTACATGTACTTCGGTTGTTTTTTTGTCTACACACAGCAAGCTTACAAAATAGGACCTCCCAATCTGCAGCAAGCACACTTTTGAATATTGATAACATTATTCATTGTATATCAAAACATTTGTTAGCAGCATCTACATACAATGTGACAAGTAATTATAAAATCACATATATATAACATGTGTTCTGATTGGTCAAAGCCCATGTTTGAAATTTAATTTGCTTTGAGATCAAACTGGGAACACTACCTTGTTCTTATTATTTTATAAAACAATTACTTAATGGTTTCCTGTGTTTCGGTGGCCTGGGTAAAGAAAACTCTTGCAACATTCCTGTGTGTTTGGATCCATCCATCCAAACACAGCAACTATTAAGTTGTATTAAGTTGGATAGTAATTTATCTTTCTGACAGAGGCTGCTTTGTTCACTTGTTAAAGTTTTCTTCTGAGAAACAAATCACACTTGAAGTAGTAACCTTCAAGTTTCCGTCACTACATACTGCATGATACAAGTTACATTACAGTTGCAGATCAATGACGATTCTAGCACAAGACACGCTTGGCTGCCATGATTCTGGTCAATTAATAAGATTTTGGAAGCATGTACATGAGTCGCGAGATTCAATGAAGTGCGAGATGACTTTAAATTACTGAGATATTTTTATGACACCAAACAAGCACATGGTGTAGTCAGGATGACTACACAATTGCCAGGATCATATTATATGCACATTTCAATACCTCAAAGTCATCTCACACTTTGCTGAATCATGGCTAGGCAGGAGCATAAAAATATATTCCAATTGTCTACTCCCAGTGGTGATGATTCAATCAGTGTCTCGGTAATCTGGGGTGCTCTAGTCAGTAAAATGAAGCAGATATATTATATAAATATATTATATAATATATTATATTAATTACAAACCTTCACTTCAATTTGGTTGAAAGTTTTGCCATTGTATACGCCAATAACGCTGCCAATCATCTCGGGGACAACGATCATATTCCTGAGATGTGTCTTAACTACCTCGGGTTTCTCCATCGGTGGAGCTTCTTTCTTGGCCTTTCGAAGTTTCTTTATTAAGGCTAAAGGTTTTCTTTTCAGCCCGCGAGAGAAACGTCTCCTTGCACGAGCATGTACCAGCTCCATTAGGTTGTCGCTTTGAAGGTCAAGCAATTGATCCAAGTCGACACCACGGTAAGTAAACTTACGAAAAGTACGCTTCTTTTTGGGTTGAACATCAGCCTAAACAAAGGTGTAATTTTCGCTCAAAAACTGGGCCATATTCGAAAATATAAACACAATTCGACTATTTGGTATTTCCTGATAATGTAGGGCTCGAAAAATTGGACAAAAATTTTAGGATTGCATGAGTAATTGAAGGATAATTTTCATAAACTTACCATTTTGTTTGTATGTTTACAAAAGAAGAAACGAAGAGATCGAAGGGTTTGTTTCCAGCCTACTTTAACGCGCGGTGGTGCTTCCACATTTAGCCACGAAAAACAATTTCAAAAATATTTCCTAACCTCACTGAGCTGTATATAACATTACTCAGCAAAACATGTACAAACATTATAGTTGTATGCATATTGTGACAAAATAAACAATATTTGTTGATTAGAGTATATAATATATACGTGATCTGTACACGCTTTGGTATAAGGTGGGTTTTTCATTCATATGAACTGTTTTGAAGCATAATTTTGGCCGCTAGTAGCTCGATTATTAAAAGACTATTATTAAAGATATAAATTCGTCTGGAGTGATTTCATAGTAGAAATCAGGCAAGTTACTATACATGTTTTTTTTTTAATGTTTTGGCCAAAATTTCTTTACGTTTTCCTTCTGAACGTAAATCTAATGTTGGCCGTAACTTTATTTAGATTGCAAACATGCTATATGATCTTTTAATTATAGTATTAATTGAATATAATTTCATTGTTATGATAAATATATTGGACTATTGAATATCAATCAAAAGTTCTGGTTTAGGTCTTAAGGAATACGATGCAAAATTTACAGCATATAGGTTACCATACTGTCATACTTATATATCGTGAGAGGTTAGCAGTTTCCAATTGCTATAAAATTGCACAAAGTAGCATAATAATTTATAGAATAAAAGTTCCCATTTAAATTTTAGATTATGTAATGTTAAACCTGTATATAACCACTGACATGTGAAATTGATGGGGAATCAAATTTTTGGTAGCCTTAATAAGATGTTTTCACAAAGTTGTCCTCAATCTCTGCAAGATGAAATAGTATTAAACCCTCAATTTAATACTATTATGCATTAATACTATTACAAACCATTTTGCATTTTGCACTAACAAGTAAAAATGTCAACAGAAAGGCTAAAGTAGGTGAATTCTGGCCTTGAAATTAGTCATTGCCAAAACTGGAACCATTAGCCTGTCAGTTTGACAGGTTAACCGGCTTTGGGCCTTGGTGAGGTTTTGCCGAAAGAATTGTGGAAACTTTAAGAGATATCTGAGTGCATTAGCCTCAATTAAATCATGTTACCACATAGGTATAGTAACACAAATCTTTAGATGCTAAAGAAACTAGCTGCCATATTGCACAGTTGATCATACAATACATGTATTTTTCACCATATTACTGTAGTTAACAGTGTTCCTAGCTCCTTAATTTTGACTGACACAGAATGCATGGAAAGAAACAATTTAGTTGCATCAGCCACATCTCCGCTTCAATCTATTTGAATTTGCTGCATAATATGCTGTACATTCATAAAATATGGTCACGTATGCATCAATAAAGGTATAAATTGTGAAATAAAAATTTAAAAGTCAAAGAAAAAACTAATTTAGGACTGCATAGAATATAGTCTGTGGCAAATATTTGTTTGATTTACAAAAATGGCAGTTATTTACATATTTATAGTTTTACATAGTACTTGGGCCGAAGTTGGTAAATACTGTACTAGAATTAAGACAATGGAACTTTAATTCCATTGAGTTTCATTTGAAGTACAATAAAATAGCTATGCTTGCTTACCTTGTGTTAAATTAGTTGTTTAAGATTTAAACATTGGATCCTGAATTCAGAGGTGTTGTGAACTTTTATTATAGCTGCCATCCTTGACAGAGTGAAGGTCTTGAAAATGAGGAATTTTCAAAAGAATTGCCTGTAAATTTAAAAAGAAAATAGTTATTAAAAAATATCAAAACTCTGCAGGAAATTTTAGCAGCAAAATTCATCAAAAATATCGCAAAAATTCACCGCTCTAATTTAACATGCCTTGTTTTGCGAACATATTCGAAAAGTGTATTTTCTTGTATTTACTTTTATCGCTAATATGACTAAATCCGGATTTCACATTTTTGTTTTTCAAAGTCAAATTTAAACCATGCTTTTACACTTGGTTGTCATTTGCCGCCATCTTTGTATTCAAACTCAGGCTTCTGATTGGTTAGATAATTTATCACTGATCTATACATTATTCAGTGGATAGCATCGTCGCCTCACCCAGGTTTATAATCATGCAGTCATATCGATTAATCGAATTTTCATCCAGTCTGAAAAATTGTGAGCTAGGTTTGTGTGTGTCCTTTGAACCGTGTCACACATTCGGCGCCATATGAACCGAACTGGAATATTAAAACGTCAGGGAAGCTGGGTCCTAGTGAAAATTGGATTAGTTCCCCCCTATATTTTAGTACTCGCTTAGTTTTAACATATGTTACAAGAATTTGCTGTGGAAATATTCAACAAAACATTAATCGCAATTACCTAAATTCACGTTTTACTTACTAGCATTTAATAATTCTTACATTTATTCATAGAATAAACTTTTATATTGATCATCAAATAAAGGTGAGGGGGGGGCAGTGTGTAATGTAAACAAACGCTTTGTTTACATTTTAAACCCGTATAATATTTCGTAAAATATCAAGAACTTCCAGGATATTTGACACGTTTTTACATTTGAGCAATTTTAAAACAAGTTTAGAGCAGAACCGATGTGCAGAAGCGACAGTCATCCTCCCCCTCCCGACTCAACTGAATTGCATTTTATCATTATTTCATTGCAGACATGCGCACAGCAAGAATACAACGTGAGCGAATGCGAATATACAAGGGTATTCGTTCGACAGCGTGGGTTATGTTGATTATCGGGATACTGGTGGTTTCCTCTGGTTTTGCAATACAAGGCGAATACAGCAAGGTCCATTGGATCAAGCGCGACCCTAATTACATAGACACTCGTTGCTTGTATGAAATACCTGTACCAGAAACGTACGAACAATATTGGTGTGGCTTCTTGGTTTGTATATTTTAATAATTTTCATATTGGAAATACCTCATGGTATAACTTCCTGATAAGGTGCATCCCGAGAAATTAATGAATTTTCATACTAAAAGTTTTTTTCCGAACGAAGAACGCTTGCCACCGTGACTGGCCTAAAAAGCTTCCCTTTAATTTAAAGCACACACAATGATGCATATTTGAGAAGACAGAGGTCTGGATAGGTTTTTTGCCGTGGTCTGTCCCTCTTCTGCATATCTGGGATAGGTTTTTGGAGCGGGGATAAAAGACTCCTCTCAAATCAATCGCCTGCATATTTTGATACAATGCACGTTTTTATATCAAATGCATCGACGGTCTTGCTACAGCACGCCTTCAAAATAGGATAATCAAATTGCCTCAAACAAAAACAAAACTCTCTTTCTAATTATTACGTATGAACTATTTAATTTCTAGCTCAATTTGCTTGTTGAAAACCCCTTTCGTAAAGAACTTGAAATGCACGTGCAGTACAGGAACACTGTTTTCGCGCTGAAACCTGTTGAAAAATTATTTAATTTTTTTACTATTTGTAGGTCTCTTTTACCGCTTTTATTCTTCTTGCTAACCACAGTCAATGGCCCGTCATAGAAAAACAACTCCCGACACTTTTAAAGAAGGTATGCGCGGATATTGAAGCGCGAAATTCAGTTGATGAACATTAAAACGATGGGTCGAATATTTGTGCAGCTTTGCTCGCTTTTTGCTTGCTCAATTATCAATTTCAGGATCAGACCTGCAAAAAAGCTGCGGATATACGGGCACCATTATGTATAATGGAAGATAAATTGGATAATTCTATCAATTATCATGCCAGAGAAAACGCAGTTGTGTTGATGATCATAATTTTGATCGTGGTGTTCAAACCTTTTAAAATATCCCTGAATAAGGTTGAAGAGTTTTTGCAGCTGTGATAAGGATTACGGAATGCATAAAAAAGTGTACTCAGGATGAATGTTGATGAATGTTCAGGATGAAATTTCCTCTACCAAAAATATGTTTACCTAGTTTTGGCTTAATCTCAATATTGTTTCTAAAATGGACGCATTGCTGGTCGCGCATGCGCTGCCGACTTCATCACTTAACATTTCCTCGAGGAGAAGCTATTAAAATACAACAAATAAATGGTTGGATACTATTTATACCAGTCGTAATCCTCTCCTTTTCATCATATAGAAATCATCTTTCTGGGTAATGGTTGTTCTATCGATGTTCTCCGGGTTGGCGGTCATGAGCCAGGATGGAGAAACTTTGGGGAGAGTTCGCCAATATGATTTAAGTAGCAGTCGTTGCGAAGAATACGATCACGCTCAAGACGAAGCAAACAGATTTCATCTCCGCCAAATATTGCGATGGTTGTACTTAGTTGTTTTATCTGCAAATGCCCTCGTTGTGGTTTGTCTCATGCTGATCATTTCGTTCTTCGCTAACTGGATCCTGGATGTCATAGTGGTAAGACTTTTTGCTGTTGTTGTATTCAACAAACTACACACATGCATGTGTGATTATATATTTAAGTTCTTAATTACACATATGCATCATTGACCTCTACTTTTGCTCAGATTTACGTTGTCATCTACATTAAGGCCCGTTTACACTGTGCGATTTGTCGTATACGATTCTTACCCTGGCGTATGTGAACGTATAAACGCACATACAAACGTGACATTTCAAATTTCCCCCTAAGAGAAAAGGGAGAAGATTGTAGCCTAAGCCCTATTTTGCGTTCGTCAGAATGATAATTACATAAAACTCATCGCATAGTCTAAATGACCTTTACGTAGTTATTTGCATTGCAATTTGCAGAGTGTTTCTAATCTTGAGCATGAAAGTTCCGTGGGAGATCTACCACCCCCGGCTTATACACCTGAGCATTTTCCAAGTTTTGCCAACGATGTTCAACAAGATCGTATGCCACTGCTGGCCAATGAAGCACCATACCAGCGTGTACCACTGCATGACAATACGTCACAGTACTATCATGCACCAGTGATGCCTGATCAGCAGGATAACAACCATATGCTCGCGCATGGCAGTGAGCTGCGACAACAGCTCCACCAACATACGTCACCACAATCGGCCCCAGTAACACGCGAGTGTGCTGATCGTCTACCTCCGCGTAATAACTCCCAACATTCACCGTGTCCTCATTGCAATCATTCATGCCGCCCACAAGAGAGTCTCCCCACCACAATATCGTCGCAACGCGATACACAAGAAGATTGCCAACCACAACAACAACAACAACCACAACAACAACAAGAACAACAGCCAAAACAACAACAACAACAACAACAACAAGCATGCACAAAATAGTCGTGTAAAGTTTGATCATGCGGACATCCAACAACAATGACATTATTATTCTTTCTTGCACCTCTTGATTAAATATTATGTTATATATATATAAGAGGTGAAAGAAAGAATAACGTCAATTGCTGTTCTGCTATTACATATATACAAATATAATAATATATAAAAATTGTAGAAAAATAAATTTAAAAGGAAATTTTTTAAAAGCTAATATAATGGAACTATTGTATGGATTTCAGTTGAAAATTGTATGGAATATATCCATATATGGATATGAATATATCCATACATGGTATAGCATCCAAGCAGTATGGGTATAGCAAATTTCCATACAATTCGTCAGTTGCAATTATGCTTTCTTTATAACGATTTTCATTAAAAATTGACAACACTTTCTTTGTAATAAAAATTCTTAATAAAAGTTCACAACATTTAATGGGCTCGAAACATAATTTTTAATGTATTTGAATTTTGAATTTAATAAGTTCGCCAATGTAGATGACAAATGGCAGGTGAAGGATACAGGACCATGGTCCCAATTGACATCCTACACCTAAATCCTGTGATGGAAACATAATTTTCCATCCTGTGATGGAAACATAATTTTCAATCAATCAGCGTTCGCGAACAATAAATGTTATAATGCGTGTAATCTTAAAGAATCCCTTTGTAATAGAAGTACAGAGCCGCGCGATCACACGATCGCATATAAACCCCCCAAATGTGAAACTCACATCGAGTAAGTAATTTATCTCGTTTTAATCTATAGAATAAGACGCTTTTCCAAACGAACTGAATTACCATATCTATGCGCGCAGGACATGGAGAAGGTATATAAATACTTGAAGATCCAAGGAGTTCAAATACTATCGCCTGCATGTATTCAAAAAGCTGACAATCACACTCATTGAGTATGACATACAAGTTTTATTATTCATCAATGAGGAAGTTCGTTCCCAATCATTGAAAACATTCACGGTAAAACACTTAAAATCAAGCTCTTGTTCCCGTGAAAATATCTCAATGGAAATTATGAGAAGATTAAGATCGTCCACTAAATAGTTTGAGTGTGAGTGTTGAAGCTCTGTGTTGTAGCTATATTATATGCGTTGTAAAGTATTGTATTTCATTCTGTCTGAAGATGACTTTGTAATAAAGTCGAAAATTTACAGTCTCAATCTGTTTCTTGTTTGAATCATATTTTGATTCTCAAGATGTCTTGTTTATTCGAAATTTGCTTTTTCTTTACATTTTTAAATCGTCAGCTGGTCATGGTTTTTTTTGTGTTTAACAGAGTCACATTTGTCACGTCCGGTGTCGTGCTGTTTTAATTTCGGTGTAAATTATGGATTTGTCAGCTGTCATGTATCCTTCATTGGCTGACGGATTGTTGAAATAAGTCGTCACTGAGTTATCAGCGACTTTCTATGATTTATTTGCACGCGTATCCGGTTTTCAAGTACTGGCTATTATGCATGGCATTAATGTAGAACTATATAAACTAAGGACACTGGAATCATATTACATTTTATTATCACTTTAAAGCATAGCCATGAACGCGACAAAAATACAAAACGAACGAAAACGAATTGCCCAGGTTATTCGTACGACAGCGTGGGTAATGTTGATCATCGGGATACTGGTCGTTTCCTCTGGGTTTGTGATTAAAAGCGAATACAGTAAGGTTAACTGGATCAAGCACGACCAAAAATACATAGACAATCGCTGCTTGCCTAAAATACGAGATCTCTACGAGCAATATTGGTGTGGCTTTTTGGTTTGTATGACACTAGGGTAATTTTAGTAGATTGATTCGGGGATAAACGTAGTTTGCTGTTACATAACATGGTCTTTAAAAATATTACACTCGCGAGGTCAACTGAAAGTTAGTGATTTGTTTAGCACACGAAATGTGTCATGCTTTTTTTTTCACTAACAAAAATTATTTAGCTGAGAGCGAAAGACCACGCGAGGCTCTTAGCTCAGCCAGCAAGTTACTCTCGTGTGCGGATAGTTTTTCGTCAGGAGAGTATAGGAGATATTATAGGATAGTATAGGAGAGTATAGGATAGTTTTTCGTCATGAGAGTACAGTATTTATTCGCCTTCAGTGGCAGGTTTCTCACGTGTGAGGATGGTTTTGGGCTGATTTAACTGCCTCGCAAGGTCGTTAGCTCAGCTGATAACTCTCGTGTCAGGTCGCCCGTACGTAATGTGTGGGTGGGCCCACTCAGCTTAATTATGCATGGGGCGGCAGACTTGATGGAGTTGATTATGTACACACGGAAGTAGTGCCTGTGTCTCAATAACTAAAATAACCCAATATCCATGCTTATTAGGAAAATGTTTAGTTTTTTTAGGAAAATCACACCGTCTATTAAGATTTAAACTGCCAGGTGGGGAGCAGGCCAGCAGGGGAGGCAGCAGGCCAGCAGAGGAGGCAGCTGCCTCTCTTTGCTTATTCTTAAGAACGGAACTATGCGAGTAAACACCTCTGGCTGTTTAATAAGTTGCTCTTAGGTCGACGTCAAATGCGGACATTTTCAGGGTAAAACTCGAAGAACTCCGAAAAGAGAATTCCCCCCTTCTCCGTTGTGTAGGTACAGCAATGAGAGTTAAATCACTTAGTTATGCACCCTGGCAACTACCAAAATACTTCTGGCTACTTTATTCTTTTCAGGTTTCTTTTACCAGTCTTATTCTCCTTGCCAACTACAGTTCATGGTCTTCCATAGAAAAACAACTTCCGACACTTTTAAAGCAGGTATGCGAGACTGAAGCTCCGAATCCACTCTAAGCGGAACCGCACGATTAAAGGCACCGCAAGATTAAGGGGTACCGCACGATTAAGCGGTACCGAACGATTAATATGAACCGCACGGTTAAGGGGAACCGCGTGCTTTAGGGGAGCCGCAAGATTAAGGGGGAACCCCGCGATTAAGGGTTACCGCACGATTAAGCGGTACCGAACGATTAAAGGCGCTGCAAGATTAAGGGGGAACCCCGCGATTAAGGGGTACCGTACGATTAAAGGGAACCGCACGGTTAAGAAGAACCGCGTGCTTTAGGGGAGCCGCATGATTAAGGGCAACGCACGATTAAGGGAAACCACACGATAGGGTAAACCTAATAGTGTACCATTGTTTCTTGAATAAATTGATTGATTGATTGATTGATTGATTAATGATGATCGAACTCTTAAACAAGGTGATTGGCATCGCAGCAAATTACGTAATCCTTCTTTAATGCTAATAAAAAGAATTTTTCTCGGGTGTTATGATTCTCCTGTCGATGCTCTCCGGGTTGGCAGTCATGAGCCAGGATGGAGGAACTTTGGGAAGAGTTCGCCAATATGATTTGAACAGCGCCTATTGCGAAGAATACGATGAAGAGAACCACCAAGCGAACAAGTTTCATTTCCATCAGATATTACATTGGTTGTACTTGATTATTTTGTCGGCAAATGCCCTAGTGGTGGTGTGTATCGTGCTAATCATGGCGTTCCTCGCTAACTGGATCCTGGACACAATATTGGTAATGCATTTTTGCTGCGTTGACATCACGTCAAGTTTTAGAAGCACAGAGGGAACTGTAGCAAAGATAGAGCCCCTTTTAGGAGAGGAGAGGGACGCCCTTACAGCATCCGAATTCAGCTTTTCCCAGTCAAACTGCTAGAACACTTGAACAATACGTACAAACAGAACCATTTTTGTTGGGTGCGATGATTCCTAAATGTTCTTGAATAAAGTTCTTCCGGATGCATGGAAACGTGCGGCAAACATCTGCTTTTATTGTCCCTAAGTTATTGGTTGGAGCCTGTATTCTTGTATGAACACTATCTATTTGCCAATAAACCACACGCATTATCAGTCGCAACTTTAAGCCAACCCCCCAAAACATCAATATTTCCGTACACTGGGCGTATAATACTGACTGATTTTTTTGGTCAGATTTCTTTCGATTATTTTTCTTTGGAGAAACTCCTGGAGAAGCTTCGTGTAGTTGATCCACTAATACGTCCTTTTCATTTGATCACATTTTTTAACCATTCAAGTTTTGTATTCATTGCGATTTTAGAGTGCTTTAAATCCTGAGCAAAAAAACTCTGAAGACGATCAACCACCACCTGAGTACCTACTTGAACATGTTGCAAGTTGTAGCGACGACGTAGGACAAGATGATATACCCCTACAAGCCAATGAACTTGCATCCCTTGTAACAACATAGTCACAACGCGATAGTGAAGAGGAATACAAACAACGACCATAAAAACAACGATGACAACAACAAACAACAAGATGTATAAAATAGGGAAAGTTATCTCATATGAAATGAATCTTGATTTCTCATCGATGCCGATTTTATGGGAATTGACATTTCCATAATTTCTGGCACTAGTTTGACTGTCTTCCAAATTAAATTCAGCAAAAATATTTGTATTCGATTGCAAGATATTTGTATTCGATATATAATTGAATCGAAAATTCGTTTATTACACAAAAGAACTTTGTCTAGTAGCAGAGTGCATGAATCGTGTGCCTTTTCACTCGATTGTCACAGCGCCACCAAATTAGGCTTAAGATTAGTTTACTGGGTTTATATTCGACCATTTTGAAACATCTGTGGGAAAAGTTTTAAAGGTCAATATGGAATGAATGAAGCCGAAAGCTTCTGTGAGAAATAAATTTAGCTCAGGAGAAGCCTCAATTTCCATGATTTAATAATATCTCTGTTTAATGTCTAGCTGTATTCTAGTCATCTTTTCCCTCCATTTCTTAATCCACGATTGAATATGAAGTTTTTCTTTTCGCCGAGCTTCTTTTACGGAGGGAAGATCCTCTTTGTGCGAAAACAGAAGATCATAATTATGAGCACCATGCTCAACGTTGATGGCGACCATCGAACTGGAAATGTTGTGAAGAACCCCACCGCCAGCCCAAGGGTCCATGTCCCCATTGATGAACAGGATGTTAGAGTGCTCCGAGATATCTCGATCACCGTATTGAAGTTTCACTCGACTAAGGTCTGGTTCAGCTCCCCAAGTTCTCTTGCAAATTTTCGACATGGCATTCACATCCCAAGGTGACGTGTAGTACATATCGTGGACCCCATTTGAACACAGGGGATACAACATTTCAGTGCATGATTGATAATTCCATGATCCCAAAAACTCCTTGCCGTCCCTTGGTAAATGGAGACATTTCAAAGACTTGGAATGGTTGAAATACACCGATAAACTGTCTGCCAAGTCGCTAATCAATTCCTTATCGTCCTCTTTGACATTTTTTATGTTTTTACAAACGGCTTTTATCGGCCAAGCTGGTTTTGAGGCTGTGGCGTGAGGATAGTTTTCCATAGAGAGGAACAGATACGACAATGCAAGTTTATCGCGGAGTTTGTAAACATCTGCGTACTTCTTCAAAAGAGCGCATAGAGAAAATGTCTTTGTTATAAATTTCCTCCCTTTCTTGTTTAAACTAAATTTTTCCAGAATCCTCCAGGACCTTCGAATGACCTCGACGCAATCAACACCACCATCTCTTTGAAACGCTTTGGTGACAAGCGAGTATTGTGTTCCACAGTCTGTCGAGTACTGAAAAAGCGGAGCAGATGACGCGATAGAACCCGCAACAACACTTGGGTACTTCATTCTCAACCAAGCTGCGTACTGACCTCCTAATGAGCCACCGAACGCTACAACTGGACTGTTCTTCGCCCCGGTGATGTTCGACTTCAAAAATTTGATGAGTTTGGAAAAGTCTGCAAGCACTTGCGAGGAAGTTAGGTAGCCAGTGTACTTAGGACCTGAAAGCGATTTCATCCCAAACGGCAAGCTTCTTCCTTGGTAACGTTGCTCTGCGAATACTATCATAGCATCAAATTCAGGTGCCATTTCCCAAAGCAAACCCATCGTTCTAGCAAAATATTCAACGTCTGCCTCGTTTCCACAGTAGAAGAAAATAACGCTTCCTGGTTTCCAGTGAGATGCATTGACAAGATATCGTTGCTTAAACTTCCCGTTGTTTACAAAAGTAAAATGATCAATGTTTTGGTCGAACCATTTCGTCTCGTAAACACACGACGGGCAATTCGAAAATCCGCGCTTAAATCCGGTACCTGTCACAGAATCTGACCAAAAAGAAGAAGGAAACCTCGGCCAGTAGAAACCATAAACGTTGTCTATTAAGAATCCAGTCAGCAAAACGACACAAAAATATCGTTTCATTCCTACGTTAAGTCCAGTTACAGTATTTATGGAATAAGGTTGTGAAAACATTCGATCAACAGGTACCAGCCTTAATCGTGAACGCTTACGTTACGAAGCGATTTAGGTGATGCAAATACTTTGCACAGCGGATTGTCTAGCTATAGAACTCGGTGAACTATTCCAGCTTAGACTGGAAAGATAACTATAGCGGTTACTTGACCGCCATTTTTTAGGCTAATTTGAAACAGAATTGAAGACCAGTTCCATTTCATTTTTTGTTTACGTCTGCGCGACTGTCAACCGTGAAGACAAAAACAATAGAATAGGACTGGTACTGGTCTCTCAATTTGGCTCAAAGACGCCGGACGAGTTATCGCTCCAGTTTACATAGAGCTCACTGATGGAACCGAAATCGGTTCTAAAAACACGAGATTTGCCCTAGGGTTTTTTTACTAAAAACTTTTTATATGTATAAACAGCAACAATAGTATAGCCAACTTGACAAATAGGAGTCCAAAAATGTATTCGTGACCTGTGTTATATATTGATTTCCAATAACACTATTCGACCCTGGCTGTTATTTACTGCCAAACAGTGTCTTAATTTATGGCGAAACTACACTTTAGCTACATTATACGCTTAGGCCCTATATGTGAGTGGACCCAGCCATAAAACTACCCTAAACCATGGGCGCTCGCATTTTAGACTTAAACAAAATATTTAAGGTATTTCATTGCACGAAAATAAACACGGAGTATATGTATTAGCGCACGAGCTGACATGTCTCCTGCATGAGTGTGCATTTTTCTTTAAATCAATATGAGGTAATATTATGGAAATAAATGCAATAATCACAATAATATATTTGTAAGATTTAACAGAATATAGACGTCTTAACCAAACTGCAGACGACGATTGAACGTGCAGTTTTAGATCAATCCTACATGGAAGACAGGAGATCTTTGCATCCTTCCTCAAGCATACCGTGATAATTATTGATCTGTCAAGAAAACACCATATAAAGATAATCATTTTTTATCTTGATTTGGGGCACTTTCATATTAACTTAGCATTAGCTTAAAAGTAAGATACTACATAGATAAAGGAGAGGAATTGGGTATAAGTGTTAGGATTAAGGTTCTGTGCCACCAATCCCGTTCCCCGAGCCCGCGATTCCTCCGGCAAGAAAACAACAGTGAGGAAAACAAAGGCTCTGGGATAAAAGGAAACCGAAAATTTTGAAAGCCTTGGAAACCTGTATGGCAGGTCATGAAAAATATTGTAAGTAATTGAGAGGTTGTAGTTAACGCGTTTGCGTCGAGTGTCAAAATAATAGGAAGTTCATGAGGTTGACAACGAACTACCGACTAACCGACTGTGCGGTTTAATGGCTTTTGTAAACTCATTCGAGATGGTTTTATACGCTAAAGTTTTGCGCTGCGCAAGTTTAAACTTTTCAATCTAATTTGCTCGCATCGATGACCGTATGAAGTGATAAAGTAATCGCAACAACCCTGCCTAAAAATTAAGAAAGATTTTTCGTTTACCGATGAAATCAGCTGTTGATATGCATCTTGCATGGTATTCATTTCATTGTTGTGGGAATCTTCCAATTCATTTAACTAAATTGAACAAACATGTTAGCACATTAAATTTTAGCACTGTGCTCAAGGTGCAGTTAAAGTGTTAGTTTAAATGATGCCACCGACCAATCAAAGATGTTGTGGGTCGACGACGCAATCTAAACGCGCTGCACCGAAAAGTTGGCGTTCAGGACATGCAGGGAAGTATCATGCACTTGATTAATTAATGTCGATGTTTTGCAGAATTTGTTGAATATATATCTTTGTAGTATTTAATACATGCGATAATAAATAAAATCCTACCTTTTTTACAACTTCTTGAAATTCCGTCATAATTTCGGAAATTTCTGCTTGACAATGTTTTTGACTCTGTTCTAAGGATTCGACATTTCTATAAATGTAAGAATGCTGTGTAGGGTGTATATATGAACATTACTGTAGTGTTAAGAGCTATATAATAAGCCAGTTCAGTGGGCCTATGAAACCCTCGATAATTTGCTAGATTTCAAAAGGAGAAAAATTGATCGAAAAAAGTGAGTACGCAATTGGAATAAGAAAGGGTAAAAAATGTCATAAAATACAAGCTACGTACTTTTTCCTGTGTTCACGATCATCGTTCTTTGCTGAGAATCGTTTCTCATTTGTGCGCTCTAACCGACTCAACTTCTCGTTCTGAGAGGTGAGTTGACGTTTAGCGTTCTAAAATGAAGAGATGTCGTTTTGACGGAACTCAACAAAAGGAAAAAGATTTGGTGCATAATTTTTAGCTGCATGCATATAAAGCACAACTTTTTCAGTCTATAACTAAGGAAAAAAATTAAGTTGAAACAAATGCCTACAGACACTTCATTACAAAAGCAATAGCGTAGCCAGCCTGACGATTTTTTCCGCTATGCTAATATTTTGGTGTTCATTGACATGCACAGGTTTTAGTGTTCATTGAATTCAAAACAATGAATTCCTTAAAGGATGAAGAATTATAATAACTGGAAATTTATTCATAGCGGGACAAAATCGTCAGGCTGGCTACGCCAATTCACAGAAGTATAACATTGCGAACCAAGCTTCGTCCATTTCACAATATCTTTAGTTTGTAGGCTACCTTATAATGATAATCCTTTTGGACAAGTGCCTCGTTATCAGCGGTGACGACATCATGTAGGTCCTGCAACTTGTGTTGAAGATTCCTATAACATATGGATATTAAGATGGAAGATGGCTGCCACAAAACCGTTTTCTGCGAACTTTTAATGCTTTAATCTTGACAAATAAATGGCGTTCTGATACAAACTTGCTATTACGGATTATGCATAACTGATTCCCACTTGAGAATTTTTTGTACAACCATGCATATATTATGTATATTATAACACATTTGCCTATATTAACTATAATTTTCCGAAACGAACAGCTGATATAGGATACATATATGCGCATGCGCTTACCGCAGTTTTTCGGTTTCATCCTCCAAGGACGAGATCAGTCTGAAAGCTTGGGCGCAGTTCTGAGGGAGGAAAAGACATTATTACGCTAACGCTTACAGCTATAATATTCATGGAGATGACAGCAAGAGCTGAGAGGTTCAATGCTGTACCGAAAAGTACACAATCAATTTTAAAACAAAGATGCCTCAAAACTTCCTTCCCATTCAAGGGAGTATAAATCCATTTTTTTACTTGTTTTTCAACTAGATAGCTTTAAAAAAAAAAAATTAAAAATAATTTGCTCAGGCTGATAGCTTTGAATCATAATTAACAGGCAATCAAATTCCATATGCATACATCTTCAAGTAACGCGATGGATTCCTCTTGGTTCTCCTTTTCCAATAACTTTTTATTTTTCTCTGCAATTGAATCCTTACAAGCATTTATTGCAGCATTCATTCGACTTAGTTCCTAAAATATGAAAACATACATGAAGTACATCATAATTTTCTGTCGTTCATACGCTATTTGAGATCGATGAATTGCTATTCTTTTATCTCAGACTATATATATTTTTTATATGCGTGAACAAGTGCAATATATATTAGATTGGAATATTATCCAGGCTTACCCCACGAAACTTTTCAGGAGAGGTGACAATCTGTGCTTTGAGTTTTTCACATTCTTCACGGTTTTTTGCGATGATTACCTTCAGTTCAGCCTGAATTAAAGAAAATCAATTACCATCGTAAACATGCGTGGTATTTACATTGTAGACGAAACTAACCAATAGACCTTTCTTATAATGACGTCAAACGCGGAAAGTCTGATGTTACACAAAATTGGATTGGCTCTACAAAACTATCGAGCCAATCAAACTTCGTGTAAAATAAGACTTTCCGCGTTTGACGTCATTATGAAAAAGGCTATTAGTGTATTACCAATAATTATAGTCCAAGCTTAATCTTATAATTAATTTCTGTATTCTGATTGGTCTAGATTCATAGCCACTGAAGTTATAGTCATTGCATGATAATTATACCTATATACGAAATTATCCCTTTTTAATTCGAAAATGGCTGCTAGTTTGCGGTCGTAGGCTCGTAGCAAAGGAGGAATTTGACCAAATGGAAGAAAGTTTACATTCCACAAGAGGACAAGCTACATGCAAAATGTGGTTAAAAATATCCTGGACAAACTTACGGTGCTATATTTGGACGAAACTGACTAAGAATGGAAATTAATTAACTAATCCCATTCGTTGCGAAAGAAACCAGTGAATAAAAACAAAATTATTGAGGAAGAATGAGTCAGCAAATCGTTGCGGTGAATATTGTTTAAATTCTTACATAATCTTTAAAATCGCAGCTTGTGCAACACTAGGAAATCCCTTGGGTACACTTTCAGCTATTGACGTGCCGTCTACGTACTTCCAGGTGGGAACATTTGGGATCCTAAGATCGTTTACCATCAGGAAAAGGAACCAGGGACCCAATTTTGTCCGTTGGGGGACTCCGGAAGGGACTGGCCCCCAATCAGAATAAAAGGCCGTAGAGAGCTTCCTCTGCTGATATCCATTTGTGAGAAATCAGTAATCCAATTTGTAACACAAGGAGGGATATCCAAACTGTTTAGCTTTTCAACCAAAACATGGTCTATCAGGTCAAACGCCTTCTTATAATATAAAAGAAAGAGTCTGACAGCAGCCGATGTTCCGTCTATCTCTTTGGACAGGTGCATGGTGCAAGATTGAGATATGTTCTTGTTCTGAGGATGATTTAGGTACATCGCGCCAAGTTGGTCGGGATCAATCGTTTTAAGTACAGCCGGCCCAATATAGGAATGAATCACAACTTCTTCGGCGATTTTAGATATGGCCGGGATTAAGGATATTGCCCACAATTGATTTGAGATATCATCAATTGGCATCGTTTTGGGGACAGGTATTACATCAGAATTTTTCCAAGAACCTGGAAACGCTGTTCGACGAAACTACTATTTAGGACCGAGGTGATTGGATTGGAAAAGACGTCAGAATATTCTTTCAGGAACCAATTTGGGATATGCCATCAGACCCAGTGGCCTTGTTGGAGAGAGGCATCTCAGTTCGTTCAGGACGTAAGATTCACTTATGGGCTCTAATGGCCCTTCATCAGTTATTGGAACGCGTCCTAGACTTCTAAACGATTGCTGGCTCTAAAAAGGTTTCATAATTCTGTTATAGCAACAACTTTCGGTGATAAATCCTGGATGTTAAGTTGGGGAACAGAACGCAGGTGTTTCATTCTATTGCATGGAGGTCAGTATAGCGTTGCAACCGAACGATTTCGACCCGCGAAGCTGACATTTGAGCATTGACTTGGAAAACGATAAATTTCTAGAGAAACGAATAATGATAATAGCAGAACTAAATGTCCGGCTGGCTACGCCACTGTGGATGCTGCTGCTGACCACGCCCTTCCTTGCGTATCTACACATTCTATATTGTAACACGTTTGGAATGAATCGTACGCGTTTGTTTCATAAACATAAATTGACATTTTGTAACAAAATTTGTTGTCACAAAAATTTGGTTAAAAAATACTTTAACAGTTAAGAAGTTGTATTTTAATATTACTTGTTATAAACAGCACCTGCATGGATATTTATATCCAAAAACATTAATCGCCTTGACCTTGCATGGCCTCGATGAATTAGGCCCACCCCCTTTTTGGCCCAGTTGCAAAAACTTATAAAGCAAAGCAATATACACCAATTTTTAGACAGGTAGCTACAAATATGCTCTCCCAATTTTAACATCGTTTAACAACATATATTTTCCAATCCAGAAATCCAATTAATATCGTTCATTTATTTAAAGTTATTGCTTTCTTAACGAGAAAAACACTTGATATTTTCCAAGTGCAAGACAATAAACGTTGACAGAAAAATTAGAATATATATTGGATAAATATCGGTAGTAATAACAATGGCAATGCATGAGTGACCTTTTCAGCTGCAGATAGGGTATATTAATCAGAAAACGCAAGAGCCGCCAAAAATGAGGTTTGTAAAGACTTATAAACACGCACGAACTTTGTTTCAAACTTTAAAACATTTTCTAGATTATATTATAACATAAAATTTATAGTACGCGCGTGCTGATTGGTCAAGAAAGAAGCGTGTTTCTATAACTGTATACAAAACATGGGATTTTTCCCGCCGAACTTGACAAACGAAGCGACGCAATGAGCATTGAATTCATAATGGAATCGAATTATAATATTTGTACAAAATCTTTTTATTCAGTTATATTTTCCTGAAACACTTGGGAGAGTTTAGGACGACTGATTATTTTTCGTTCTCCCAAACTCTCACGCGTGTTTCTATAACTGTATAGAAACAAGGAAAATGTTTTCTATTTCTTAAAAGATTTACATCTATAACTAAAACGTTTTAACTACAATAAAAAAGCTACACAGAATATAATTTACTCTAGCTGAAAACACTCTAAATAGATAATTAAATATTTTATATTATTCTATATAATGAACTCGTTTCAAAACTAGGTCTGTTAATTACGCGTATTGTATGCGGAAAGTGAGGAAAAGAGAGCATTTTTTATTAATGAAATTCAATTTTGAAATTCCATATTAATTTGCTGTTACAAAATTCATTCAATTGCTTGTTGCACGTCTTGAAAGCTACTAATCTTTTCACATGGGGCTTAACTTGAATTCCACCTTTCACGGTGACATTGCAAATACAAGTGTTGCAAACACTTTTTATACGGATGCTGAAAGAACTGCAATACTGTTGGTTCATAATACCCTCGGCTTTATCGGCCTTGTGGAGAACATCGGCGTAATCCTGGTCATACTGTGCAACAGACTCATGTTGGATTGCCCATCCAATTGGTTTGTCTTAAGCTTGGCTGTCGCAGATGCTGTTACATGCCTCGCTGCAATAGTTATTGTGAACGTAAATAATCACATGGACACAATCAATACCTTCCTAGACAGAGGCATGATATTCCGTTTCGTGCTGTTGTCTAGCGCTGGTAACCTTTTAATGCTGACCTTCAACAGGTTTCTCTCCGTTTACAAAGCCCTCAAATATCCAGTGTATATGACGGTCAGCAGGGCGAAACGTTTAGTCCTGGTTCCATGGATCATCGCGGCTATTATAACTGCCTTTCACGCTTATTCGAGTCGTGCAAAAATGCCAATCACGATCTATATAGTCAGCACATACTTTCTTTTGGTCATAACTGCCATAACCGCCATGAACGTATACATGTTAAAGACAGCCAGGGACAAACGAAAGGTTATTAAACGTCTACACATGGTAGTTTTTCCACCACGAAAGTCATCTGTGAACGAAAATCGTCTAGTCCTTCGTTTATTGATTGTATCGTCAACATTTTTCGCTTCATATATTCCGCTCATTGTTATCACGAATATGCATCACACCGAAAGGGACGCGTATCTAACGTCCATACCCTATCTGCGAAAGTTTGTTTGGTGTCTCGCGGTCACGTTGCTAAATGCCATTATCGACCCACTGATCTATTCGATAAACCACCCTATATTTAGAAGTTATTTCCATAAAATCCGAAACCAATTCTCAAACCGAAGTAAGGTTACGCGCAGCGTTGTGTTTCTCGGAGAAGTAGCAATAATCTGCCGCGATGGTCCAGCAGTTTGAGAAATGAATCATAACGGGCAATTACCGACTGAGACGATACACGTGGGTATCTTTGTAATCTGTCGCCATGAACTGATGGTGTTTATTTTAGTTTTTGGAGGTCTTTATGACTTTGACAATGTAATACGAATGGACTTACAATTAAATTACAAGAAATGTTATTTAGAAAAAAAATAGAGTTCGCAAAAATAGAGATTTAGACTGTTTTGAAGTAATATTTTTTATGAATAGATATTCCGTTGTTTACCTTGTTGTTTGGTTCATTTTTCTTTGACATGTGGTATATATTAAAGAGCGTATTTACTGCGACCTCAGTACACACTATCTGTGTGTTTCCTTCCATCGCGGTAAAATTAGCAACAGCGATAAAAATGGCGGGAAAATTTTTGAAACTCGTTCTAAACGTGACATACGGAAAATACGCGCACCTGGTCCCGGATGTAGTGGCGTATGAGTTCTACGAGTGTTTTAGTTCTCAGTAAAATACCCCCTCTGTCCATATAATAAGAAAAATTATAAACGTGCATAAGTGATGATATATGCAGGACGGGGATAGATATAGCCACGATAGAACTATTTTTTAAAAATAATATAGCAATATTGCAATGCCCTTTTATCTGATTGGAATGGACTTTTGCATAATACTAATAGACAAACTTACGATGTAGGTAGCGATGAAGAAATAAATCACAACAGCTAAAAAGAGTGTAATTGCCAAGTTTGGCTGCAAAATGTTAAGTAGTGCGGAACTTTGTATACTTTTTCACTACCACTACTATATATATATATATATATATATATATATATATATATATATATATATATATAATATATATATATATATATATATATATTATTATATATATATATATATTTTTTTGTTTCCCAATTAATTTTTTTGCCAACTTTTTCCAATTACTTTCCTTGACAAGTCCTTGATTTCCAAACAGAACAATCTATATTATTTGAACAAAATGAAGAGCTCACCTCTTTGGAAGTCTGTTCAGCTATCTCGGTTTTGAGTTGTTGGGTTTGTTTAAAATCAGATGCCTATGTATACAAGACATTAAGACGAAAATTACGAAGTTCCCATAATGAAAAATTGTGATAAAAAAACATTCATTTTACACCAAGGTATGTTTTCTAAAAGCGCGTAGAAAGGTGTGCACAAATTGAGCAATTGAGCAAACCTTGGGGTGCACACAAACACACCTTAGTGTGTAATTCTGCACACCTGTTTTTTGTATGCTGAGAGTTATAAAATATATAGCTATAGTTATGGCACATTCTCTATAATCTAGGAGTTTCACAGAACATAACGCAATAATCGTGCAAGAATGATAAATTATGACAGTTTCAGCATGTGTGAACCTGAACTTTTTTTATTTAACTAAATACTGATATTAGGAAAGTAATATTCAAATCGACCACTAACCTGTTGTCTGTTTAACTCGTTCACGGCTCTCTCTAAATTGTCAGCTACTGCAAGGTTCTGTAAAAATTTAAAACGCAAGTTATCCATTCTATACTATATATGCAGTAGCTCCAAATAAAATACCCAGATAAAACCTTGCACCGTGGCAAGAGCATTGCGCCGGCATCGCAAAAGCGTAGGTTAGATTCCTGCCGGTCGACCGATAGTTGACTCATTTTTTTCATCAACTGTTCCTGGCTTGAATTTGAAGTGTGCATAATTCCACTCGAAGTTAAGACCCTTTCAACCTCTAGAATTTGCCTACATCGAGTGAAGTGCTAAAAATCATAATTGCTTCACACGAAGCGGTTATATTAATAAATTGATTTTATTAAAGATTGTTTTGCACTATATAGCAACATTCTATATAACGTTCTAAAGAAAATCACATATAAAATTCTACCAGATGATGAAATACTCGCGTATTCGACGAAAACAAGTTTGCAAATATTATTTATACTGTCGAAAGGGCGGTTATGGAAGAAGGTGAACCTAAAGTACCTGTTGTATCTTTTCTTCCTCTTCGCATCTTGCTGCCCTGTGAATATTTAAATGACATTTAAATTAGCTAAATTATAATATGAATTCATTCGAATATTCAAAGAAACTAAATTGCTATTGAGAATAACCATCACAAATTCATTGTATATCCTATAATATACGTAAATCTAAATATTATATGATATACGAGATTACCATTTTCCGGTATATTCGACCTTCACTATTTTTTATTACCAAGATCGAGTATATGATATTCCGGAATATTCGATCTTCACTATTACTATGGTCGAGTTTACCATACTCCGATAAATTCGACCTTCACTTTACTTATTCACCAAGGTCGAGTATAGCATATTCCGATATATTCGACTTTCACTATTGTTTTTGTTACTATGGTCGAGTACACTATATTCCGGTATATTCGACCTTCACTACTTTTTATTACCAAGATCGAATATATGATATTCCGGAATATTCAACTACGGCCTCCACAATTCGACTAAGCAGCTTTCAGTCAACAAACGTAATATTTACGAGAAGAGCAAGTTTCTTCATTGCTTACAGTACCTGATTTTTGCAATTTTCTCCTTGAGTTCTTGGTTTCTTCTCAAGAGTTCAGATCTTTGGTTATGCAGTATCTCCTAGTATAAATAACCAAGACGTATTAAGAATATTTAACATGAAGTATTAAGAATTTAGGCACTCTGATTGCTTTAGCCTGAAAATGTAAACAACAGTTGTCTATTGGTTTGAGGCATACCAAAAGATTTCACATTCATGCAATACCTTTTCTTCCACCACGGTGTCAAAATAGTTTGCTTGGCTGTCTTTAAATTTCTCGAAGTTTATTATAGCACTAAAGTATAGATCACGTATAGTGAATACAAAAGTACAGATCACATTGATGTTTTGTAAAGTTTTCTCGATTTCGTTGAATTTCATAATACAAAACAAGGTAACACCACAGAAATTAGTGTTTATATGAAGTTTCAACCTGAAAATCTAATCACTAGTTTACAATTGTGCATTTCCGTATTGCGAGGCATTTTCTATGTTTAGGTAGCTCTTGAAATATTTATTGAAATTGATTGGGAATGCTTAAAAATCTCAACGTGGAAAGGCGTAGTAACTTTTATTTTTTGACCAAAACTTTGAGCTCAATTATTGGCATGCAAAAATATATTTCTTTGAGGATTTGTTGACGTAACAATTTGAAATCAGATTTCAAAAGCCATCGCAACGCTCGGAAAGCATTACCCTGCAACCACCAACTCCTGCGTCGTTCATACACCGAGTGGAGCGCCATTAAATCTTATTTGATTTAGGAAAAGAATAACAGCACACATCTTGAATTACCTGATACATCGCATTATGCGTTTTGGCTCTAGATAAATAAAAATAAAGTTGAATAAAAAGTACATTGAACGCTGTGTGAATTAAAACCCATACGTGTTTAACAAAAACAACCTTTATTTAAAATAAAGGTTCAATTCAGCTTATATATAGAGATCTGTGGCCAAGGAAAGCTGAATGTAACCTTTATAACCTATGTTTTCCAAAAAAGTGCCTGCAACCTAACTCTAAACTAATATTAATCATGCATGGACAACATTAGTAAAGTTTAATTGAAAACTCACTGGGATTCGTGAGATCATTTATGGAAAAATCTTTTTCCAAAGCGGCATGCATAAATCGTTGCCTAAACGAAGGTAATCAAAAAGTGTTATGACATTCAATTTATATGAGATACATTTACTGCCAGGAGGGATTTGGCATTTTCAAACAATCTATCGGAATAAACTTTCGACATACGAAAATCTATCCAGAGTGGTTAAAATCTATTTTATACACGTAAAATGCCCTTTGCATGCTGTCGAAAGCCTGTACAAAGATCTAACTTAATTTCTTCGACTTTTGCTCTCGTTAATTTATCCTCGACACTCGACTATTGACTCTCGACCCTCGACTTTTATATTCAAAACTAGTAGATGATAGTCTCTAAATGATTAACGTCATCGATTTCCGGCTCTCACGTTCTCAAACAAAATGATAGTAAATAAGAGAATACACAAATCCGGTTCGCAAAATGATATAAATTCAACAAGAAACGGCTAACTAAGTCATATTTTTGAACAAACAGGCTTGAAAAAAGATCCCTATAACGAGTATTTTGGTTACTCTTTTGGGGAAAGCAAATCCTACGGGGTAATCTTAGGAGTAACTTAAGACAACATCATAATATATATGCAACAAACCATATCGTAATACTTCATGTAGACATGTTATAAATGATAATAAAATTTAATAAAGTTCTATTATTATTTTCTTGTGATGCACAAATACGTCTGTATCGGGCATCGTTTGCTGGTCTCTTGCCCCGAAAATCAAAGTGATCAAATGTCTCATGATTCATAAAATGTCTCATGTAATAATCTAGGAGTAGATAGACTGTCTAGGTTCTCAACGTTGTAATATTTTGTACTTTGTGAAAGGACTATTCAATATTTAGAGGCCTAGGTTCTCAACGTTGTAATATTTTGTACTTTGGTGAAAGCACTGTTCAATCTTTAGAGGCCGTGATCCTTATCATTGGTACGCTCCAAGTAATTCTTCCATCGTCTCCTGTGACGAGGAATTTCTCGTAAAACACAGGATTTAGATCCTCTAATTTCACATTTATCGAAGTCTCATACCATCGCTTGAACTCCTCAAATGATTGGAATCGAAAAGGCACGACGATGTTGTCGACTACAGCATCGTTGAATAAGCCAACCGCTTTAAACAAATCACGATATTCTTCTTGGGTTAAAGGATGCAAATGGTTAACATTCTTCGGCCTTAAATCATCGCTCATGGCCTCCTTCGGCTTCACGCCACACCAGATAGCAAGCTTTCCGCCAGACTTTAAACATCGGTGCGCCTTTTCTATGTAAATATGCTTCTGTCTCTGCTCATTGGGCACCCAATGGAATCCAAACACGCTGACATGAGCATCGTAATACGGTTGATCATCGTGTGGAAACCCAGCAACACTATCACTGACATGAAAATGTAGATTAGTGCTCGCTTTATATTTATCAACTGCGATTTCGATTCTCGCAGCATCAGGATCAACTCCTACAACCTCGCCGTCAGGACCAACGATATCAGCCATGTATTTAGCAAGGGCCCCTGTTCCACAGCCCATATCAAGGACTTTGTCTCCCTTGGAAAGGTTCAATTCGCGAATAAATTCCTGACCGGCTTGAAGTTGTGGTTTGGACAGCTCATCATACGCCTTAGCGGCTGCTTCCATATTTCTTCGCTGTGAATGTGTTTGCTTTGTATACAGCAACAATCCTAGACCCAGTCTCTACCAGTTGTGACATACTCGTTCACTTGTCAGTTGTGGCACGAGTCCAGCTAAATAATATTTCAAGTACCGATACTTCCTTTCGCGTATCGTGTAGGCTTCGAATGTCATGAATACAAGTAAATTCATTTCTCCGTAGAAAAATATCACCTTCAAAGATTACGTTAACCTTGCTACTTGAGAGCTTGGTTCTCGCTTGTGAAAATCTTGTATTTATGATTCTAAAGTTTAGCTTGTAGCAATGCAGCTGTGATTGGCCTCAAACCAAATGTACTTCCTTGTTCTATCACGTGTGTTCTGATTTGCTAGGCTATCAGTGAACGCCTACTATATTAGTAAGTAACTGACAACTGTACTTTAAACAAATGACTTCATGGTAACAAAACCTGTAAATCTAATAGCTATACGAAAATTTATCTGGAGTGGTGAAATACCATTCTATATGTAAAACACTTTCATGTAGCGAAATGCAAGATAAAATATCTAATATTGCTCCTGTCACTTTACTTATTATACACAACACTCGACTTTTAACACTCGAACCTCGACTTTTATAGTCTCATTTCTTGGATAAGCTTTAAAGATCAATGACGTCATCGATTTCCGGCACTAGTGTTTAAGTTTTCAAGCAAAATGATACTTAAAATCGGAAACGAAACCTTCGCCTTCAACAAACGATGTTGTCTTCAGCTACTTATAAGCTTACCCCGTTAAATTTTCTTTCCCAGAAAAAGGAACCAAAATACTCATTAGGGACCTATTTTCAAGGCTGTATGTTTAAAAATACGACTTAGTTGGCCGTTTCCCTATTCTCGTTTAATTTGTATCATATTGCGAACCATATGTTTGTATTCTTTTATTAATAATTACCACATTTATACCAGGAGGGCTAGCTAGTCTGAAGCAAAAATCCTAGTCCCTAGACCCAGTCCGTACGAGTTGTGCATGACATGCATGCTGTTTAATTTATCAGTTGTGGCACGAGTTACTTACAAAAGAATGGTGAAATACAGGAAAGATGCTCCTTCTTGGGAAATATCCGGATTTTGAAACGCGCTGAGGAACTTGAAATGTGGCTGAAAAATACAGTACACGTACAAAATATTTGTCTAGAATCATATATGAGTAGAGTGCTTGATATACCATATAGAGCTATATAGTACAATAAACGCGACATTTAAATTCACCGGATGAGTGTGATTGTCATATGAAACAAATTTGTAGTGAATAAAATCATATGAAGTAAACCAAGTTTATTTTATTTTATCTTATATATGTATGGCTTACAGCAATCTTCAGATGGTAGAAAAGATGGTTTTTTAGGGGGGGGGGGGGGGGCTTTTTAGGTTTTGCTACCACCTGATGATTCCTATACGGATGAAACAGACTATGGTGGAGCCTCCTGAGTCTGTGGAGGATTTTTCGTAAGCAATAGTCACTACTTTTATGTCTGCTCTATGAGCCTCCATCTATATGGTATTGAGCACTCTCAGGTATTTCGTAAACCAAACGAAATTCACCTGACAGCTAAAAGGACAAACATAAGGGGTAGGTATTCTTTTTTGACCAAAACATTTCACTTAGTACCATCTGCTTGAAATGAGTACTAAAGTCACTGATTTAATAATACAGGGGACATTGCAGAAATGATGGGCTTTCATGCAGTTCTACAAAACAGGAAGGATTATCTTATGGTCATGTTTATTAATTGGTTTAAAATTGATTTCATGTAAACCCAAACCTAATAATAGGAATATATAGCTATCAGGACTTTTTCGGAGGTCTGCATGATGTATTATGTATGAGTTGACAGAAGTTCATATAACTTCATAGCTTCAGTATACATAATCCAGCAAGTATCCTAACTATGTCCAATATCTCAGCAGTTATCAGCGTGCAGTGACTGGAGTATAGGCACATCTTCCAATGTCATTTAACACAAAGAAGAGACATTGGCAGATAGTTATGTTGACAGCCTAATTAAAGTACACTCCTCTATAAGACAAGTAAATTGTCAGGGCAAAGAACATAGCAAATTATCCAAATAGATACATTTAAAAGATTCAGCCCATTGTATATATACTTCAGTGATCAATGAAACAACATTGAAATATATAATACAATTCAACTTATACATTTTATTTCTGGAAATAAAATTCACTCAATATGCTGTACCTGAACCATTTGCTCAGTTGATATTTGCATTGATTCTGTAACAAGATCCAAGAATAACTTCCTAACAAATTGTGGCTACATAAAAGGAAAACAGATACAGTCTAAATATTTGCAACAAAAGCTTGTCAACTACCTGTAATATACCATAAACTACCTACAGTGGCATGCTGCATATTTCTATGTATATGCCCTGCTCATAACAAAGGTTATGCAATTTAAATTGCCAATACATGCCTGGTTCCTACTTTTTTTAAACATAAACTCTAGCCCAATTTCATTTAGAAATATCGGTAGCTCACATACTAAAATGGCATATAATATGAAAACTTTCAGTCTGTAATGCAGGCCTTTATCAGTGGCTGGAAGATTAGTGAAGAATATATTATACAAGGTGTGCCTATGAACTGATAATTTATATACACACTGTTCAAAATACAGGAGTAACCTGTCATTGAAAACAATGGATATCTTGGTACAAGTACACAGGGTATTGATTTTTTATATGTCAAAACCAGAGGTACCAACCATATGGCTAATGTATTTGCAAATAATACTTGCAAATAACAGCAGACATGAGACATAACACATCACATAAAACGACATTTGACTTCAGCAATGCCGGGTTCAAAATCCACTTAAACTTACAGTAGGTTTCCTCAGGTCTTCCTCCGAAATACTGACGTTAAAAAGCTTTTGACAGCTCGCTATTGCTTCGTCGTAAAACTTTATAACAGGAAACGTTAATGGTGTATCTTTCTCCATAATTGTTGAATTTGGTCGAAGTCGAATTCAAGATTTCAAATATGGCGGGCTTTTTCACCGGCTCTTCCGTGTTTCCATGAAAACCAGACGATGGCGCTAAACTTCAATTTGATTAAGGACTGGGAACAGTACAGACGAAAAAAATCAAACTTTTCAATGTCTAAATGTGCCTCTTAAAATTTACTTTAATTTGGTTCCAAATTTATGTCGGAAGCTAGTTCTCGTTACTAAATATAATTACAAAATTTCAACTCGTTTCATAAAAAAACGAAGGAGAGTTGCATACAATCCAGGTGGTTTAAAATGGCGGGAAATGACTGGCACCACTTGGACTAGATTTGAAATAAAATCATTTCTCGGTTGAAATAACTTAATATCTAAATTATAGTGTTTAACATATAAGATTATTTAAAGTTAAGGGTTTCTTAACTTCTATAATATTTATAGTAACTGTGCAAGGCATTGAAAAACAGAAATCTGAAAGGCCACTGGCACTGTATGTGCAGGAATATATAAACAATAATAATTAAAAAGTGCGGCGTAGATTTCCATTCGGAACGGATTTCTAGCCGTTTCTGGGTGCTGATTGGCTAAAATTTAAGCGCGAGATGACCTGGGTGGAGATTAACGACTCGAATCGATTTACTAATAAACAATTATTGGATGAGGTTTTAGTGATATGCAGAGTTATCAAGGTCGAGGTAAGCGTTCAGTTGTTATCAGATTTCTGATCACGCTTACCTCGACCTTGATAACTCTGCATCTCACAAAAACCGAATTTAATAATCGTTTTATTATACATTAGAAGAATAGTAAACATAGTATTAACGAATGAAAACCTTATTGTCCTTATTTAATAGCAAATAGCAATATCCAAAAATACATCAATCATTAATACATAACTCAGTTATCTGCTAGCAGATAACTGAATTTTGCGTGATTGCGCGATTTATCTGTCAACTATTATCCAATCAAATTGCTTTTACTACAATAATGTATAATAATGACAGCTAATTGTACAAAACGCAGCTCGGGTAAAATATTTACAAACGTAATTACTTCGCTACAAAAACGTAATGTAGCACCCCCTGCACCCCAACCCATCCCCCCCCCGCACGCTATGCCCCAGACTTTAAAACACCATCATTTTTTTCGCAGTTATACTCCCCTAGAGTTCCAGTTCTGCATTCGCGGAAAGACAACCTTTGATTGAATTCACTGAATGTATATAATTCTCGCAATATGGTCTCACCACAATTCCGTACATCATTGTTATACACATGTATATAATGCTATAAAAATTTTAAAACACTTAACACGACACTGTAACTATGGAAGACACCTCGCGGCAAGACATTTTGCACTTTACCATCATTACCACGTGATTTGCATGGTTCTGTTCCAATTTCACCAAAGCAACGAAATCCGAATGTTTTCATTTCTGGAAAAGCTTTTTTGAATTCCAAGCTCCCCAAATCGCGCAAAAGATCGTCACGTATCGCAACACATGGCGTTAAAAAACAAGCAGTTGGGCGTCCCAGACATGGAGTATGTTTACTTCCCAATTCTTGAAGAAGTGGAATAATGCTTGACGTTTCAGGCAGAAAGTATTCTTCATCGCAAACAACGCTACTTGCCTCGACATTTCCACCAAACGCCAGACCTGCTATCATGCTTGATTTTGTCTCGCCTTTGCTGTAAGCGATTGAAAGCTTACTTGCCACGCCACCGCTGACAATAACATGTTCTCCAAGAATCTGCAAAATGTCATTTAAGGCGAAATAGTACATAAGTGGTTTCATAAAATAACATGGATAAAACGTGTGTTCTGATTGGTTGAAGCCAGTGTTTGGATCAGGCCATTCACACACGGAAATTTAGAATATTATTAAAAATATAAAACTTGGAACACTACCTTGTTCTTGTTATTTAATAAAACAATTAGTTAATGGTTTCCCGTGTTTAGATGGATGGCCTACTTCAAACACGCGGGAATGTTGCTTGAGTAAAAAACATTCCCGCGCGTGTTTGGACCAGGCCATCCTGACATGGAAACCATGAAATAATGATTCACTTCCAAAATAGCAAAAAAATAAATGTGCACACTGCCCCCCCCCCCCAGTTCCCAGCTAATCTCAATGATTAAAAAAGTGTATTTAGGATTCACTAAACAACCCAGCCAGGCCAAGGTTCATTAGGAACCATGCAATGTCTCATGTGCACTAATACAATAAATTCTACTGTAATACCTTGAACATGTTAGAACAAAACTCCGAATAGGTACCACATGAAGTCATATTTCCAATCAAAAATACAAACTTTATGTCTTTTCCCACAAGATGATCAAACTTTGTTTCCCATTTTTCTGGCTTGTCTTTACCTGACACATCCTTGTACGACATTTGCAACAGACTTACATTCACACCTGGCACTTTTGGGATTAAAAGGATAGAAACATGTTTGTTTACTTGCTTAAATTCAAATGGTGGCCCTTTATTGTTTTCCACAATAAGGCCACCTGTTTTTTGTGTACCAATAACAACACAGTTCTTGGGCAGGTTTGGGGTGATCTCTGGAAGCAAACGACTCAAGTGTCTTGTTATTATAATTGCAGCTGATGGAACTATTCTTGTGTCGTTTAAAATTTCATTAATATGCCTTCCAATGTCAGCAACTATATGCTAAGAAACAAGATGAGAAAAATATTGAATTCCGAATGATGTAACATTTGACAATGAGGTTAGGTCAAATGTAATATTTGACAGGGTATAGAACATAATAAAATTGATTATCATAAAATCATAAAATCCATCTAAATCCCTGTGACTGCATGTAAACCACATTCCCACTGTCTGTGTATGTCAGGCTATGAAATTAAATATTTTAAAAAGAGTAGAGAATTTCTTCTCACTAATTCTGTCTACTATTCTACCTTAGGAGGAATTTCATTTAGAGCAATCAGCAAATTTGTTTACATTTTGTGTAACCTAATCAGAATGCACAAATATGGAATTACCTTCAGTGAAAAGGTACATTATTTACCATTTTACATGAAGTTCAGGAATTCTGATTGGCTTAGCTTGAAACATGTAAACAAATTTGCCGATTATTTTAAAATAAAATTCCTCCTTGTTCCTATCATTTTCTAAAAGAATCACAATTTGCTTTCTGATATTTCAAATTCCTAATATTATAATTATAGTCACTGCTTCTCAAATTATGGTGAATGGTACTTCCACTTAACTTAACAGTAATACACTAATACTGTGGTAATTTATAACTATCTATTAAAAAATTCTCATACAAACATCCTTAGTGCCTTAGCCTAACCCAAGTGAAGTACACTAGGGTTATCTATACCCAATTATAACACTTAAACCTTAAATATTAGCATGGCTGTGTTTTGAAACATATCTGTCAGTTTATGATATATTCTTCATTATCTGAAATGTTCAAAATTTGTTTTTGGATTTCTTGGTAAATGTCTGCTCAAACATTTTTGATTAATTGAAGCCTTTAATATTGTTATTTATATAGCACTTTAGAAACTTAAGATAAATTGCAGAATTGTTTATACTTTTAATCTATAAGAACTTGCCAAGGCATGCACACTGAAAAAGAGGGTATGCTAGTTCCAGCTCTACATCTACTATTTACTCTGTGTGACACTGCAGAAATTGGTAAGATTTACCCATAATTCTTAAGATTTGAAATTTGCTGAGCAAAAAGATTTATAAATAATGCTAATAGATTTGAAGGTTGCTCACGGTAAAAACGAATCGTCAGAATTAGTAACCTTCTGTATACGTCAAGCCTTAAAATGGCCATTTCACAGCTGTCAGATGTGACTATGATGAGCTGTCAAAAGATTGCAGTAGTATTATAATTGAGAAGAAAAATTGAACTTTTTTAACTTATTCAATAGTATACTCTTTTATAGCGATACAGAAAGGTACAATTGTGATTAGATTTTTGCTTTGAAACTTCATAAACACCAATTTCTGCGGTGTTACTCTGTCCTAGTATGCTACTATGTAGTCTATGCTAAGATGGCCTTACCCATCAGTTACCCTGAATGCCCACAACTTTTATATATAAAATACATGAGCACGAGCGAGTTTCTACTGACACCTGAAAAAATACATATGACGATTACCTTTACAGATCGCGAATTGCTGCGATAAACTCGACAAACAAAATGATTTCTTCGAGACAATTCCCTTTGAGCCAATTCTTTCCATAAACGACAGACAAGCAGAACGTTTGTTAAACTTCGCCCTGGTAAATAACTTAAAATGTCCGCCAATGTTTCTGTAGCTAGCAGTTGAATGCCGCTAACAGTGTTCAAATTCATGCTATTACAATTTCAAGCTAAAGCATCGTAAAATGCACAGAAAGTATAATAAAGTTTCATTTTGATCAAATAATTATTGATCTCAAACAAAATTTTCAGTTTTGTTTTTCCTGGTACTTCCACCTGGCAAAAGCAATGTTTCTTTCTACTAGTTTTCTCTGAAACTGGCCTATATATGAAACTGAAGCCAAATCGAGTCACACGGTTTTTTGCTCAATGTGCCCATGCGTAAATTGCTTGGCAAGTGTCATGTTGAAATTTAATCGAAAAAAAATCGAATTTTTGACAAACAAATGCTGACTTAAACAGAACCTTTAGGGCGATGTCCCATTTGACTTAATTCTTTTTAAAAAAAGATGGATGAAGTTAATCTTCTGAGCTAAGAACTAGTTTATGAAATTATTTGATACTGGCAAAAACAGTAAAAAATATAGGCATCGATGAGGAGTGCAGGGCTTGCCGTATGGAAAGCTGCGCATTAGTTTAGCACTGGCACTGGTTTAGAAAACATGTAAAACATGCTTTAGATACAAGTCTCGAAGAGATAAGAAGAAATGAATTAACAAATATCTAGGATTGATAGAAATGTGAAAACGAAATGATGGAGCTTAAAAAGGACTTTGTGTACGTGAAATGAACAACAACAACATGCCGAACATGGCCAGTAAATACGACGAGCAACATAGGCGTAGAGTATGGGGGGGCTGAGGGGCTGGAGCTCCCCGAGAAATCTTACTGGGGGGGCTCAGCCCCCCTAGAAATTTTCCAGAAAGTCATATTTGCATCAGAGCAATGTTGAATCTTTGAAAAGGCATCGTTACATACACATGAAACGGTATTAATTATCATAGTGAATATAATAATATATCAAACAACTCGGGAAAGCAATTGCGAAATACAGAATTTTCGAGTTATAAAATTATAAAATACATGGCAGCTTGTTCATTTTATCTTTCATTAGCTTTTCTACCCACAACAGGTCATAATCATTGGTAAATATTTTCTCCGCCTATCGGCCATATAAACCATGACTACCGATGCAATTATATATCAAGGGGAAATTTATTGTATATTTAACTGTATCTAATGTCAGAAGGTAATGCTAGCTAGATATCATGTATCTAAAGTTTGAGCCCCCCCAGAAGAAAACAAAACTCTACACCTATGACGAGCAATTCAGCGTATTTTAGGCGTTTGGCATAAAAAAACCAACTTCATCACCCTTGTCTTGGACTATTTTTCACGCAAAGTTTACAAATTACTGCTTATGCGCGACTATTATGACCATACACGAGTCTTCCTAGCGGAACTCAGAAGACAAAAAATAAAGACATGACCATATTATGTTTCAGTCAGTTTTGGGTTTAAAATTAGCAATAATTAGAAACTCTATGCTTTGATATTATCTAAAAAACAGATTTAAAAGACGGTTAGAAACTTGAAAAATTCAGATAAATATTATTTACGTGTAAATACGGGAATTCATTGCAGCCAGCCGAGTACATATATTCCATAGTGCCAATGCAAATATCTTTCGGCATCAATTGGACCAGCTTTTTTGATTTTCAAAAGTCAATTTTGAGCTATAGATATGCTCAATTGCTTTTTCACAATTAACAAAGGACACATATACCAATACTCTTTAAGAATTTATTCCAGAAATAGCTATAGGTAGCGAGAATTTTTTTAAAAAGCAATTTTTTGTCCTAACAAGTACGATCGTACTATAGTGGACCAGGAACTGCGTAACGGCCGAGTTTAATTTCTGAACTGCATTGTATTTATAACAATGGAGAGGACAATGTATTTCTAATCGTTTGCGTTTACTTATATACAGGCTGAATATTAATGATAGATTAGCTATAAACAGATATGAAACTTCTGTGTTTTTGCTGATTGTTTTGTGTCTCACGCGCAGCCAGCGCGTGATGACTTCCGGCGAGCTTGGCAAGTGTAATGAGGGAAATTAATGAGCGAAACGCCATTTTTGGACCAGGAACTGGTCCCTAACCGCTGCTAATCTTCCTCTTCTTCTTCTTGTTAGGGGGCGACGCTCTTTAAAATAACCCTAAGGCTCTATCATTACTTGTTTGATCGAAATGAAACTTGGCACAATTATTCTAAGCAATATTCCGCATCGATTGACGGAGTTCGAATTTTTACTTTTGACCTTGGTAGCAAGTTACAAGCAATTCTTGATATATTTGCAGCAAATAATATATACATATTTGATCTGCTTGCGCTCGCCACCGACAAATGGGGATATTTTGCGAGAACCGAGTTCAATGATTGTTTTATCATCCACTTATCTTATTATTTTTTGGAACGTTCCGAAAGTTCAGAAAAGCGAGTCGCCATTATTGTTACAAAATTGAAGCCAATGCGCATGCACAGAGTATTATTTGTAGCTGAGCAACGTTTTCAACAAATGCGCATGCTCAGACCATTATTTGCACGCAGTTATTTGCAGGTAAATTAACCAATAAAAATTGAGAAAACAATAAAGTGAATGATAAATATAATTATCATTTGCATGAAACAAATTTTATCACAACAATGTTTGATAAATAGTGCAACTTAGAATTATTAAAATTTATATTTTAATCCTGAATGGTGATTCGCTAGTTGTATATACTAGAGTGATTGTTATTGGCTATGAGAAAGGGTGCAATTACAATTACAACCTACAAAGGGTGAAATTAATGCTCAAAACGCACCCCTCTTAGCCAATGAAACTATTGAAATCACTGATTGTTAAAATTTGAATGCCGTGTTAACGAATTTAAGCCCCTGTGGATTTAATGCGACTTATAAAATGCTAAATACGAAGAATTTAAAATTGTGAATATGATTAAATTTAAATTAGCCTTGTTATTGCTTCGAAAGAAATGGTACAGCTGACCGCGGAACGAGTGTTTATTGTGATGAATTATACGCGTACCCAAAGTACAACGGAAGTGCGAAACGCTTTTCGCCGAAAGGTGGACAAAGGGGAAATTGTAAATCTTGTTAATAAATATTTTTGCGCACAAACAAATTTTACTGCATCATGCATAAAAATGCAAAACATTTATACACTTGTGGGTCCCAACAGACTGCTTAGGCATTGAAACTCTAACAGTTACATTGTTATGGATGATTTCAATAGTTTTCGGGTTTTTTTAGACACCCTGTATAATTAATATTGAAATGAGACGGAAATACTATAACATTTGTATACAGCTGTAAGGTTTTCCGCGATATATTCCAAAACATTATGACATATATAAAAGCTACTAATTAGCCTGTCTACAGGATGACTATAATTCATTATGAATATTTAGCTCTAATGTAAAATCGTTGAATATTATACACCATGTCGTATGGAACAAGATTATCAAAATACAACAAAATGTAACTTTTAAAACTTAATAAGTCACTCCTCAAACAATTTATTCGCTGACACATTAATCTAACTCAGCTGATATTGCATCGTTTATTAGCAACGCCTACGTACCCAGAACCTTCATCCGTAAGGTGATTCCTTTTCATGTTAAGTACTGTGCCATGGTCATTCTCAGCTAGAGCAGCAGTTAAACATTTGGCGCCGTCATCTGTCAGTTGGTTTACCGAGATGTTAAATTTGGCAAGTTTGCAGTTGGAAGTTTTAAAAGCTTGACTAAAATGTCTCGCGCTTTCATCTGTTAGTTCGTTTCCCGACACATTTAGTTTAGTAAGTTTGCACTTGTCACTTTTCAGCGCATAACTTAAATGTTTAGCACCGTCATCGTTTACTTTATTATCAGAAATGTTCAGGTTAGTAAGTTTACCGTTCCCTCTAATCAGAGCATCGCTTAAACATTGAGCACCGCGATGTGTTATTTCGTTTCCAGCCAAGTTTAGTTTTGTTAGTTTGCAATTGCCGCTATTCAGAGCATCACTTAAATATTTAGCACCTTTTTCCGTTAGTTTGTTTCTAGCTATGCTTAGATAAGTAAGGTTGCATTTGTGACTTTTCAGGGCATCACTTAAATGTTTAGCACTCTCATCGTTTAGTTCATTTTCAGAAATGTTTAGTTTAGTAAGTTTACAGTTCTCAACAATCAGAGCATCAATTAAATGTTCAGCACCTCTTTGTGTCAGTTTGTTATTGGAAATGTTTAGCATAGTGAGTTTGCAGTTGGCATTTTGCAGGGCTTCGCTGAAGGATTTAATGCCTTCATATTCCAATCTATTGCCTCTTATATCTAATTCACTAAGTTCGCATTTGCTGATAGGATTGGTTATTAACCTGTTGATTAATTCACGAGTGGCTAAATGCTCTATGCCACAATTAGACATGGTTAGCTTGTGCAAATTCGTGATGTGACTTAGAAATACAAACAAAGCAGCAGCTTCAATTGGCGCAATATCTAAGTCTTTTAAACAAATTTCGTTTTTCTCTTCACCTTCACACAAAATTGACGCAGCTGATTCCATGACAGTAACGTCCTTCATTTCATGGACACATCTTATTAAAAGTAACGTATCTTTCTCTATTTGTATTTTTCCACTGTACGATATCGACTCGGAAAGTCTATACAATAATAATGGGAAATAGCTAGTACAATTCATATATATGACTAGATTACTCATTTTTATGACTACAGAACATATCATAACAATAGAGTTGATGTTCGCGGGCATGCATAAATGTGTTTTTAGCCCGAGCGTAACGAGTGTTAAAACGCTTTCCTGCATAAATTTTAATTTCTGAAGGAAAACAATATAAATAAAATTTTTAGGTGTGTTTTAGGGTATTTTGGAATTGTTGCTCTGGAGCAACATTATACGGGAATGGTATAAATAGTGTGTTTTTGTGAAACAAACTAGAGACAAAGTGATATATTTTGAAATATCTTAAGTTCCCAGAATAATCATGCTATTCGTTATTATTTACAATTATTTATAATGAAAATCCTAAAAACAGTTTTTTCCTCTAACTAAACATGGGCATTTAGTTTGACTGGGCATTTAGTGCACTTTACAAATGAATATCCCTTAGGACAAAGGTGACAACGCTGGTTTTTGTCACAAAAATCAGGCAGGTGCCCGACACCATCATACCTCACATAACCTCACATCATTAATGTATTGGAGTCGGGATCGTGTGAGACTTGGTTTTCTTCTTTGGCGGGGGTGTTATATTGAAGGTCGACCACGCTGTGGTTTTTTGAATTTTTCAACCATGAATAGGGCAGTTGCCACTTGGGTCTGAAATTTGAGGAGATCCATTTATGCTTTCTCCGGCACATTCTTCTGCGAAGAATGTCTCCAATATAGTTGCCACCCATTGACAATGGAAAGGTTGATACAATAGTATAATATATGCATGTAAAACTTTGTGGAGCGTAACTTTACTCTGTATGGGCCATCAGCATATCACACAGGTCAACACCACCCATATGCTCATTATACTCCTCGACTATCTGGGGGTCTTGGTATTTCAATGTTTCTTTTCCTTTGTTGACCATCGTTTCGCTGGTTTTCCCATTGCATTTCCCACATGGTTTGAGATCAACTGAACTAAGTCATTATCCTTCCTTCTCACTATGGTAATAATTGAATTGGCATCCACACATCAGTCAGTAGAACCCCGTCCTTTCTTACTCAATTCTTTCTTGTGGTTTACCACCTTTTCTGCCCCTTTCAAACGATCAGCTCTAATGGTACCGACAGCCCAGATTCTTGCTCTTTCTAGATGCTGTAGTAAGTAACCCGATGAAAAATGATTGTCGAAATACACTTTGTGCCCACCATTTTCTGGAAGAGAAGCACACAAATGCCTGACAACATTGCCACCAACTCCTAAGAGGGGATCATCTTCCTCTGATCTAGAACCACTTCCATTGTAGATCTGGAACTCATAAACAATACCACTGACACCACATCGTGCCCACACCTTTATACCCCATTTGTGTGGCTTCTTTGGGAGATACTGCCGTAGACCAGTCCAGCACTTGGTTGAGATGATTTGTTCATCAATGGAGTGCTTTTCCTCTTGGGGGAGTAGCTTGCACTTCACCAAAATTGAATCAATTACTGGTCTCACTTTGAACAGTTTGTCATGATTGGGATCTTCTCTTGGCAGTTGGCAGCATCTTTGTATTGTCATTGCAATGCAGGTACTGCTTCAGCTTATCGAATCGACCCACACTCATTTTGTCAGCAATTGATTGAATACGACTGCCATTGCTCCAATACATTCTATATTGAGGCTCCTCGATAATGCCGATCATCAACAGTATTCCAAAATATTGCTCTAACTCAGTTACAGTTTTTTGTACACAATACAAGTTACTTACTTACTTTGTTCAACAATATGATCAAAAAGTTCATCACAGAAAAATTGTTTGAAATATGGTATAGGTGTAATTTCATTTTCAGGTGGATCAGGGAAGGGGGCTCCGGTAAACACTGCATCTACATCTGCTGGAAATTTTCTCTGTCATTTCCTAGGATTGCTCTTTATTTTTTTTTCTTTCAACTTTTCTCATCTTTTGTATGGGGTCCATCATCTCTCTCTTCAATCTCTAAATCATCATCATCCTCACGAATAAATGCATTGTTCGGCAAACCCAAAATTTCTACGTCATATTCTGAATTGTCCTCCTCAGACCTACTATCATCACCAGGAACAATTACATTAGTGATCCTTGTTTCAGTGTGTATTCCACTATCTGTCAGTCGTATTCTCTGGTTAAATCAAGTCCAAAGCTAAATGTAGAGCAGGCCTAGGCTTGTGGTGTAAACACTGCTTAAAGTCACAGCTCATGCTGGTATTTCATTTCACTGGTGACCTGGTGACTTCGGTAGAATGCCTACAGTTACAACCTTTCAAACTGTTAAATTTCTTTCCAAATTAACACATTAATCAAAGTGCAAATATTAGTGTAGTACTAGACAAGTTTAGCTTGCATGGCTAGAATTAGATGTAAATTGACTAGCCATATCACATGTTAAAAGCGCAAAATATCAAATATGTCACAACCCATCCTTTGCAACATCTAATTTTCATACAAGCAAAATTTGTGAAATTATATACTGATCAGTGGCGTAACTAGAAGGATAATTGAGGAGGTGAATATTCATATATCCAGTTCTGCCCGACGGATTTCCCTTGTAATTGCAATAGCTTACAATAGAAATCCGTCGGGCAGAACTGAATATACGAATATTCACCCCCCCACCCCCCCCCTTCCGTTCTAGTTACGCCCCTGATACTGATAGTAGTTTACCTGCTTGCAAACAGAATTTTAATTTGCGGGAAATTGAAAAAGCAGGCTTCTTGCAAATTCTAAAGGTTCGAATAAAGCAAATTCATCTTCAAATTAAGGTAGGTTCTATAAGGCAAATTCTAGAAGTTCATAGGGTCTTCATTTTTGAGTCAAATTCACCATTATTATACGCCTAGCTTATTTCTTTTGGGATGCTCTACAAGTATTCAGCAAGATAAACATTTCTGAATCAATGTGAAAATTTACAACTTAATATGATAATTATAAAAGTTAACGACATATATATAGTTAGGTGCGTAAAATACATTATAGAATTGTCTCTGAAAAATTTTATGCTTCAATGCTGTTCAAATAAATTCAATAATATGAAACCAGATAAAATGCATATTTCGCTCCACCGCCGAGACCCCGGGCAAATAAAGTAAAATAGTTGAACGTACTCAACTCTTATAATTTATTTCAAGATTATTTTTAAGCGTATTTTGCAATACACACTTATGCCCAAGAACATCGACTCTATTACTATTATATTAACTTCAAAGGGCAATATTTGTATAAAAAATATGCAATGGGTAAACACTTTAGTCATTGGCTTAGATCACCGCGGGCTAAAATATATTTCGGCACGCAAAATACATCGCAATGCCCGTCAAATTTAATATAATGTCTGATTTGAATACATACATAACAGCTAATTATATCTATTAAGAATATTGGCTCGATCTTTACGCCTAATTGGCGTCCGCCTTGGAAACACTGATCTGAAATAAGACTGGATAAGGCATCTATAGAAGGCAAAAGTGAAGCCGGAAGTGATTCGGCCGCCACCCGATTCAAAGCCCCCACTTTCGTATCATTTAATATAGATTTCTATTACAGAACCGTAGTTTTTTGCGTTTTTTGCCTTGTCCACGTTTCTGCCCCGGCCAATTTTATAATCACAAACATAGAAGCATAACAGAAGAGATTTGAGCAAAAAAATTGGAATATTTTATCTTCATAACGCCGCGAAAACGGATTTTACAACTTCGCGTCTTGCGTGGACATCGTTTTATATCAACACCACTCAAAGCGCGCTAGTTTTGATCTTTTGGTACAAAATCAACTCAAAATATAGAATTTCTGCTCTTGGACAAATATTCTCAGAAAATCTGAAGAAACGAAGCGGCTATATTGCGAACAGCAGTGTACCGAGAGGTTAGTTTTCAAAACACTGAGGATACTAGCTTCTACTATAATTATTGATGGTTAAAGATTACAATTCAGTTCTTTCCTATGTTTCCACAGGCATCTAAGATGATATAGCCTGGTTTCTTAAAAAATAGCCAAATTTACCAATGACATTCATCTTGCTAAGCTTCTCAAACTTGACTTGAAAAATATGTTAATTATAAGATTGCTATTGAATTAATCAGTGGAAAATACAATATAGACATGTGATGAGAAAGGAACAATTTTTTGCATAAATCTACCTCAACATAGTTAGTGAGTTGTATTGTGGTTTTATGTGGTCTCCAAAGAATATACATGATATTCTATTAGCTCTGATTGCTCTTGGTTCTACTTTGGATGCACCAACTGCAAAGTTATTGCAATTATAAAACAAACATATTGCAAGGTTTTTTGTATTGGAAACATAGGAAAGAACTGAATTGTTCTCTCTAACCATCAATAATAATTATAGTAGAAGCTAATATCCTCTGAGGATACTAGACAGTGTTTTGAAAACTAACCTCTCGGTACACTGCTGTTCGCAATAAAGCCGCTTCGTTTCTTCAGATTTTCTGAGAATATTTGTCCAAGAGCAGAAATTTTATATTTTGAGTTGATTTTGTACCAAAATATCAAAACTAGCACGCTTTGAGTGGTGTTGATATAAACCGATGTCCAAGACGCGAAGTTGTAAAATCCGTCTTCGCGGCGTTATGAAGCCAAAATATTCCAATTTTTTTGCTCAAATTTCTTCTCATATGCTTCTATGTTTGTGATTATAAAATTGGCCGGGGCAGAAACGTGGACAAGGCAAAAAAAGCAAAAAACTACGGTTCTGTAATAGAAATCTATATTAAATGATACGAAAGTGGGGCCTTTGAATCGGGTGGCGGCCGAATCACTTCCTGCTTCACTTTGGCCTTCTATAGATGCCTTATCCAGTCTTTTTTCAGATCAGTGCTTGGAAATCATAAATAAATAAAATTCAGTTAGCAACAACGTATACGA